CCCAGATCGTACAACACACATCAGGCAGGACTTCGTCGCACAGGAACCGCGGAGACTCCGTCAGAGAAGGACAGTAAACCTACCGAATCCGGATATGTGAGTAATGCAATTAAGATGAAGTCGTACTGGCAGACTCATCCGCTGCACTCTTGGGGTGCGAACCCCAACGAAGCCTGGCGCGCTCTTTTTCTTCGTCCCTACCAACTTGCCTTCTTTCCGCCCGTTCTCTGGGCCGGTGTGTTCACCGGCATCTCGATTTGCTGGTGGGCTGCAATCTTTACAACGGAATCTCGTAGGTTGCTGTTGCTTTCAGACTTCTGAAGCCCACTCGCTAATCCATTACAGAGTTCTTCACCGGCCCACCGTATCTATGGAATGGCGAAAAGGTTGGTCTCACCAACGCTGCTGCGCTTCTCGGTTCCATCCTAGGCACTGTCTTCGCAGGAAACGTCAGCGACTGGTTCATCATCGTGGCGGCACGCCGCAACAACGGCATCAGAGAGCCGGAGCACAGACTTGTCCTCCTGGTAGTAACCGCTGTCGTTACCTCGGGCGGGTTAGTGATGTACGGTAAAGGCGTGGAAGTCGGAGTTCATTGGATATGTCCTGTGTTCGGCATGGGGTTAATGGCTTTCGGATTTACTGCATCTTCAATTATTGGAGAGGTAAGATCTTTGAGGTGTCCAACTTTATATCATGACCCTGCAGCTGCTAACAAGAGACAGACATATATCCTCGACTCCTATCGGGCGGTGGCACCAGAGGCCTTAGTACTGATTAACATCTTCCGCAACTTGATCGGCATGATATTTGTCTTCGCTGTGCAGCCCTGGCTAATCCACTCTGGCTACGGGAATGCGTATATCCAGATGATGGCCATGGGCCTTATTGCGCATTTGACCGTCATCCCGATGATGATTTGGGGGAAGCGACTGCGCACGATGACCGCAGGGCGATATGTGCGCATGGTTGAGGGGAGTGGTATTCCTCGGGAGTTCGCCTGATGAGTCCTTGCAATTCCCGAACAGCCACTGCTTGCATCGCCACTTAATGCCCCTAGGGTGCTGGTTGCGACTCGTTAAGGGTGGGCTAGGAAATGTAGGCCTGGCTGCCTTCGCAAGAGCTCTACAAGTCCTCATTTCCGATCTACGGAGCTGATACATGTGACTTTATTCCAACAACTTAAATAATTATAGCATTAATTCTAAAGCCAGATAACTTTAATATAAAAACTCTTCTAATTAAGAACTCTAACTGACTTTAAAGACAATTAATTCTGATCCAGTGGAAGCTTCGAATGGTCCCTTGAGCGGCCTTGTCGGAAGTTTCCCACTACGTAACAACATTAACTTGATTTCCTCCTATCGATGTGAATGATGGTATGCGTGTCCTCCCTTCTCTTTATATTTGTCCTGATGCCCTGTTTCTGCTCAAAGTCAGCAGGCTTTATTGGTATACCTCTGTCATCCGGCCTTCGATATCGTACTATAATCCGGACTTATGCAAGGGGGCTATCCTGTCAACATATCCTGATAATTAGTTAAGACCACACCAGGAATGTCGGTCAGTTCGAAGAAAAATAAAATAAAATAAAATAAAATAAAATAAAATAAAATAAACTTTAGATACAACGAAGCACGTACACAGCTTTAACGGCGTCTGTACGAACATACAACTGTTCTAGGCAGACAGCGTCATCAGATGCGACGACCCACAACTATCGATTCGGACACTCGTATCCCTATGGCGAATGCGACACCGTCAGAGTGTCTTTAGCACCTTGAGTATTACGAGTAAGGTGCTGAGAGGGAGCTCTCTCCCAGTCAGGAGGAGAAGCGGTCAATTTCTGATTTCAGGGTTGGTCTACCCAGGCAGTGCTGATATACGTGCTGAGTCTTGCAGTGACTTCTGCTTGTGTCGGGCTTTGACCGGCAGCTGTCTCTACGCTTTGGACAATACCATTGTAGCTAATATTGCACCGGTTTGTTTTCGGGCCTTCTTTGCTCTTGAAGTGTTGCAGTAAACTTATCAAGAATCTTGGCTAATTATCGTGCACCACTTTGACTCCGTCGAAGATTTGCCATGGATGTCGGGTGGGTAAGTCATAAAATTTATCAAAATATTTACCATGAACGGTAAAGTCTTCTCTGTAGTCCTAAGTAGTCTTTAACTTCCGCCCGTCCTGGGATATGGTTCGCGATGCCTTCCACTCCTCCACCAATCCCGCATAATCCCTCGGCCGATGCGGAACAAACAAATCTTCCCACCACGACCTCTTCCTAGCAGTGCTCAAGCCCAAATCCCCAAGCAAGAGATCCAAATACGGCATGACCTCAAACACAAAGTCGGCAGTCCGCACCCCATGGCCCGCCGGGGAGCGAAGCGCACAAAACTCTGTGTGCAGTGCTGTTTCGCTAAGTATTGACTCCTTGTCTGGATGATGATGAAGCTCAGAGCCGTGGTTAAGGTAAGCTATGGCCCACAGGGCTTGCACTTCGGCAACAATGGATGTGTTGAACGTTGTTACGGTCCCCAGGAAGGCGATGCTATGGTCGTCCCATAGTCCTGGGGGAACAATGAAGCGCGCGAGACGAAAGGGGTGCAGAACGGTTTCATTAGTGTGTATTTGACCCTCCGCATCCTTCGTGCCGTAGGTCCTCCTCTCTGGGCCGGTGTGGAGCATGGGCAGACGCGTGTATATGTCTTTACGGGCCTGCCTAACGAGCTCCTGATCAATTGGGTCCGCAGCCCACGGGAAGCCCATCTCTTGTTCAGTCCCATCCGGCAAGAACCGAATGCCTGGAGATACCTTCCAGCCTGTGCACAGGATAAGTGCCCTCGTGTCTAGCCTGTCGCCGCCGTTGGACAGAACGACTCTATAAGGCTCCAGCCGCTCAACATCGGCAATATGCACCTTCACCAGTCCTCGCCGGATCAATCCAAAGAAATCGCCCGGGAAATTGATAATACTCACCGCGGTCCCCATCCAGAGAGGCTTAAACCAGGGTCTGAGCTTTGCCGTCTCCTCATGATCGCTGTATCGATTGACGCGAACCATATCCCACTCCAGGGAGGCCCAGAACAGACGCACAATCATACAGCCAAGCCACGTCCTATGTAAAAAGTTGCGTATCGGGTGGCTCACCCAGGCGCAGGGGCTGAACCAGCCCAAGGCACGCACGACAGGGAGGCTTTCGAGGAGGAGGTTCAAGGGCGAGAAAACAGCGGCCGGGCTCACCCACGCGGGCCCAGTCCCAGAGGGTCTGATGACCCAGTTGACGTGGTGTCCCTTGGATGCGCAGGCGTAGACCGTGTCCCACGCGGATTTGCTTCCACCGAGTACCGTTATTGGTGTGTGGTCGTCACGGGCGCCTTCATGTTGGTCCCCTGTGTTGTCATTGCTGGGTTTAAAGAGGGTGTCTTGATAAAGAGCGAATTCTTTTGCGTGGAACAATGGCGCGCCGAACGATTGCTGGCCAGGGAATGTAGGAATACGCGGCTGCGAGGTAAGGCCCGTGGCGAGTATCAGTTTCCGCGTCCGTATAATATTGCTCTTCTCGTCTCCTGGCCCTGTTGTTGTCGTGCATTTAATGACCCACTCTTTTCCCCGTCCATCATCTCCGTCGCAGTACTCCACGCTGTCAACCTTGCAATTGAGCTTAATTTTGTCGCGGATCCGAAAGTGGTCAGCGTATGCCTTGAGATACTCATGCATCGCCCTGCCTGACATATGCTCACCGGGTTTAACTAAACCGGGAATATTGTCCCTCATGGGAAAGTCACCATATTCATATGATCCCAGTCGGTTATTCGTCCTGAGTTCCGCATATAAGCGTTCCTCTGCCCAGACACCCCCCACTGAGGCGGCGGAATCCAGAACCACCAGATTGACACTGGGGTCGAGGTCGATTGCTACTTTGGCGGCTGCGAGACCGTGCCAGCCTGTCGCGATCAATTTGTTAATCGTAGTTAGCTGCAGGAGCCCCTAATGAACATATGGGATAAAAGTGTCTGAGGCAATGAGAGGGGCGGCTTTACCAGCACCAATTATGGCCAGGTCGGCTATTTGCTTTTCCATTATCATTCCTGGACCTAATCGCTTGGTTTCGCTCCACTTGAATGGTCCTCAAACTGGCATTCGTTAGAGTACTTTGCTAGGCGAATAGGTAGGCGTCGGTTGGTTCTGACAGAAGAGAGCCAGGGTGTCAGCCATATATAATTAGTACTCTGCTTAAGGCGCCCAGTCCCCAGTCACCATTGCGGGATCTCAGCCGTGCCAATGTCTGGCCTACCAGTGACAGCCGCATCGAATATGACGCCAGATAAGGAAACTAACCAACCAGGGACCCAGACGTGTCCGTCAGCTTTGCCGCCACTGTCTCATCAGCAGAGCACGGACCGGACGCCAAGGCAGTTCGTATAGGCATAGCCAGCTTTACCTGATTCGATAATCGCACATGTCAAGACAGGCGGCCGGGAAATATGCAAGATGCCTTAGAAGCAGACGCAAACTTTCCTGGAAGTTTCTCCGGCTGGGCCATTTCCCCAAAATGCCGAAGTTGAATAAATGGAAACAAAAATCAATATAAATGTATAATGAATTTACTCAATAGGCATAATGGAGCGAGAAAGCTCTAAAATATAACCAGCGTAAGAATAGCAAGATAAGCAGGAAAAAGCTTAATCAACTGCAACTGTTCATCTTCGGTACTCTTTTCCGCAACAGCGCAAGTGGGAAGATCAATGCTTTTCTCTATCACGGAGCGAAGGGCCGTGTTCCCTACTTCATCCCGCCGCTCCAGTATTGACGGGCTCAAAAGGCCGAGGTTTTGGAATAGCCAAAGCACATCCAACAGTCTACAGGAAGCGGTCAAATGGACAGCAGTTCTTCCTTTCTCGTTTGTGGTATTAATATCTGCTCTATGGCTTAACACAACCTTGACAGACTGGATATGTCTCCTGATTGCAGAAATATGAAGTGCAGTGAATTCCTCGATCGTTTAGTTGTGTGGTACTCCTTGCTTAAGAAGAAACGGTATTATCTTATCTTTAATATCGCTGCCACTAGTGATAGTAAGGAAGGCGTAGAACAAGGACTGCTCGACGTCGACGAATCCGCCAATTTCGAGGAGCAGCTTCACTATATCTGTGTCATCTACCTGGACTGCTGTATGCAGAAAGTACTGGATATCAGTGTCCAGTACTTCGGTCTTGAGGAGGGCTCGGATGACGCTCACGTGTTGGCGGAAGAGGGCTAGGCACAGGGAAGACTCTGTCTTGTCACTCGCAAGCTTTGGGTTAGCCCCGTTGTCTAGCAGCAAGCGGACGGTGAGATCATGTCCATACGCGCTTGCCAGTTGAAGAGCTGTCAAAGTATATTGGGACATTTTGCCATTTCTGCCATCCTCATCCTGGGTGTTCCCCTCGCCACTGATGCATGCATCCTCGTCGGAAAGACTGTCTTTCTCGCTTCTCCTTGCCACTGTAGTTTGCATCCCTACAGCATTAACATCGGTATCCTGGTGGTTCAGTCTCGTTGCACAATGAAATGCCGCCCTGTTAGTGCTGGCTACTTTATCAACAGCCGCGCCACTCTCCAGCAGCCGGCAGAGTATATCTGGAAGATCAAACTAAACAGCGACAAGGAGACCAGCTGCCTCCAGTGGGAGTTCCTTGACAACCCTTGCCTTGACTACTGATGGGAATGGGACATCCATGGAAGAGGAAACCAAGTCCCTGTCCATGAGGAGGGAGAGCACAGTATCGGCAATCGCTGTGTGGGCCGGGCGTGCGTAGCGTCCCCAGTGAGCGCCGGCATATTTCAGAAAAACGTAGCCGGCTTGTCTTGCCCGCGAGGCCTGGATGTTCTGACATTGGCCACTCTTGAAAGGCTGCCGCGACAGGTATCGAATGCATGTTACGAACATGTCCTCATGAGCAGCAATCATTCAGGGTGCTCCGACACCTTGAAGATGCACCTATGTAGTGACATAGACTAGACGGATTATGTTTCTATGTAGGTCAACAATAACTAAATCCATAGAGGCAGAGACCATGATCCAAGTCAGGGGCGTCGGTCTCGTCAATGTCCTCCGCTCCAACCTCACACAGCCACAGCATACCGCAACTCAGAAGAACCGAGCATCCTCTTGGCATATACAATCCAAGAAAGAACTCGCTGTATCATATTTCGGTATTCGAGGGGCTGATCTTCTATGCGTTGTATCACACTACCGTACGCATCTTCCAAGCCCCCCTCGCCGTGAGGAAACTCCTTCAGAGCAAGCCGGACTTCTTTTTCAATACCAATACCTAATGCTTGATCAACATTAGATATAGGCGCACCAGAAGGAACATCACTTCTGTTCGTTGGACAATTTGCGTCTTGACCATCTCCTGCAGATCAATGTTGCTGGCTATGAATGTCGGCAGACATGCCATATTTCCCGCCACGTACTTCTGCACATCTTTTGTGTGGGCGTGAATTGGTAGAATAATGTGAGACTGATAAACATTCGGACCCGCAATTGACAATCAGTAATGATATGTCAGACGAACTTGCTTTCTCCAGATCAGGCGGAGAGCGCGTCTCGGAATATTTCTCTAACACGGAAAGTTTCGGTCTGTAGGTTCTTGCATATAGTGAAAATCATTTCCCGAAATGAGGACTGGGATGGATACGATATGCCCAGGATAACTAATCAATTGATGGATCTCCTCCACTGGAGTTGAGTGTACAGGTTGGTAGTGTCATATTCAGCGCTCATGCAATTGTGATCAGTTTTATCAAGAAAGAGGCCTTCGTGAAAGAGGTCCCCAAGCGTTGGGACTCGTTGAGGTCCGTCTGCGAGAAAACCATGGGGCAACTATATGAGCGCTGGAAGAACGGTGGTCAAACTGTGGTATAAAATGGCCGAGGGACGCCACGAGCTCCCTTGGCGGACCAGCTCGTCTGCTGAAGAACTCATTCCGACGAGAAAGCCTCTTCTACTCACAGAATCCAAAGTTCAAAGCAAACAAACAACTTCAGCTCGATCCTGTCGATCGATTAAGTAAGAACCTTTCTGCATAAGGCAAAACACAGTCGGATATCAGATCCGCTACCTGTAGTTTGTGACTTGTCAATCGCACGGAGATGCAAGGCTACGTGTCGTGTCCCTTAGTCTGCACAACACAGCGTAAGACCGGGACTGGGCTCTAATACAGGCTCATGTATCCTTGTCAAACAACGAGGTACTGTTACCACCTTATAGGTGTTTCAGATTTGCGTTCGTCGTTGGACTACCGACCACCCTTGAGAGAAAACCTCAACAAATATACCAAAAAGTATTGAACCTGGGAGGGAAACAGCCGTGATGGACAGCAAAAGTGAGAAAAAGCTTTCACGGAGGCAGAGTTTTCGGCAACGCTGGAAATTACCAAAGGCTTGCCCTCTCCGATCGAGACACCATGCGGTACCAAGGAGTACGGACCCAGAGGAGTCAAGGCTCAGTCCTAGTCCTCGTGTATCGTCTGGCCCTGGGGAAAGATCTGAACCAGAGACAAAAAACGATACCGCGAGCGTTCTGGTCCAGGTTTCCGAACCTGTTTCTTTATGGGATGAAGCCTATGAGCTTCTGAAGATAGAGAAGCCCAGCCTTTTGTCGGATTATGAGAGCCTCTTGTCCCGAGTAGCTGCTGAAGGTATGTGATAATTCATTGGGTCTGATCTCCCTGGCCAATAGTGCTCATACCACTGAACAAGATACGAACGACTTGGAAGATGCCATCCCCCAATATGATCGCCCAACCCGTCGACAAAAGCTAGAGCAGATCGCTAAGCTCGGCTTCGAAAGGATGCAAGAGGGAAAGCTCCAAGCGACCTTTTTTGGAAAGAAAATTGTGTTGCAAGAAGCAATAGGGACGCTTGGTAATGGCATAAGTTGGGTTCAGACCTACGCCAAAGATGCACTCAAAGATGTCCCCTACGCACCAGCTATCATGGCATGTACGTCCCTTCTTCTTCCGTTGTTGACCAACCCATCTAGGGTTGACGACGAAAACAAACAAGGGCTTTTGTATGTCACATCGCAAATACGATACTACATCGAGATGGAAACACTTCTACTGCCGGATTATGGGAATCCTGGTGTCAAGGCCCAGTTAAAAGAGCAAGTGAAAGGTTTATATAAACTTGTGATTGACTACCAGGTGCAGAGTGTGATGAGATTCCATCGTAAACCCGGAAAGGACTACCTTCGGAGTGTGACCGACTGGGACGGTTGGAGCGAACAGCTTAACACAATCAAAGAGAAGGAGAAAACACTCACAATGCGACTTCAGGGGGCTCTATCCGGGTTGAATGTGCAGAAACTTAATGACCTCAAACGAGAAGCTGAGCAATCACGCAAAGCCCTTGAAGATGTTGTCGATTACACACGAAAGATGGAGAAACACATGTCTGATGTCGAGTATCGCGATTGTCTCAACACACTAAAAGCTACGGATCCTCAGCTCGATAAACAACGCATCGAGAGGTTTAAGGGGGGCCTCCTCAAGGACTCGTATCATTGGGTGATTGAAAATCAAGACTTCAAGAGGTGGATGAATGCCAGCTCTGGAGAACTACTTTGGATCAAAGGGGGCCCTGGTAAGGGAAAAACGATGTTGGTCTGCGGAATCATTGATGAGCTCCCACAACTGGCTGCACCCGACAAAAACATTGCGTTCTTCTTTTGTCAAGCTACCGTGGAAACCCTTAACAACTCCCCTGCAGTTCTTCGAGGTCTAATATCCATGCTGGTGAAACAGCAGCCTTCTCTGATGAGCCATCTTTCTGAGGGTTCCTTCGACGGCCATAATGCTTGGTTCGCGTTGCAGAATACTTTAACGAACATCCTCAACGACCCAACATTGAAGCCAACATATTTACTGATTGATGCACTTGACGAATGCGTTAAGGACTGCCAGAACCTTCTTGATCTGCTTGTTCAACATTCGTCGACTCATGAAAATGTCAAATGGGTCGTCTCGAGCCGGAACTTGCCAGAAATTGAGGCAGACCTCAACCAGGCAACGCAAATGAAACTCCATCTAGAGTTAAACAAAGATGTGTTGTCAAAAGCCATTCACTCTTTTATCGAATACAGGGTCCAGAAACTGGAGAACAGAAGCGACGGATCAGAGGGGAAAACCGACATTTGGAAAGCTGTCAAGGAATATCTGGTTGCGAATGCCAATGGCACATTTCTCTGGGTCGCCTTAGTTTGCGAGTATCTTGCCAAAAGGTTTTACTGGGAGATTCGGGAGAGGCTTAAAGACTTTCCCCCTGATCTTGACAACATTTACAAGCGCATGATGAGCCAGATTATCGACTCAGACAAATCTGAGATTTGTAAGTCTATTCTTCGCGTTACCACGACCGTTCTCCGCCCCATCACCCTGGACGAGATGATGGTTTACGTTGACATCCCTGGTGATGATGAGCGGGCTCTTAAGGATCTAGTTGGGCTCTGTGGCTCTTTCCTATCTGTTCAGGACAACACAATCTTCTTGATTCATCAATCCGCAAAAGACTTCATCATGGACAAGGCATCGAACGAGATATTCCCCAATGGGAAAGGTATGATACACTACAATCTTTTCTCCAATTCGTTACGCATTCTAGGAAAATATTTAAGACGGGATATCTATAATTTACGTGCACCCGGCTATCCAATCCAAGAGGTTAAGGTGCCAAACCCGGATCCCCTGCGCGCAGTACGCTACGGATGTGTCTACTGGGTTGACCACCTTGTTTCATGCGGTACAATGGAGGACACCACGAAAGCCACTGAAGAAGAGCGCTTGATGGATTCATTTCTATCTCAGAGTTATCTTCATTGGCTGGAAGCCATGAGTATTCTAAAGAGCGTTCCGAGTGGCATCGCATCCATGCAAAAGCTCGAAAAGTTCATTCAGGTATGCATTTATCGTGTTTAATTAACAAATGTATTCTATATTAATATTTACATAGAATCGCATTAATGCTGACCCAGAGCCTCTGGTACACCGAGTCAGAGATGCCATCCGATTTGTCCAGTACACCAAGGTGGCCATTGAAAGGAGTCCGCTTCAGGTTTACTATTCATCTCTCATCTATAGCCCCATGCAAAGCATCACGAGAGGGTGCTACCACGGTAGACAGCGCATAAAAGATTGGATTCGAATAGAACCCGTGGTGGAGAGCTGTTGGAGTCCATGTCTTCAAACCCTGGAGAGTCATACCGACAGGGTCTGCTCTCTTGCTTGGTCTCAAGATGGAAGTCGACTCGCTTCAGGAGCATTAAGCTCTACCAGGATATGGGATCTAGATACCAGCGAGTGCATGGTAATCCTTGAAGATACGCTTTCCAGACCTTCTAATTTTCCGCTATGGGATCCCTCGAGAGGAGTGATGCATATTCGATGGCTAAATAACAATCGAGTCGCTTCGATATCAGAGTGTACTATCAAGGTCTGGAGTCTAGATACGAGGCAGTCTGAGTCGATTTTCGAGGAAGGTTCGTACGGATGTACTTCCATGGCATGCCCTGACAACCAACGTCGACTGGCCTTTGCGTCAGACAAGTCTATCCGGATTTTGGATCTAGATACTAAAGAATGGGCATCAATACCGGAGGGCCACGCATCTACGATTACCTCTATTGCCTGGTCTCCATCTGGAATCCGACTTGCATCGGGGTCAAAATACAGTGATACTATCAGGGTCTGGGAACTACGTGATATGGAGTATGTCCTCATCCTTGAGCGCTCTAGTGACTGTATTTGGTCTTTAGCATGGTCTCCAGATGAACGTCACCTAGCAGCAGGGTCCTCCCATACGGCTGTCAATGTATGGGACACCAAAACAAGGGATTATGTGTCACTCCAAGGTCATATTTCTGGTATTAATTCAGTAGCCTGGTCATCAGAAGGGTCCCGACTTGCATCAGGGTCAGAAGATAGTACCATCAGAGTCTGGGATGTACATACTATGGAGTGCATCTTTATCTTCGAGGGCCATCGTCACTACATTTCGTCCTTAGCATGGTCTCCAGATGGAACTCGCCTAGCATCAGGGTCCCAGGATATGACTATCAAGATATGGGACACAACAGCCCAATTCCAGTCAATTAGCAGGGGCTATGATGAAATTGTTGACTTAATGACCTGGTCTCCTGATGGATCTCGGCTCGTATCATTTTCACGAGGTGGAGCCGCTCGGTTGTGGAATCCAACTAGTGGTGTTCAGCTCTCAATTTTTGGTCTCCCCGGGATCGTGAGTTCGGAAACCGACTATATATCTGAAGTTGCCTGGTCTCAAGATGGAAATCAGCTAGCATCAGGTTGGGGTGATGGAACCATTCGGGTGTGGAATCCGTCTACTGGTGAGCAGCTCTCGGTTTGCAATGGCCATACCCACTACATTACAGATTTGGCCTTCTCTCCCGACGGAGGTCAACTGGCCTCAGGATCGGGTCATGGAACCGTTCGCATTTGGGATCCGACTACTGGTAGGCAACTCTCTATTTGCGAGCGTCATACCTACATTATTCATAAACTTGCCTGGTCTCCTGACGGAAGTCAGCTCGCATCGGTAGGGTGGGATGGAACCATTCAGGTATGGAATCCGACTACTGGTAGTCAGCTTTCCATTTTTAAAGGTCACCCGAATGGTAAACATATTACCTTGCGGCTTACAGATGTTGCCTGGTCCCCTAACGGAAGTCAACTCGCATCAGTATCAGTTAGTGGAAGAGTTCAGGTGTGGAATCCAACTACTGGTGCTCAGTTCTCGGTTTTCGAAGGTCACTACAAGGAGTGTGAATATGAAGACGAGTCCGACTTTGATTCTAAAGTTGCCTGGTCTCACAACGGAAGGCAGCTCGCATCAGTTTCACATAGTAAAGTCGTTGTATCAGATCCGACCACTGGCCGGTGCATCTTAAATTTCCCTGTTACAACCAGTGGCTTTCTTCGGTTCGATAGCATCGACCCTAACTATCTCCACACTAGGCTTGGCACATTCGATCTGAGAGTTTTGAAAGGTCACTGGAAAGATATCAAGGACTCAAACCAGGTACCAAAGACATATGGGTATGGCCTCAGCGAAGATCTTTCCTGGATAACATATGACGGAAGCAGGGTTTTGTGGTTACCCCCTGACCATCGACCGCAAGCATTCAGCGCATTCGCTTTGTCAACCTTGGCTGTAGCCATCAGCTGTGCATCTGGTGCTGTTAAATTTTTACAATTTTCGAAGCTGAATCCCCTCACGGATCTTTGATGGAATTCTTTGCTGCATTGAGCCCCTACATCGTTATTGTCCAATTTCATTGCTGAATATTTATACTGCACAATGTTTTCAGTCAAGGTGGAAACAGAATAAAAGTTCAATGCGATGAGGCAAAATTATGAAGGAGTATGCAAGCAGGATTAGCCCATACAGAAGCCCAGTGGCGTGGCTGGTGAACAGTAGTTACAAGTGGAAGAAGTGGTCACTATTGGGCTGCGAGATAATCATATTCTAATATCGCACTATTTAATGCCTTGTGCCCTTATATTACCAGAGGCATCCTGAAGTAGTCTTGATAAAATCCCTCCTGGTGCATAGACAACTCAGTCGCCGAACGGCAGTCTCGGGGTTTATATCCGCCACATTTTCAATTACATATAGTAGCCTTGCCCGCCCCATTCTTTGCAGAGGGCATAAAGGCCTCTGAGGCTATACAATAGGGCTCTGATAGGAGTGGGAGAAAAGTGAGAAGCAGTCTGCTATCTACGTAGTCTCTACTGTCATTACTGGAATACTATTTGGGTTGCTTCTTTCGAGATATCGCCTAGATTGTAGAGCAGTGTATACATCGTTGAACAGCTCTGACCCAGTCTATGACGATGATGACAGTAAATGTACGGAGTACATACAATAGCTAAAGCTGATAGCAGAGTTCAGATTCAGACCCACTACTTCGAAACCCTAACCTGGAGCATTCCTACCGAACCTTGAAATATAAAGGGGGTTAATTATAGTATCCAATTTCCCATACCGAGGGTTTAAAGTAGAGGTACGGCCCGAGGCTACAGAGATAGATCCGTTTCGGTATTCGGGGCGTCGGAAGACCGTCGAGATGCACGAGCATCCACTATTGGCATCACTATTTGAGATGCCCCTTTTTTACGAGGACGTCTCTTCCGCTTAGTCATGATTATCAGTGTCTCTGATTGGCTTGCCCTGTACATAGTCAGTGGAACCCTATCTCAGCCCAAAAACCATGGTGTAATAGATGGAACTCTAAGTTTTGAGCTGTAAAAATCTAAAGAGCTAAGGGGAGATGGGGAAAAAAGCTTCCAGAACAATAAGTAGCACTCCTCATCCACCTGAACTTGCAAAGTATAATTGTACATACGACCCTCCGCCATGGCAGCGCCCTCACCCTCGCCAGCGGGTGGATCCTTCAAAGACATGCGCAAGAACTTCCTGATCGCCCTGGGCATCAGTTTTGCCCTCTTACAGCTGCTGTTCCTGTGTAATATGTGCTACCTATATGGGACCCAGTATCGCGACAGCACCCGTTTCCACAGCATGAAGATGCTGTACGTCGACTACGACGGAGACGTGGTCGGCCAGTCGGTGGTCGATGCGTACGGCATACTGCGCAGTGACGAATTCCCTTCACTTGTACAATCACCCGCCAGCGAATATCCGACTCCAAAAGACGTCAAGACTGCTGTCTGTAAAGGCGACTATTGGGGCGCAGTGTATGCCCATCCCGGGGCCTCGGCGAACCTATCCGCTGCCTTGGCCACGGGCAATGGCAACCGAACTTCCTTAACGTACATCTGGAACGGAGCACGCTACCCGGCCTTTTCACAGAGTGCCATCTACGCCAGCATCATGAGTCTGGTACAAGTAACCAAGTCGGCCTACTACGCCCGCAACGCATCGAGCGTCCTCGCCACAGCACCCCTGTCGAAGAACCCAGGAAGCCTACAAGCCTTCCTCAACCCTATCCAAGCCACCGAAATCAACATCAAGGTCACCAATCAAGGCGGCCGAGTATTATACAACACCGTGTCAATGGTGATGCCGATCATCCAACAATTCTTCTTCATGATGGCCCTGAACGGCATCTCGGCGCAGTTCCACCTCTACACCAAGCTTGGCCCGAAACGCAACGGCCTCCTCCGCATGTGCGTCTCTCTCGCCTACACCTTCATCGGATCGCTATGCATGGCCGGATATATCTGGGCGTACAGAGAATCGTGGGACGTCAATAGCAATCAGTTCGTGCTCTCCTGGATGAGTATCTGGTTGTACATGCACATCAACTTCCTTATCGTCGACATCATCACCGCGTTTATCCCGATGCAATTCCTCCCCTTTTGCATCCTAACCTGGGCCATAATCAACGTCGCCAGTACGATCAGTCCCTTCGAACTGAGTCCCGGGTCTATCGCTGGGGATATGCCCTCCCCGCGCACGAGCTGTACCAGGTCCTCGTCCAGATCTGGAGCGACGGATGCGAGCACCAGCTGCATCGCGCCCTCCCGATCATGTTCTCGTGGTGGATCGCCTGTGTGGCTATCGTGCCCTTTGCCATGTGGCATCGCTGCAAAGCGGCCCTGGCTGCCGAGCAGGCTGCTACCAATGTCGCGACCGATAATAAGTCGACCGTTTCACTGCCGGAAAGTATCGACCGGCTCCACTCGCACCAGTCCAGTACGCGGGAGATCATCCGGCACAGTCGGAGGGAGACGGCTGAGTCTATCCGCTTGGAGCATATTGCGTATGGGCCCAGCTATCCCACTCCGGGCGTGAGGGGGGATGAGCCGTGAATGTTCACGTTAAATTGTGCAATATCTATTTTGTATATTATTGATAGATGGTGTTTCGGGAACATATATCCACACTCCATTGAGTGAATCGCATCTGCAGCAATTGGCATAGTTGAGACGATATGTACAGATACAGTAGACAGTTTTGGTCCTCTCTCGTCACGTCCCGCCTCAGTATAACGCCTCATCGGGTGTTTGCATGGCTGAACTCTGGGAACAAAAGCCATATGGTTGAAGATAGTGACTCCGGGGTTACAGCTCCCGGGGGGTCAGAAATTAGTGCCGGGGTCAGGACAGTTCCGACGCCCGTCTCCCCCGGAGCTGTAAGCCCAGTGACTCCGTACTCACTGAATTATGAGTATTAATGAATAATCCACTATCACAGCCCGACGGAGATATGGGCCGGTTGATACGGAAACGATCAGCATATCGGATCAAGATCGGACTATAGTCAGATATCTTCCGAGACTGACGCGGACTATGATGGACGACACACACTGAACGATGCTGTCAATATGTCGAGCCGGTGAATGACCACTGAAGTTAACATGTTCAAGTCCGTACCATGAGACTCACGTCACCATTGTTCGTCGTGACATCGGGTAAAACATCGTACTAGTCGGCTGCTAACTGGCTCAACCAAATGACAACGGATACACAGAAATTGACCGACATTGGATGTAACTTGAAAACAAACCATAGCAGAAAAGCATCGTACGATCGTCACAAGATGAGGATGAGTGCAGCTGACAGCGTTGTTCTCGAACATGGTGGACCCCTCAAGCCCCTTTTTCGACCAAAACCCGAACAACCTCCCAATGGCCGTTCTCCGAAGCACAACGAATAGGCGGATGTCCATCATTATCCACAGCATTTATATCCGCGCCCCGAGCCAACAGAAGCTCAACCACCTCAAGCTGGCCATTCTCGGCGGCAGAATGCAGCGGCGTACAGCCGTTCTCATCGGCCCCAGCTAAATCAGCACCATTATCAATCAGTAATCTCACAATCTCAATATGCCCACCGTAACATGCCAGATCTAGTGCGGTCCAGCCCCTACTATCAACAGCAGATACATTGGCCCCGTGGTCCAGAAGGAGCTGAACGAGCTCCGTATGGCCTTGATTAGAGGTCATATGCAACGGTGTGACCCCGGAGCCGTTCGCAACGTTCACACTGACCACTGCGCCTTGGTCAAGCAGTAGTCGGACAACATGTGCGTGTCCTTTATTAGACGCCAAGGCCAGCGGAGTCCACCCGTCATCTCCACTATAGTTGCCTCGGCCCCGTTCTCAAGAAGTAGTTTAACGATCTCCGCGTGTCCGTGGCTCGACGCGGAATGCAACGGCGTCCACTCATGCTCACATGAAACACCAACATCAGCACCTCGCTCGATCAGAAACCTCACAATCTCCTCATGGCCATGTACCGATGCCGTATTCAGCAATTCCCACACGCGAAAGTCCTCATTGCTGACCTTGAAATCACCCCCAAATAGCAGATTCAAGAGCGGCCGATAATCATCCTGCAAAATGGCCGTCCACACGTTATCAGCACCCCGAATACCGACATCCACGCCATCAGCAACCCCCAGCTTCGCTCCACTTTCAACCAGCAAATTAACCAACCCCAGACGGTAGGAATCATCCGCCGAGTTCGGCGGTAGCCACGCAGTCCTATTCGGGGGTCCCTCCTCTACTCCCGATGGGAGTCTAATCGCATTCAAGCTTGGGGGATGGGATCGCGAGCTCAGGTGGACTGTCGTTCGGCCGTTCTCGTCGGTAGATAGCCATAACGTTTCTTCGTTGATTGTTCTTTGTAGTGAGTTCTCTGGTTGGACTAGGGATGCGGTATTGTGGTTCTCCATGGTTCGTCGCTTGACTTGACAAAGTTTGGTGGGGAAAATCTGTTGAGAAAGATGGCACGTTATTATACCTACATGCATGCATGAACGAGAGGGGGATCGTCGTGTTTTGTAGCTCGATCTACTCCGTCGCATGTGTGCATGAATGTCGATCGCAATGTTTGGAACCAGATGCAAATACGAGGTTTTAGAGTTTGCTTTGTTTTGTATTTGCTTTCCTGCGTCTTCGGCGCAGATAGCTTGCATTAGACACCTTTTGTTGATTGACAGGGGGTATGCAGATCCGGCTGAATTCCGTTGGTTAATGTTAACTTATTATATTGGGTTCTCTAATTTCTAAGGTTGCTGGAATATGGGTACAATGTAGTACCCGGATATATATACTAGTAGCGGATCGTACCACGGGTATGCACCCACCGGTGCTGGCCGAGGTGTGAAGTAGTAAAATACATGCACAAATATAAAAGAGAGAATCATATAACGGAAGAGAGAAAGGTAAGAACTAATGAACAAGACGTATTATATTCAATTTTTCCTCGTATCTCGTGATAGGAGTGATTCCTTTGAAATGTAAGACAGACTGGAAATCAGTTTTGGGCATCATATTAAGACAAGCAGAGAAGGTGTTATTTCACTGCAACTTGTGTACATCCGATCCTCCAAGAATAGCCTTATCACCGATGCAGCTCGACGACGGGCCCTGTGTACACATGCCGAGCCCGGAAGACATAGTAGATCAACGCCAGGATAACCGTCCCGATCGTGCCGACCACACTGAAGTTCATCGTGGTTTTGTCGACGGACATCTGGGTGGGCCAGAAGCTGAAAAATACTACAATGGTCATGTAGATGACGGCGTAGCCATTGATCAAGGTACCGAAGATGCCTCGGACGTGGAAGGGCCCCCACATCAGCTTCGCGCCCGGTACGTTGACCAGCACGTCCTCCCCGTCGTTGTACAGAGAAATCTGGCCGGTGCAACGACGGTAGAGGAGAAGCGAGGCGACGATCAGGTAGGAAAGATAAATGCCGGAGACCGCCATGGAGATGATACCGTTCAGGGCAACATCAGATCCAATGTTGACGAGTCCCAGCAGACATGCGACGGTCATGGTGAGCAGAATGGAATAGGTCGGAGTGTATGTCCTCGACGAAACCTAATCAGAGAAAAGGTCAGCGGGGGTGGATCATCGAGGCGACTGATTTGTCGGCATCAAACATACCTTGCTCCACAAGCGCCAACCGGGCACCGCGCGATCTCTGGCGAACGACCAAAACTGTCGCGAGGTGGCCGCCAGCATACCAATGACTGAGCAGACGGCAATGATGAGCAGGACCGAACTCATGCCAAGCGCCCCCGGAACGGAGTCAGTGGCCTGGTAGAAGATTTCAATGAAGGGATACCCGGTGGGCGTATTGAGGGCCTTGTCGATGTCCCCCATGCAGAAAAGAGTGGCGATCAGCATGGTAAACCCAAGGGTGCCGTTGATCAGAACACTGAGAAGAACCGCGCGAGGGATCGCGACCGTGGCATTTGCGACTTCTTCAGCCATCTGCCATCGTTAGCCTTCCTATTTCCACTCCAAAACACTCAAGGACATACGTGGACCGCTGCATCACCACCCGCGAAAGCAAAAACACACCCAGTCATTCCGACGAAAAACGCTAGCCCGTCCGTGGGAAAACCGCCGCTGTTTACGAACTCCTTGAAGACCTCGTTTTTTGACTTGTGGTCGGCCATGTACGTCAACGGGATCAGGATCGCAAAATATCCCAGGATATGAACGACCAGGACAAGGGTCTCAAATCTAGGAAGCAACTTTCCGCCGACGATGTTGATTGCCAGGGCTAAACAAATCGCTGCCCACATGATCAGGGTGCCTTGCCATGGCTTGGGATCATAGTGTTCGTGCGCAAGGGTCACGACGCCCTGAATTTCCGTCCCAGCCAAGAAGCTGGCACTGGTAAAAGCAGACATCCAGCCAATGGTGGTGACCCAACCTGTGTAAATTGACAATTAGCCTTTGTGAGTGTTATCGACGCAGAAAGGATGGGACACTTACCGGTGATGTAACTCAGACATTTCATGACCCTCGGTGGGGAAAGCATCGCGCACCAGTGGTATTGCCCTCCGGACGTTGGTGCCCTAGAAATCATCAGCGCCTTAGTCCCTGACGCAATTGACCTCAAGTGAAATTGACTCACATCGAAGCCAGCTCCGAAAGCACTGTGAAGGAACATGCTGTTCCCGTCCACGCGAAGATGAACGAGTAGACCGCGCCCGCTGGACCTCCACTGATATCATCTTAGTATATCGCGCTCAATAGCAACGGACCGGGGAAAGAAGGAGGTGCGAACTTTTGCAGAGGGATGAGGAAGGTACTAGAGTGCGCGCGTTAGTATTCACCATCCGTTGTGCAGGAGACATGAGACTTACCCAAAAAGACCCTCCCAGGTGGCGAGAATGGTACAGCTGAAGCCGAGACTCGACAAGATCCCGAAGTTTCTCTAGCGATCGGAGGCGATCGTTAGTATACTTTCCACAGCATATTTGCCTTTCCGAAGTTGCAGACACACCTTCAGAACCGGTTTCTTTCCCAGGCGCGCGAGCTCAGCATTGTCGCGATCCTTTGTCGAATAGCCACCCGAGATGCGGACCTCGTTATTGGCGGATACTTGGTTTTTCAATTCATACGATGCCATTGTGACTGGGTTTCACCATGAGACGAATCTACCAAAGGATCGGATGAATCGGGTTAGTCCATGTGATAGAGCAATTGATCCGTGCATGAGCGATTGCGATTGGGTTGAATGATAGACCTCGGACATATAACAGATGGATATTAAGGCACGAAGGAAGTGTTTGGGACAGGTCACTTACCACGGTGGACAGGACGAACAGGAGGAGAAGATTCGGGTTTTTTCATGGGAGAGATGTTGCGGCCATGATTTATTCTCCCTCGCAACACAATCAGGGTGACATTCACTGTTAGGGGGGATTAATTTGGGGGTGGACTTGGAATGTCGCAGGTTACTCGGACCTTATGCTGCAAGGCCACTAGTGTGCGCCGGTGTGGAAAATTCTGATTCCCAGGCCAGGATTAAGATGAATGAGTTGATAATCATCCTTGCGAGGGCCAACGGCCAGACCACGTTCACTGGCCAGAATCCCTGTCACGCTAAACAACCAATTTCAATCCCTGTCCGGCACGAGGGGTCGAGACATTTTCTCGGATCAAACGTGCCATTCGATCCAAAAAAAAGAAAAAAGAAAACATGCCGTACTTTGTTGGTGGTTGAATTTGGATCTACTGGTAATCTGAAAGAAGATGCATCTTGCCGCCATCCAGACACACAGTCCATAGAAAAATAAGGCTCGATAAGCCTTTCGGGTCACGGGCAGAGATTACCTAAAGTTCAGCCCGAACCCCATTTCACGCCATTCGTCTTGGCCCGTTCCTCCAATGTAACCAACCTTAACGCACGCTCCGAGTTGCCCCGTGGTAAAGCAGTCGGGAGTGCCCGCCGTGGGTCGAATTAATTGAGGGTGACATCCGTTCAGGAACTCGGCAGTGGCAGCTCACGCGACGGCGAAACCATCCCCAACCCATCAAACTCTATCACTTTCTTACTCAGAAGCCAATATCGACACAACCACCTAATCACCGAATGTCTGCCGTCAAATATCACCCCTGCTGCACACTGTTGCCTAGCAATCAATGATATGACCCCAAAATCTCACCGACCCCATAATGCTTTTTTCTCGGCGGACGGGGGAAGTGAAGGATTATGCGCCTGAGGGCAATCACACTGTGGCGGATGCGCAAAACCACAGATACAAGTAATCCGGAGACGCTCACCCTCCCACAGTACTAGTAATCACCCCTCGGTCAATGTGATCCACCCGCCCTTGACGACACTTTTGAGGTCTCCAGATCGTCTGGAATCGCATCCATGGGTCGCTTTCTCCATGATCCAGATCGCAGAGCCCCCATTCTCAATGTAGTCAACTGGTTCCTTCTCGTGGTCGCCGTCCTGAGCGTCCTCACAAGGCTGGGAACGAAACTATGGATGTTCCATCGCTTCACCAGCGACGATTATTTGATTATGGTATCGCTGGTACGTCTGACGGACTTGCCGTTGACCAGTCACGGCATCGAGCTAACATATTCTTGCTGCGTGAGATAGCTATTCGCCATGGGAGGATCGATCAGTATGTCCATCGCCGTACACAACGGCTATGGCGATCACGTCGGGGACATTGATGCTTTGCATTGGGAAGCAATTCAGAAGGTGTGCTTTAGACCAGAATCGGTTGCAGTCGCTAGCGAACGGAGGAAGAGCCAGAACTGATTGGATCTTGTCTGTCAAACAGGCACAATACGCAGGATTCTTGGTGTTTACTCTGAGTCTCTATTTTTCGAAACTATCGTTGTCTGTGTTTATCCGGAACCTGACACCGGTATCGAGAGACCATTTTCATGCCACCATATTGCAAGTTCTCTTGACCGTCTGGGCGGTTGTCGCGCTCTTTGGCAGCGCCTTTCAGTGCCAAGCCTCGCGACCCTGGGATACTAGCGGCTCATGCATTGATCTTGTATACCTCCCCGACATGGCACGCCAGTCGAGACACCTACTGACGCTGGTGGATAGAACGCGTGGCAGTACTACTTCTGCGCCTCCAACATCGTGACCGATATCTTCATCATCGTCCAGGCGCTGGTGTTGATCAGTCGTATCCAAGCGTCGGTCAAGAAAAAGATAGTGTTTGCCACGATCTTCCTGTCCCGTATTCTGTGAGTGACTCCGTTTCCAGAATAGTGACAATTGGGCACCATTGCTAATCCTGCCCGTCTGTCGAAAGGGTCATTCTCCCATCCATTGCCCAGCTCGTCTTGATCCACGACGTCGCCAACTCCCCCGATCGAAGCTTTGACGACTACGGGGTGGCCATTGCCGTCGAGACGGTCCAGTGCGCGAGTATCGTCACCGCCTGCTGGGGTCAGCTGAAACCGTTCCTGAATCAGCTCAAGTCAAACGGCCTGCGCATCCAGGGTGTGGAGTATCAGCACACGTCCGCCAAAGCGTCCAACCCCCGGTCCGAGGGCCAGGACGATCAGTCGCGGCACACGGATCCCACTCACTCACACTCGCACAGCCATCATGAGCTCGTCCCCATCGGATCTGGCCAGGGGAACATGACCACAATCTCAGCGTCGCGCGCATGGGATGCTGATAGTCAGTCGAGTCAAGCAGGAATGATCCGGGAGACTCGGACGTGGAACGTCAGTGCGGCGCGGCGCAGCGAGCGGAGTGATAGTTTGTGATATCATGGCTGGTCTGTCATATCCTTCGTAGTGATGGTTACACACAAAGAACTACTAATGTTAACGTGTTTATGAATTGAATCGCTTAAAACGCGCCGACAACATACTCTCCCACAGTAGTTGCATCTCGGTTCATCACATACCCCCTGGATAGTATTCCGAGACTTGTAGTATACATGTATCCCACCCAATTGCGAAGAGTGTATCATGGCTTTTCATAGAAGCACTAACAGATAGCCATTACCGACCAATGAATATTAAAGAAATATAAGTATAGAAGAAGTATAAAGGAAAGGAACGTTTCCAAATCAGCATTTATACCCAGCAAACGACGGCCATCAGGTTCTACGCGGTTCAGGCGATTGCATCCGCGGAGGGCAGACCTCATGAGCCAGCGTAACATTCGTCGTCACCACGATTCCATGTTCAGGACTGTCGCCAGGCTTATGTGGCATAGCTTCAATAATATGCTCCTGGCTTTCACCGGTTGAATCCCGTCTTCGGCCAACCCAGGCCCTGGAGGACATCTCGTACGGATGAGCCTCGCTTGTAGAATTGAGCGTGTTGAACTCTCGGCTTTGATGGGAGGCGAATCCCGACATCCGTGATTTGTGGGTCGAGGCATAGTTGTTGCCGTTGTTATTCGAGGACCCGTACGACTTGAACCATCCGATTCGCGTAAAGAGTGGCTTGATTCCTGGTGCGCAGACGATGAATGCTGATACGAATCCCTCACGCGACGCCCAGCCGAGTGCGGTGGAAAGGTGATTGATGTCTCGGACGGAGAGATAGGCACGAAGAACAGCGCAGATCATGACGAAGATACCGGAGGAGAATAGAGCGACGAGAACAATCTTTTGGGAGAGGGGGATTTGGGCATGCAGAATGAGTGGGATCGGGACACACATGATTGCCAGATCATTCCTACAAAGAAGGGATTAATCATTTCTTGTTTGTGAGGAATGAGGATGTCCAGGGGGAGGATAACAACATACACAACACTGATAGCCTCGATGAGGATATAGTTCAATGGGCGTAATGTACATTTGTCTATTGGATTATAATAAGCCGGACGCAATGCTTGATTCCGTGTAAGCAGGCTAACTTACCTCCAGCATATGGTTTAACCTGCCAGTTCTTGTGTATCGGCATGCAGTCGAACAGGTGAAAGAAAATTGATATGAGAAACGTGCCGACTGTAATGATCCCCACTATCCTTGTCAATCGATGTTGCGCAAGTCCCATCCTAGTGTTGTAAGCATTATCACTTAGTTGAGGCTATTCCACAGTGCAACATACGTGAGCCGGTTGTAGAGAAAGACAAGCACGCCCTTGAAGGCCCACACCATGCAGATGTAGGTAACCCAGGCAATGAATGCACATACTGATCCTTTTCTGATATCCGACACCTTCTCGTCCGGAATCAACTCCGCTGTCTTCTCGTTAAGGCCGATATTAGACCATGTGAATACCTCTCTACGGCCCTCTCCAAGGAAATGACCCAGCGGACATCAATTGGTATCGTTGAGTCCCTGTATGTATCACTAACACCCTGTATCTCTTCGACTTAAGCATTACTAATTAACAGAATAAAAGCTTCCTCGAATTCCTTCCTGGCATCCAGAAAGTTCCCGAGTACCTCCAAGTCATCGGATACAAGAATCCCGATGACCCCTTATTTGCTCCGCTTCAATTCGCGCACAACTTCCAGCAGGATAGCTTTGCCTGGCTCTGCGAGAAACCCGCCGCCCTCACCCGTGTCAATGCCTTCATGGAAGGGCAGCGTGCTGATCGTCCTCACTGGGCGGACTGGTTTCCTATCCCCGATTGGATCCTAGCTAGTGCTCACAAAGACTCAGATGGACCCCTCCTAGTCGATATCGGGGGTGGTCGCGGACATGACTTGCTCGGCTTCAAGCAACGGTTCCCTGACGCACCCGGTAAGTTGATACTAGAGGAGCTGCCCGTGGTGATTGAGGAGGCACGGTCAGCACTCGATCTTGAGGGCAACGGCATTGACGCTGTTGGATATGATTTCTTCGCTCAAGAACAGCCGATCAAAGGTAAATGTGTGCCCATTCCCAAATACCATGTGGTCACTGACGAAAGTCGATGAAAGGTGCCCGTGTCTACTATTTCCGAAACATCTTCCACGACTGGACGGACGATAAGGCACGTCTCATCATCAAGAATCTCGCTCCTGCCATGGAACGCGGCTACTCAAAGGTGCTTCTGGAGGAGTATATTATCCCGGATGAGAACGCGCGAGCACTCGAGGCAATGACCGATCTTGCAGTTATGGTATTCTGCTCCGGACTGGAGCGCACGCGCCAGCGATTCACAAACTTATTGGAGTCCGCCGGTCTGAAAGTGACTAAGTTCTGGGCCCGTGAGGGAGATGGACAAGGAATTATTGAGGCGGAGTTGGCCTAGACATGTAGTATTGCTCTCCCACTGACATGTTCATGGCAGTTGGTAGAGACCGAGGCCGCAACTAGTGTGTCTAGCTAGTTACGATGAGATGCATTTATCTTAATTGACGTGGCATTTGATTATCCCCGTACCGTTGTTGGAAAATCTAGCTGTACTGGATATTTGACAAAGAGCGCCACCTCTGGCGCGCCGGCGTCACACACCACTCACTAGGTGCATGGGCCCAGAATAAACATCCCTGTTGATTATGCACGTTTAATTCCTCACTGCTGTCAATGACCCACCAGACCCCGGCAAAGGGTCTGCAGCCTTGGGACTTGCTTTTTCTGTCGCAATTCTCGTCTGTTACATCCGGAACTGCGATATTAAAGGTGCCAACCCAAGGCCTGTTTCACACTCATGGTGGATCGGGAACTATTTCAGGGCGCAAGGTGACATGAGACAGTCGTTTCTACAAAGCAGACGCCAGTCGTCCTTGATGCAGGTCTGCGACTAACTGCAGCTTTGACCTTTTATCGGCTAGCCCGGGTTCGGCCATGCAGCATCAAATCCAGTATCAAACCCGGATGACCACGTTTCGTCGATAAACGGCCATTGCATCATTTCCGTCTCGAGCTCATGTGGATCCAGCATGACCTGGTCGTTAAAGGTGATGCTCGCATGGGCTGGACAACCTGTTGGTCCATGATTCTGCGGCACCGCAGCATCCCTCCCTGATACATCTCGCCTACGCGTTATAGATACGTCATGGCGCGGGCGTGAACAGCGAATATCACCATACTCGTCTAGTGTGCTGGCTAGAGTAAGGTGGCCCGGGCGGTCGCCGGAAACTGTGTGCTCGTGGTTACTCTTTGCAGTTTCGTAAAATTTGTTGGCCTCTTGCACAGTCCGCCACTATTAACGGTCAGTTTATTAAGGATACGAGAGAGCTGACATAGATATACCCAGCTATGGCCAACTGGCCAGAAGTCACAAAGTCTTTCCAGATATGCGAAGTTCCCTCTTTTCTCTCGCTCAGCCCGTTCTTGACCCCCTGGGTAACCTCGTGGCGACACAGTGCCATACATATTGATATGAGCGGCAACAAAGACACTAAATCCTGCGTATGGAGTAATTACTGACGCACCGGAGGCTTCGAGGGCGGACAGGATGCCACCTATGTTCTGGGCCGCTTCAAACAGCTCTTCAATCGCGGCCTCGCACCAGGTGGATTCTTCCAAGTTTGTTGCGACTCGCGGATCATGATTCGGGCCATGCAGAAGTTTCAAGCTCGATAGCACCCGGTCGCGATGAAGAAAGAGGATGCTAGACGACTCAGTTAGCCTCTTTATCAGGGGTCGGATTATTGAATAATCAGGCGTGCCTCATGAAATAAACCAGGTTGATGTAGGCGAAAAGCTCCCCGTACCCCAGAGCCACATGAGCTTGGGCACTGGTAGTTGGATACCGGACTGTCACATCCTGCAGGGATCGCCATTCATCCAGTTCCTCCTTAAGACTTTCCCACGTTTTCTGCGGCGATAGCGCGGTATTCAACGATGATGATGTCCGGCCACGACGGCTTTCGTTCGCAAACCGCAGGATACGCACAAAGATGTCAAAACCGCGCGTGACGATCGTTAAGCCATGATCGATGGTCATGGCAGCGGAAAGAGGGGAGTCTCGGGTGAGATTAGCAGGCATCAGCCGACGAGATGCTCGTCGACCAAAGTTGAAATCATGGTCGCCAATGGGCAGTGGTACCGATATCTGGCGAAAAGATAGGGCGAAGTGTTGACGGGCACCCGAGCTCAACTCGCAGTCTTGGGCGAAGCAGCACCAGTACGTGCGGACCAGCTGTTCGTATTGAATCTGGGAGGAATGAAACTCATCTGGATTGTGTTCCATGCTGTCGTCTGCAGTCTTCAGGAGCGATTGAATCATGTATGTGGCCATTCCTTCTCATGTGTGTGAGCAGTCTTCAACACAACTGAATGTGTAAGTTATATACTACCTACCGCTGTACATCCACGCCTTATAAGGGCGGCCTGACCCCCATTCGTATAATGAGACTATCACCAAAGACTGTGCCAAGTAAAGAGAAGGACCTTCAAAGGCCCGATGAGCTAACTGCACCCGCGCATACTCGGCGTATACCTCTCCAGGTTGCAACTGATGCCCCGGCAGGAATCGTGCACATAGGGCGAGCAATGAAGCCACGAATACTGAATCCACCGACGAGGGATTGGTGGAGATTTCAGCAATCAGAGACGGATAATGAAGGAAGTTGGCTACAGGAAACTTTTTGCGATAGATATCACAGGCACTGATGAGAACGGACGAGGGGATTGAAGCAATGGGGTTGGAAGATGTGGCAACTGGGCACCACTGCCTGCCATTGCTTCCGTTCACCGGGCAGCTTTCTGCTCCCGATCTAGATGTTGGTCTTGCCTTTGACTGAACACGCAATGAATCTCGTCTAGGGCGCAATGGTGACGACCGCGGGTCTGTGAGTACACAGGACTGTCGATTGAGGCGTTGACACCGCCGGCAGGGAGGGTGACCGTCATGGACACACTTGACCTTTGATTGCCTGCAAGATGGTTACTAATTTACTCAATTGGGGGGGTGTTATCTTATCACAACTGACCGACAAGCATCACAGGATATCGACAGACGCATTATCGGAGTATCTCATTGGCATTCTGTAGATCTGTCGGGAGTATTTGATAGGTAGCGTGGGTTTCTGTGTCGGGAATGTCGGGAAAGATGAGTAATCCCACAATCCCCATTAGTCACGTCGGCCCTGAATCCCGATCAAGCACACCGAAGCATCCGGCAAAATAATTTGAACACGCTCCGAGTTTCACCCTTAAATCGCGTGATAATTCGCAAGGCCGTAGTTTCAATCACAATGCCTCGATGAATAACGATTTTTTTTTGAATCTTAAAATTCATACAGAATATAAGCCACGGTCTCACTATATAGTAGTTTTTCTTTCATCAGAAAAATCCATTTCGGTATATATATTGACCCTGCAGCATCCAAGCCGAAACCCCCTTTCCACGGTCGCAAGTTCATGGTTCGAGGTCTGAAGGACCGCCTTCCCCTTCGGTCCGAACCTCACAAGTCAGGTGACTTGGGAAGAGGTTTCGCTGCATACGTTTCTATAGTAAGAATGCCATAAGTCATTTCACTCACAATATTTGGTTTATGAGACGACCAAGAAGAAACCCTTTGTCCGGTGTCATATGATCTGGCGCGCAATATAGATGGACGAGGTGCAGAAAACCACCTTCTACCTGAGTAGCAAAATTATATATATCCTAGCCGAATCATACATAATCCTCAAGTTTTGCCATTATTCCTTGCACTGATATGTGGAGTCCATGATTGCAGATGAAGATCCATTTTGATGAAGCATTGAACATATTTCAACCAGTCAAACATCTCACGCAAGTTCAAGAACAGGATACCATATGGCTGACGGAAGATGATCAACATGCGACTCTGGGCTCATAGGTGGTTAATCTATAGCTTCCTTTCTTGGACTCAAACGAACAATTGACTCGGCAGAAGGATTTACCGATCATGGCGCTACTATGCCCTGTGTATTAGATTAAGTACCTAATTGGGGTTCACTTTTCCGGGCTCCCGCGCTAGGTCGAAGATGCTATGATTCCTACTGGTATACTACCCCGGGATAATGAATCCGTAGGGAGCATTCTCCGCCAAGGAGGTAGCAGCCCGTGTCATTTTTAGCGGCGGATTAGCTGCATATCCGAAGAGGCGCCGGCCAATGCTGGAGGTAGATAAGATATTGACTGTCGTTAGATTGGTGGAAGGATTGGGGCCTGAGATATTCGCTTGCGCCAACTCACCATCTCGGCTGTGTCTAGCACGATTCATGATCTAGTAGCTGCGTTGATCGTAGTCTCAAATCCATAGGAACCTTTAGGCCTCCAAGTCCTGACGACGTAACTTGCTCATGTTAACACTCCCCTTTTGCCGAGACGTTCAGGCCCGCTTGGCAAGCGTAACAAATGCTGAGAAGAAGAATGATATCGATAAGTATAGTTAGGACCTGGGGACTGATCTGGCAATACAAATGCTGAACTTCAGTCTTTCCTTGTATTCTATTTGTCTGGTAGATATTCCCCGCGTAATTCCCTTGCTACTATGCAACTGAAAAACTATATATCTCTAGTTCTTCACTCCGAAGATAACGCGGCTAACTTTTCGTTTACTTGGTTTATTTCCACTCTTATCTAGTTCTAAGGAATAGCCCTTTCACACCTCTAGGATCTGTTATAATCCTCAAAGCCGGAGGAAAATACTATAATACAATTATATAATCCTTCAGTAATAGTGGCAGCTCATACACACCAAATTCAGTCATGAAGAAATTAGTCATATTAAAATCTATATCGCTCAAATGCGCTCCCAACAAGAAAATGCAGCATCAAGAAAAGAGAACATGCAAAACTCGCTCAAAGAAATGCCATGCCATCATACCGTCGTCCACTGCTGAACCCACGCATTCAACTTATCCACCTCCAACGCTCCGTCGCCCAAGAGGTAACAAACCTCATCACAGCCTGCTCCCCATCCAACGGATCCCAGGTATAAAACCGGAACCGCTCTTGCAGCTGTCGCACCAACGCCGTGGGCAAAGTGACAAATACCTGATTTGTTTCAGTCGGCGCAGCCAACGGATAGCCCAGTTTTTCAAAGTTGGCCGAGATGCGCTGCGCCATGGTGTTGGCATGGGTCGCCAGATCAAAGTAGAGGTTCTCCCGGAACAGCTCTGCAAATTGGACGCCCATGATGCGCGCCTTGGCCAGCAAGGCTCCGCGTTGTTTCAAGTGGAAAACGAAGCCCTCGGCAAGATGGGAGCGCACGACAATTGCCTCTCCCAGGAGGGCGCCCATCTTAGTACCGCCGATCCAAAAAATGTCGAGGAGGTCGACCAGATCTCGGAGGGTTACGTCGTTGGACGGTGCGCTGAGCGCGACGCCGAGGCGGGCGCCGTCCATAAGCAGTAATAGCTTCCACTGCTTGCACACGGCCGACAGTTCTTGGAGTTCGCGTTTGGTATAGACGGTTCCCAGCTCGGTGGCGTTGGAGATATACACCAAACGTGGCTTAGCATTGTGAGGGCACCATTGGTGCTGGCGCACTACATGGTCTAGATTGTCGGGGGTCATTTTGCCTCGAACGCCCGGCACGAGGATGGTCTTGTGGCCGGTGGCTTCAATGGCACCGGCCTCTTTGTCGACGATGTGGCCCGAGTCTACCGTTAATACTGCCTCGTAGGGCCGTAGACAGCTGGCGATACTGATCAGGTTGGCGGAGGTGCCGCTGGGCACGAAGTGGATGTCTACCTCATCTTCGGTAGCTTGTAGACGAGACCGGATTAACCGGCGAGCTTCATTGCTGTATTCATCATTGCCATAGGAAAGTTGTTGGGTGGAATTTGAGCGCAGAAGCGCTTCAAGTAATTGTGGGTGAGCTCCTTCGCTGTAGTCGTCGGTGAAGCTATACTGAGGCAGAACCTCGGTCTCTGGACAGGAGGCAGGCATTTTTCTAGAACAACCACGGAATGTTAAAGTCAATTCATATAGACAAGGGAGGTTTCAACCACAGCAGATGATTGGGGATGCATTTATAGAAATGAAAAATATCCCACGGTCGGGAATGAGTCAACCCTAACAATGGTTGATATTTTGGACTTTGATAGCGGAAGCTCCACTCTATTCCCGACGTCGGGAATAACAAGCAGATTCCCGTTCTCATTATGTCACAATGAACCAAAGTTTTCAATGGAGACCAACGTTCTAGAATGGTCCACTTTTGTACACAATCCCCCTTGCTCGATGGATTCCATTCCAGATGGCTCTGGTCAGCTTTCCCACCCTTCTGGCAGCACAATCCCGACGCATTGCCAACTCAGACGTCAGATGAGCACATGCACATCCCAACGGCTGGGGCCTCCATCTCAGGACGTCATTGACATGGGCAATCTCTCGTTGCATAGCTGCGCCGGTCTCAGAGAAGTGAAGGCGGTCTGTGGTCGACACGGAGTCCGTCCGTGCCACCCGTCGAAGGTCAAATATCGGACGATCAATGGCGCCAGGTGCAATCGGAGTTAATTCGGTGCTCAAAACTGCTCCTGTATCACGTTGTCTCGCTGCGAATGGCGTCACCAGCAATATTCAGCGTAAAAATATTGGAGTATAATGTCACGCCGGCCTGGTCACAGACATGCTATGGAAGAATACCTCCATCACCATGATGCTGATCTCGGTGAATGAAACCCGAAAGCCGATTTCAAAAATCAGGGCCGGATTATTGGATCCCCGGGATGTACCCTGGGGTGTACGCCGGAGTAAGCTTTAGATCATTGCCGTTAATATCCGGTAGACGAGATATGGGGCTCAGATCTGTGGGTCTCGACACCGAGGCAATGCACCGCTATCCTTCGCTATCCGCTTGGTACCTTGGGTACGGAGTATATAACAATGCTTATGAGAACCCCGATGTAAATGAGTCTGGGGTAAAGAGTGGGCCAAAGTATATCTAGCTGAGGAGTCCCGGATGGCCTCAAGATAGAAATGGTGGTCTTTGTCTTCGACGGATCCTTTCCGGGAGCGAATTGAATTGCCTTGGTAAATCGGACTATTTCCTGAGCTCTCTGATCAAACGCTGTGATGAATATTATGTTATTCAACATTAACCATAGCATAGCCAGAAAATCTTCGCTAAGCACACCCGGAAGATTGTGCAGTTATCTGATACAATGACTGACAGTATAGCATGCCCTAGTTCATGGACCTTGCGGCCAAAAGCTTGATCCATGGTTCTAAGATTATACGTCAAAGACAAGACATAGACGGTGGAAAAGCCTTGGAGATGCTAGACGCAGTCAGCAAGACCGTCTTGGAATAAAGTGGGTCAGAGTGCGTTTAGAGGCATCATGCATGTCATCTTGATGCCACCACTCTGATAGGTTCACAGTATGGATATACTTACCTACAAACTCTTCTAAAGGTCCAGAGATTGATTCATTCACCAACGGATAAAACAGGCACTACTCTTCAGTGTGCTCGGAAGTCCAGGGTCTTGAGGCCCCAGTCTCGTGATGTAACGCTGTATGCACATAGTCCCCACAATGGGCGAGATGCGTTCAAAGATGTCCTATCAGCTTTCTACGAATAGCTCATAATATGAAGTCTTATAGTAGAGGCTGGAGTCAGCTACTGCAGTGTCGGAGATGGGTAATTTTCGTCCCCTCGCTTAAAGCGCACATTCACTTTCCCAAGATTCACACGCATTCTCCAGTTACAAAAAACCCCAAAACGTCCTATCCACCAAAATGGGAGACATTGCTACCCCCACAAACGGACATGCCCTTGTCTTCGGTGCCTCTGGAGTTAACGGATGGGGTTTTGTGAACGCTCTTGCCTCTGATTATCCCGATCCTAAGGCATTTGATCATATCACTGCTTTTACGAATCGTCCTCTCAAACCAGAGATATCGCAATGGCCAGTCACAGATAAGCTGCATTTGGTGTCCGGCTTGGATCTTATCCATAGCACCCAAGAGACGCTCGAGCAGCAGTTGATTGATCGGGTCTCTCATCTAAAAACGGTAACTGTTGTGTATTTCTGTGCTTATGCCATGGATCCCGAACCGGAGAAGGAGACCGAGGTGAACATTGATATGCTTAATAAGACCGTGCTCGCAATCGAGAAACTGTGCCCGAACTTCCGGTTTTTGGTCTTGCCAACAGGCATAAAGGTGCGTAGAATGGGGTTCGCTACCTTGGTCTCCTGTAATCAAGGGATATTGACTCATGACGATATAGGCGTACGGTGTGCATCTCTTTGAGCAATTTCCCTTCAAGGACAACGTCCCGCTCAAGGAGACTCATCCTGAAATTCCTGAGCCATATCGTTCGCAATTATTCTACACCTATCAGCACAAGCTCCTTAGAGGGCTATGCAAAGGCAAGAACTGGACTTACTGCGATGTAAGACCCGATGTCATCATTGGGTTCGTTCCGAACAATAATGCATACAATATCGCGCAATGGATTGCCCTGTATCTCAGTTTATATCGCAAGATCCATGGTGAGGGTGCGGAAGTGGTCTTTCCAGGAACCAAAAGTTGGACAATCCAGAGTAATGACAGCAGCCAAGACATCATCGCCCAGTTCGCCATTCATGCTAGTTTGCACCCGGAAATAAGCGCGGGACAGAGCTTCAACATAGCGGACGAGGCTCAGTCGACGAGCTGGTCCGTGAAATGGCCTATCATGTGCCAGTATTTCGGGCTGAAGGGTGTAGCACCCATAAACGGACCCGGCCCGGATCCCACAGCGTTTCTTCATGAACATCAGGATGAATGGTTGGCGATGGAGAAGGAGTACAACCTACAGACAGGACATCTGTTGGGTAATAACATAAGCATTCCAGATGCCCCTAGCTTCCTCATGTCCCTATTTGAATTCGATAGACCGCTGGATCTTACCAAGGCGCATCAGGCATGGGGAGATGCTAAAGAGGAAAGAGATGTGCGGGAAGTGTGGTATACCGCATTCGATCGATTCAGGAAAGCCCGAATCATTCCATAGGTGATAGACTTACTAGAACCCACTGTTGACCAGTCTGTCGATACATTTACTGTGAGAGATACACAGGGAAATGTCTTGGGTTGAACGATTCGTTCACGAAGTTGGCGAATTTTTCCTTGAATCAATCACTAAGCCAAAGTTATAGGAATCGGTATAAAAATTCCAGGTTTTGCAAGTTGAGTGAATCATGATGTGAGGATGCCCCTAGGACATCCGTAAAATCATCAGTAAAGTTAAACAATCCGTACCATTCACTGGACGCTGTTATATCCGCATTCTCCATGCTCGGGGACGGTTGTAGGGCAGGTGCTAGTGTGGGGTCATCACGAATAGAATCCATGGCCTCAGTCGGGGTAGGCAGATCCTGAGCTTGATCTGTATGGGTACTTTTCTCGGTAGTCTCAATCTGGTTTACTGGCTGGCCTGATGGTGTGACAATGTCTGTCAAGCGGAGGGTACGCGCGGTGCTATCATCCAGGCACCGGAAGAAAAGATTTAGTACCCAATTTTCTATATCCCATGTTTTCTGTAGCTCCTGGAGCCCAAGAAGACAGAGCTTTGCGCGGTGTTCTGCCAACTTCCTAGCGGTTCCGGACGTTCGTCGACAATGGATGGTATGGATACACAGCGTTGAAAATGTATGGGTGATTCTATCACGTTAGCATGTGGCTGGGAAATAGCACGTAGGCGCAAAAGAACCATACAGATGGGTAGGCCCATGTTGGGCAAGGTTGTGAGACAGCATGTCCTCAATAATCCTGGTACTCCTAGTTGCGGCATCCAGTGCAACCTGGCCTGCTTTATTCACGGAAGAATTGGAAGAATTGAGGAACGATGATCGGTGTAGGAGAATGTACAAGTTACTGAAAAGTCAGAAAGCTTTCATAGGAAAGACCGCGACGCCAGCCACATACTTGTACGTCATGTGCAGCAACCCGGTCAAAAACATTGCCTTCGGGGACGTTGCACTTTCTAGTTTCAGGGCTGCAGGCAAGCATGATTCCCATTCGCATAGTGTTTGTTGTAACTTTGTGCGCGATGATTCGTCGGTATCGGACTGCACAGGAAGGTATTGTGTCGAGACAATAGTTCGCACTGTCTTCTTAGCGTGGACGCCAGAAAGGCAGTGTAGCGGACATACATATCCTGGCTAATTTGGCCATTTGCGCCGGATAGACTATATCTTCGTCTCTCTGTCCTCCAAACACATTTGCATCATCAACTGTTTCGTCTTCACGGATATCGCTGGGCTCAAGCATTGCCACATCGCAGTCCTCGTCTCGTATCCGAGGCGGAAGACCCAAGGCTGCTGCACTCTGCTGGTCGCGTATCTTCCTTTATGTTAGAGTAGCTATACGATGAGGGTGCAGCAAATACCCACATAAAGGGCCCACCATATTCGCTTCCATAATTTCTCTTCCCGCGCGGACGGGAAGGGTAGTTTGGACCTAGGAGAGTCAGCAGCGCCACAATGTTTCATCGTTCCGATACCAACATCATATGCATGCCACGCTTTTGAGCCAGGCTGATAGCTACTCCCAGCCAGAACCGCGTATCGCGTTCTTCAGATGGGCCTCCGCGCCAGGAGCTTAGCAAGAACAATGACTGCAGCTTGGTCGTTTTGTTCGGCTCCCAATCGGCATCATATATGGCCTTAGCCCGACCATAAAAGAGGAACTTAGCTCGATATCGAACAGAGAACTCTGTGCGTGCAAAGTCTTCGTCAGTGCAAAGACTAACTCCTATGAAGAGCATCGACTGCAGCAGAAGGTGAGAGATATCGCCTCGGACGTATGACTGTTTGACCGCTAAGCGGTCCAAAATGGGAAAGCATGGGTGGAACCATGTGAAGTAGGCTCTCAGTAGTATGGCACAAGTTTCTGTTGGGGGGTAGGAGAATGCACCGTCAGCATTCAGCTGCTCTTGCACCTTTCGCCTGTGTGCGCGGAGAGCTTCATCACGCGTACTATTAGCGTCCAGCCTTTCTGGGATGGGGTAATGAAGACGAGTATTTTGCATAGCGTTCGCCGGACCTTTCTCAGGCGACCGCCGCCCCTCGTCAATAACACACGTCAGGGGACTTGATTCTCCTAGGAACACGGTCTGATGAGACACAGTTGTCGTATCTCCAGGTGATATCCAAGAAGCTCCAAAGCTGTTCCGACTATGTGTCACACTGCTGCCGCGTTGTCCCAGACGATGGCGTAGATCGGGAGAATCCGATGCATCTATATGCACAAGCGAACTATCACCAGGCTGGAAAATACTATTATCGGCGGAAACAGTCGATTCCGAGATTATGGAATCTCCCTCTTGTGGAGTGCCCAACTGTCGTAAAGCCTTCTTGCGAGGATACCTGGAACATATTGGCATGTGTACTTCCTCGGTACAAGTATGGGTCCATTATATGTAGATCAAGCTTACTTTCCTCGCTTGGATACCCCCACTTCACAGGGAACATTCATAGAGACGCAGTTGTGACAAGGCCGCGTCTCAAGGACATTACAGCGGATACGGCGCCGATTGCAATGAAGACACGCCTGTCGGGCGCGCTTCCTAGTCGGATACCGACCCGAGTCGGCTTCAAGCGTCATTATAATATTATAATACGATTTATACTTGTGAGTTAAAGGAATACACACGGCTGGCATGAGAAGAGCACAAGGGAGATGAAGCAACGAGGGAGGAGCGAAGTACATGAGCCAAGTCGGCTATATGGGTCTTGGCACCTGTCCGTCGGCGTAACTTCTATACGCCGAGCGGCATTTCTTGCTAGCCTTGTCCATTATGAATCCTTCCCCGCATCATCAATCCCCAACTCCGCCAGGATCGCCGCATTATGTTCTCCAACATCCGGAACTGCGTCCATTCTAGCCGAGAATCTGCCAGGATCGCCTTGCGTTAATCCCGGTGGCAGCAAGGCTGGAACCGTCCCAGCCGGGGTGGAAACCTCAGTCCACCGACCACGCGCTTTCAGCTGTGGATGTTCCCAAACACCCTGCATGTCGTTGACATTACCATTGGCAATAGCGGCCTCATCCAAGAGGGTAACCACTTTCTCCGCTGTTAAAGACGAGAACGCCTCGCAAATAATTTCCTTAAGTGCATCACGGTTCTGCGATCGAAGGGAGTTGTTGACAAACCGTTCATCCGCCGCCAAGTCAGGCAGAGACAAAACCTTCTCACAGAAATTGACCCATTCCCGTTCATTCTGAATTCCAAGCATGACTGATTTTCCATCCCCTGTTTCAAACGGCCCATAGGGGTAGACTGCAGCGTGTGTGGCTCCTGTGGGGGTCGGTCTTGGTGCGTTCTGGTAGGTATAGTACAGCGGAAAACTCATCCATTCGACCATGCTCTCCAACATGGAGATATCGATATTACACCCACGTTTCTCGGGGTCATTTCCCCTTTGAATGATAGCCGCCAAAATGTTAGAGTACGCGTAGCTTCCAGCAGAAATGTCCGCGATGGAAATGCCTACTTTAGCGGGCTCTTGAGCGGTCCCTGTAACAGAGAGCATGCCTGCCTCGCTCTGGATAAGCAAGTCATAGGCCTTCTTATCACGATAGGGGCCATCTGGTCCGTACCCAGAGATATTGCACACAATCAGTGAGGGGTGCTTTATCTTAAGCTCTTCATGCGACAGTCCTAGTCGTGCACTGGCTCCGGGAGCCAAGTTCTGAACTAGGACATCTGCTTTACCGAGCAGGCGCATTAGGACCCCATGATCGCGCGGCTTCTTAAGGTCTAGTGCGAGACTTTCCTTCGACCGATTTGTCCAGACGAAATGCGATGCAAGACCGTTGACCCGAGTGTCGTAATTACGTGCAAAGTCTCCAACACCAGGCCGCTCGATTTTGATAACGCGAGCCCCCAGATCCGCCAGCTGCCGCGTACAGAATGGAGCTGCAATAGCCTGTTCAAGGCTGACCACAGTGATGCCAGAGAGGGGTCCCTTTGGTGAGGCCTGGGTTGAAACGTTGCGAGCGCCTGGTAGCCGAAGACCCAACGCCTGAGATAGCGGTCGCATGGGAGCCATTCTGGGATAGATTAATGAGAATTATCTAGACAGGATTATGTCGACGGACAAAATCTATGTTTTAACTCAGCCCTTCAATGGATACTTCAATTTAATAGTTACCTACCTCGGCCTGATGGGCCGGTGGGGTCAAGCGGTTATTCGGCGGTTATATGCCGTGTCGATGAGCGGGTTTATGCCGGGCACATGGTTCGCGCCGCGCATACCGTTTATTTATAATTCCCAATCACATCTCGAACGATCACTTAGCCTGTAAATCCATTCGTCATGTCTCGACATTGCGCTCAGAAAACACTATCCTCTAGAGTCAGTCCAGCTATTGGGAGAGTGCTGCCACGCAGCCCGATAGCATCATGGACGACGCCGCGGTCAAGGTTCTCCACCTCCGCTCGACGCCCGTTGATGGAATTGACAGGGTTTACCGAGGAGCAGTTAACCATTCGCGAGGCGATCTCAGCCATTTGTGCCAAGTTTCCTAACACATACTGGCAAGAATGTGACCAAAACGAACGCGATCCCAAGGATTTCCATGCCGCGTTGGCTAAGGACGGATGGCTAGGGATTGCGCTACCCGAAGAGCTCGGGGGAGCCGGGCTCGGTACGTTCATCCAATGAAGGAATCCAATGCAGTGACATTATATTAATAAATGGCTAGGCATATCTGAAGCAACGATGATGATGCAGACCATCACTCAATCCGGTGCTGGAATGGCCGGGGCTCAATCTATTCATGCAAATGTGTATGCCACGCAACCTCTGGCGAAGTTCGGTACCAAACAACAACTCGAAGAGACCATCCCTAAAATCATCAATGGCACCTGGCGGACATGCTTTGGCGTGACAGAGCCGAACACCGGTTTGGAAACGTTAAAGCTGAAGACCCTCGCCACAAAGAACCCGACGAAGCAAACCTACTCAATCTCAGGCCAGAAGATCTGGATTACTTGTGCACAGGTCGCCTCAAAAATGATCCTCCTAGCGCGAACAACGCCTCTAGAGGAAGTAAAAAAGTCGAGCCAAGGTCTATCATTATTCTGCATCGACCTGGACCGGAGCAGGCCTGGACTGGATATGCGCAAAATCAAGAAGATGGGAGGCCGTGCGGTCGACGCTAACGAAGTGTTTTTCGACAACTACGAGATCCCTGAAAATACCCTAATCGGGCAAGAGAACGAGGGATTCAAGATCATCCTCCACGGCATGAATGCGGAGCGATGTCTTCTAGCCGGCGAAGCGTTGGGTCTAGGCTACGCTGCCTTAGAACGCGCTGCTCAGTACGCAAGCGACCGGGTAGTTTTCGGAAGGCCGATCGGGCAAAACCAGGGAATTGCGCATCCACTGGCAGACGCTTATATGCAATTGGAAGCGGCTAAGCTGGCAACATACCACGCGGCGCGCTTGTACGATGCTTCTAAAACGGACGATTCGATTCCGTTCCACTCTGTGGGCGTGGCGTGTAATAGCGCCAAATACCTTGCCGCGGAAGCAGCTTTCAAGGCGTGCGAACGGGCAGTTCTCAGTCATGGAGGAATGGGCTATGCGGTGGAGTATGACGTGGAGAGGTATCTGCGAGAGTGTCTGGTGCCCCGAATTGCACCCGTCAGCCGAGAAATGATCTTGAATTACGTGAGCGAGAAGGTGCTTCAACTACCGCGCAGTTATTAGTGTTTTACAATACCAAAATCTATAGTACGCAGTTCAAATTCGTTAATACCAAGGAAACTAGCTTGCATTCAAAATGGATAAGGTAGAACAGTCTCTTGTCGGGCTTGATAGACAGACTTTTACACGGCAAGGCTATTTAAGACAAAACAGCAATTGATGCCCTCAGTAAGACATCACAGCTGATGAAGCGCTCTGACTGATCTTGAGGAAAGCCGGCTTCCCGAACGCATCGGGCCGGAAAGCATACATACTACCCTTCCAAAGAAGTACATGGGCACCAATTCTACCTTCAAGGAATCAAGATACTTTCACAGTTGATATGCTCTTTACCCCAACACTTCCAATATGAATTTGCATTGTATTATTAACCAATCATCTACATCAGGCATTTCACTCATTACACAGTACTCTTCCCCCTCGTCCGCTTCAACCACAACACGCCGATAAAACATACTAAGCCTGCAGCGTAAGCACACCCAGCAAAGGCTATCAATCCCCAGTACTCCCCATTACACCGACGAATAATTTCCCCTGCGATAGGAACTCCAGTCAATGCCCTAAGCCAGTCAGCAGTGTATTCATACAACCAGAGAAGGAGAAGGAGACATGAACATACCCTAAGCTTACAATCGTATAAACGGTTGTATAAAACCGTCCGTACTGTTCGGTGGGACATAGTTCGCCGACGCACACCGGAACGAGGCTAATGTTACTTCCCGATCCAATACCAAAGACCACGGAAAATATAACCGTCGCAGCGACGTTTCCATTGGCCGGCATCCAGACACCTAAGACCGCGATGAGGCAGAAGATATTCGTCAAGGTTAACATCTCGAACCGGCCGATTCGGTCGGCCAGAATTCCTGGTATCCAGCGACCAGGGAATGAGCCGGCATTGAGGAACACTACCATCAAGTAGGCTAGGCGGCTGGAGATACCGTATGTCAGGGAATATGATGTGATGTATTCGAGGGGGATGAAGAAGCCCCATTCGATGAAGAACGCGCCGAGGGTAGTGAGGGCCAGGGCCGGGTCCTTTAGGATCTTAAGGTCGGGGAGCAGTGAGGTGGCGGCAGATGACTTCGGCGGAAGACGAGCTTTGAGTAAGACACATCCTGGGATTAGGAGAATAAGGGTAATAAGTGCGATCACTCTTGTTGCCCAGGCGAATCCGATCTGAGGCGCTAGATACTCCAAGACCAATGGAAAGATCACGCCGCCGATGCTGCCACCAGACATGGCTAAGCCAGTTGCACCACCTCGGCGGACACTGAAGAAGTGACCGATAGTGGCAACAGGAACGATGAAGATGAATGAGGTTCCCACTCCGCCAATGATACCTATTACCACTAGGAAGTGCCAGTACACTTGACAGAATCCTACCAGGACAAGGGTGAGGACGAGGAGGATTGAGCCCGTAAGCATAAGGAGACGGGGCCCTTTGGCGTCGAAGACCGGGCCAATCTGGATACCACAGAAAAACACGAGAAAGTTGTATATGCCAAAGATCCAGCTTATTTGGCTTTCACTAAGGTGAGATAGTTGGTGCGTTGAGATCCATGCCTGATAGATACCGATACTATTCATCAAACCCAGGCCACCCATGATAGAGCTGAAGCTGCCCAGGACGACGAGGTTGGCCCGGAGTCCACCTTCTGGGTAGGACCAGGCGGGATGAGAGGGTACAAGTTCAAGTTGGTCCATTCAGTATGCAGTATCAAGTCTATGTGTAAGTTTAGAGGTAATGAGTCTATACAACAAGAGAGTGATTTTCCTTTGTACTCTGTCTAGCTTTATATGATGCCTCCCAACGAGAGTCACGTTTCCTTCATGTAAATCTAGTCAGTCTCGCCCTCTCTCTTTTTGCAGCCAAGGCATTGCCAAACCATGGTTGTGATTCCCATTATCAAACGGCCGCATATGCCACCATCGGGTCCCACGAGAGGACACAGAGCTTGGACCAATCATACCCTTGTTCAACAGCTGTCTCCTCAGCTTTTTCATTCTATCCGATTCTTCATCGTGAAAATTTTTCGCTGTCATATGCTGAGTACGAATCCACCGTATGAATCATAGTACAGAGTCCAGACACTCCGTCCAACTTCGCCGGCTGCCGATGGCCGAGCGGGCTACATCGGCCGCCTCTCTTGGCATCATTTCGCAACGTCAAAGCAGCAGCGCAGTGCCTTCATGCAGATACTGTGTAATGTGCTTAAAGTTGAAGTTTATTGCTTGCAATGGAGTGGCAAGAACTACCCGGCGGAGTGGTCGTCGTACCACTGTGAAAGCGACAGTCTTCGGTGTCACTCGGGTATCCCGAAACAAGCAATAGAATAGCAACATGTAAACAACCTAAGATGTATCAATTACACTGGCCAATCTCTCCAAATTTACCTGGACAGAGACGAAGGCCAACACGTAAGACTCCAGGCTAACCCCCAGTACGCCCACCTGATGGCCATCGGCCAAGCTTCGCCGGGCAGAATTAAAATAGACACATGGACCCTGATGGTATCCTTGTCAGAGAGATTGAGTTCGATCGACAGGGGATCCACAGCTCTAAATTATCGCGGCTGACTTGCCCGAGCGTTGGGCATGAATGCTGTTTTGCTTCTCGGCTTAGGGCTCGTGGCAAGCGCGGTATACATGAGGTTTGCCGGCTCGCCGACGACTCGACCCAGTAAATTTACAGGCATACGGAGATAATGCGGACCGGCCCTTTCCGATAGGCGGGACAGAGATTAAAAATTCTAGAAATAAAATTTAAGATATTGGTAATTCCCCCGATATCCAGGGCGGGGGTGAAATGCGCAAAAAGAAATCAGGTCGTGCCCGGGATCGAACCGGGATTACAGGAATCAGAATCCTGGGTGCTAACCATTACACTACACAACCGTTGGTTGATGAATGCTGCATTGCATTCTAAGTACATAAAGAAATCAATATGAAGAAATCTCAGTCTACATCAAGTATTATCGTAGCCATTTTCCTGCCTATCAATTTAAGGCCAGTGCTTTTAAAACAAAAGCCCTCGAGCAGTGGTTGAAAACTATTGGTGATAAGAAAAGTTGTCAGTTACCCTTTTTCCCCAACCCTTTCAGAATGAGCTTCTGCAAGCAGAATTTCATAGTCCAATGACACTGTTGTCACCATACCTTCATGGAACAACAGCTAATATTAATAGTATCATCAGGTGTAGACTTGATTAACTGCAATAGATGGGGAGCTTAATATCAAAACTTGTGAACAAATGGCGGGTGGAAGTATATATATATCGTAAACTCATTATCCTTCTCTTCCCCCCCTCCCCCGACCCACCCAAAACACTGGTTTGTAAGTCTAACTAGGTATCAGAGAGCAGTTTTGGTATGAATGTCACTCAAAGCAACTGTCAAACATGGGTTGTTGAGTCTGCCGACCAGCATGTCAAGGACCATATGTTCAGGTGAATTGATAAGCTTAAAAAAGTATTCTTTTAAGCTTATTTGTGTCTCTGGTAAATACAAAAGGCAAGCATACAAGCTGACACTAGTCCAAGTGGGAGAAGGGCCCGTTCTGGGTAGTTGACTATCAAAGATGACAACAGATCCACTTTTGTGTCGTCGACGTTCTCGATATCCGATAGGAGTTGGCGGGCATCCATATATTTTGACGTCCAGCATTTGTACATGATCTCCCCATATTTCAAGCCCTCCGCTGGGGGAAAGATCCCGCGGTCGTAGTTTTCCGCAATTGTTTCCCAGTCTTTATCAGCGATTTCTTCATACGGGCGTGAGCCAACCACAATCTCGAATATAAGGCATCCAAGAGCGAACAAGTCTGTCTGGAACGTCCGAGGCGAGTCTGGCGACTTTCTGTATTGGTCTTCTTCCGTCACGAATGAAGGCATATTATCGATGCCAGAGCCTGCAAAGTCGCAAAGCTTGATTGACAGATCGTCTGCAACAAGGAAATTGCGGGCACTAATATCTCCGTGTACAATGGAATGGCGATGAACGAATTCAGTTGCATGAACGGCGCTTCGTATCCAAGTATTCTTAGTCTAACTATCCAGACACGAAGAATTCTTTCGAATATAATCACGCAGATATCCATTTTATATATATGGAAATTGAATACCAGCCTCTGTGATACCAAGGCACTCGAGAATATCCTTGTGTTTGGGAAGAGACTAGTAAATGAATTTCTCTCTCTCTATGCATGCTGAAGAGAACGACTCTTCCTCTTTTATAAAGATCACGGTACTTTCGCTACATCTACTTAAATTATACCGAAGCGGACTTTTTAAAACTTCGGCATCATTGCGGGAGTCGCGACAAATGAGACCGGAGGAACCAAACGCCACCATGGGCCGTTGAACACCCTCAGGGTAAAGGATTATTGGATAGCTCATAATTAAGTTAAGATCGGGTAGGCCTTTGAGAAGGGATTCATCAACCGATAGGAATGTGAGGATGGAACTTTCATTCATTCAACATACCCAGCCAGGGGTACGTGGCTGTCCCTTATAGTTACCACAATGCTTGGCAACATCTTATGTAATACCTGCAGGCTGCAGCACAAAACCAGACCAATGAAGATTCCAAACATAGCACCGACTAGTACTAGGTAGTAGCGACTAGAGGAAGACCAGGAGACAGGTATGAAGTATAACAGGGGAAAGGATAACTCTTGACCTCTTGTCAGATTGAGTTAGGAATATATGCAAATTTACTTGGAAAGACATACAGTATATCATAAAATCTGGTCAAATATCAGATAGTATCTGAATTAGCTGTGCGAGTGTTCTGTTTTGGATATTACTACCGAAAGCTGTGACCGGATAGATCTTATGGTGCTGATAAATATGTATACCAGAGCTTTCTTCGGAGAGCTCTACTACCGTAAAGCAGTGGATTTTGATATACTTCAGAATATTAGATCTACTGCTAGCAAAAGTAAAGTAGGGAAGATAACCAATAACTCTGGCTGGGAATGTTTGCGTGCTATAAAGTGTACTGATGTATGGGACAGCTGATCAACCAAATCCTAGGCGACCGAATTGTAAACCACGCACTATTATACCAGACAATTAGATCTATTGAAGTAGTCCCACTATACTTATAGACCAATTACCTCTCCTAGACCTTATTTATCGGATGCTGCCGTTGGCTGTGCAAGAGAGTTCCTACGCAAGCCGTTTTGTCTGCTTGTATCATACCAATTTGCATTATACAAACATTTCAACAACTCTTTGGCGGAAATTTGATCTGGATCTACATGACAGGTATCTTCGATAATCACCTGCACCTCCAAGGCGATATCCCAGCGATTGTGGCCGCCACCTCCTTTACCTGGAAATTCCTTTGCTTGTTTATAGCATGTCTTGCAGTCGACCGTCTAGGCAGATGGTGAATCTTCGTTATAAGTGGGACTGGCATGTCGATCTGTATGGTCGCTATGGCTGCTGCCGCGAGCTTTCCTGCGCCAAACCATGTTGCCTCAATCGTTGCTGCCGTATTTCTATTCGTATTCAATTTCTGTTATCCATTCCGCTTCCTGAGGGGGAACATCCTGTACTGCACTGAGGTTGGCCCTGTCCACTTATCATCACCATGGTTACATCGGCTGCGTTATCAAGTGTTGGATGGAATATTATATAGTTTTTGCCACCACATCTGCATGTTTTCCTCTGATTGTGCTTCCCTTCTTTCCAGAGACTATGAATAGTAACCTAAAACTGATTGACAGAGTATTCAAAGAAACCCCTTCTGTCTGGGATATTGTTCCGATGGCCAGGCAGTCGCCACAGGGTGATGCTCAACCCAACCCGGGCGGTATGAGTGAGGAGAAGGGTGCTGAAGCAAAATTTGCCAGGGTGGAGCAAAGAGAATTTGCTCGATAGCGGGTTCAATTCCTGAACCACATTCGCAATCGCAATGATGAGGGATTTCCGATGTGATGTACGAATTTCAACAGATCTGACTTTCTGGTTTAATTTGGAGTACGCTGTATAATGCACCACTCCAGGCTGATGATCATGAAGAGCATATTCCATTCACCTCGGCTTAGTCGCAGTATACAATCATATTTCCTTGACAATCAGGAGCACAGGGTCTCCTATCGCTTGTACTCCACTTATTAGTTCTTTTAGACTCTACCTATAAAACATGAGGTTGCAGTGGCCAGGGGTATTGGAGAAGGACGGCCCACCGGTTGGCCCACATCCCCCTTAAGTCGTTCAAAGAGATAGGGCCAGACAAGGCTTACGAGGATGACCGAGAGTTCCCCGAGGACATTGTCATTGTTGTTATGATTACTATTCAATAGGTAGTAACAATACTATCCACTAAACCCCTACCCACAGGAGACTCACGAGCGGCATTCAGGAACCAAAAGTGATATGATCAGCAGGAACTGGTCACACGGAATTATAGATAACTCCAGGCCAAAGGTATATAAACCGACCACACCCAACCCACTTTCTCTCAAGAGAACAATAAAAGACACTCACAACACTATCCTATCCATTCTCACTTCACCATGCGCGTTTCTGCTCTAGCTGTGGCGCTTTGTACCAGCGCCGCGATGGCCGCTCCGACGGAGACTCCCGACCTGCACAATATCCTCCAAGCCTTCAATGCCTCCAAAATTGTACAGGATGCCGGACCAGTGCTCGAGTCCCTCCTAATCACGGGCAACTGCAACATTCCCGGTTCGTTCCCTTATAAATACGATTGTGAGATCAACTGAAAGCTAATACCCTCTGCCACAAGCTTGCTTCCAGCAACTCATTCCGGCCGTCAAGAATTGTAATGCTGCTATCGTTGGTGGGGGCTCAGACATTCCATCTGACCTTCAGTGCGTGAGCAGCGCTATCGCTGATTTAGTTCCTACCCAGGTGTGTCCTGCGTCTTCTTATGGCTTTTAAGTCCTCCCCCAATGCTGATTATGACTAGTCCAACTACTGTGCTGTCTGTGTTGGTGACGCTGTCTCCTCTATTCGATCCCAGCTGGAGCATGGGTCTCAACCCCATTGAGCCCTTTACTGTATAAACTTTGCAAATCAATGTATAGTATAGTAGTTGATCTTGCTATTCTATAATTTAAACACGTCTGTCTATGGATTTTCGAGGATAATGCTCTCTAGCACAAATCCAATCTCTAAGACAAAGATAGCCCCGTAGAGGCTGAATACCTAATATAGTCACCAAACTGCAGAGTCACGGACAATGTAATACAATCGCAAGAAGGCACAGAAAATCTACTCTTAGGAACAGCTCCACTATAGAATTGTAGATCCCCGAAAATTAGATAAACGAAGTAGCATCTCCAATCAACCCAGGATAAGAAGACCGGCACCAGAAGACCATATAACCTACCCACATGAAAAATGCCATAAAAGAGTCTACACAGCCCATTGCAGTAAAGACCGCACGGGGCCACAGGAGAAACCGCGCTAATATTCTCCAGTCTTGTCTATCTCGATGCTTATTCAAGTTTGAAGCGCGCAACGGAAACTAGATTTGGCTAGTCTTGGAAAATAATTATTGGTAGGAATTTAGGTTTTTCTTAGGGCTGCATCGGAGAGATTGTTGCCCCGATTGTTACTCTTCTCCACTATTTTGTGGGGTCTTGCGACAACCCTAACCCTGTGGCCAGGGTCGATAAGGGGATGTGATCTGCATTCTTTCTTGGAATTATTTGACTGATCTAAGGTATTGTGAATACAATGGTAGGGTCGATTAATAACTTGGTAGAGTCTAGACATCCAGTAGTTCAAGCCATGGCTGATTAACAGTCAGGTTTTTGGGAACCAATCTTTTGGTACCGGAGAGACATGTTATTCTGTTGCTGTTACTCTAAATCCAGAATGTGTTAACGATATGTGTATTCTTAAGTATTGTGAATCTCAAGTTTGTAATATTAATATGCATGTTGGAAGCTGGCTACTTAGGGTACAAAGATGAATGATTACTTATGTGGACGCAACACGATACAAAGGAGGGATCATTGTATAACCAAACCCAGTCTTGCTATAGGTTGCTAGGAGAAAGCATCGAAATGGGAAAATTGTTTGTCGGTAGCCGAAGGCCTTCGAAAGACCTTCCTTCACTGTCAACATCCAACTGGAAGAGAAAGGATTCAGCTAGGGGGTTTGTAGCTTTGAGGGTATTAATAACCGAACGGAAGAACTGGAAAGCAGAGTGGGCTTCTGTATCATCAGGATGAAGCTTGAGATGCTGAATGTACACGCGTGCTGCCACATAGACACAGAATGACACAAAAGGATTCACCTACACCCCGTCAGTGATTTACGAAGTGTTTCAACAGACTAGAAGAAAGCTTACCTTGCTCATGTTTATAGGACCAACCATCTTTATAATCTCCAGAATTTGCTGAGCAGCAGCACTGCACCTTAGCTTGCTTTCAACAATCGGAAACTCTGATATGCTGTTCCACTCCGCTCTGTAGATCGCAGCTTGATGAAGGCATATAACGGCCGTTTGAAGAGCGATGTTACAGAAAATGATATTGGGATCGCCCATCCCATTGGGAAGACGTAGATGATTTGGCATTGATAGAGCAAAATTGAGCAGAATCTCGTCGCAAGACCTGTGCCGCTGCCAAAAGCCTCCAGTACTATAACTATCGTCGTTCTGCGAGTGAGGGAGACGAAGATGGTTTGTAATTCGGCCGAAGATGCACGACACGAAGCCGACACTTGCCGAAGGGGACAATGTTGCGAGTCCCTCTCCCTTTAAAATATCACTAAGACATGCCGTTGGCTCCGACTGGCCTGTAATAAAGGCTTCCTCACTAGCAGGGAGATTTGTCATGACCTGTCCTTATTAATACGCCACTCGCATTTGGGGACAAGATTGGGAGAGCTTACTTCTGCCTCGTCGACCCCGACAGGCCAGCCTGTTCCAATGGTGGCAAATTTATCAATACAAAAGGTCATCCAAAAGACCCTCCGTCGCTCTTCCTTCTCCACCCAATCCGTAGAAGGCATGAAGCACTGTTTCGCCTGGGGATTCGGGCTGTCTAGCTGATGCAGCCCTAGCATAATCGCGAGCCTAGATGCCTTTCCACAGCTTAACCAAGCCCTCGGAAAGAACATCATCTTGTACTCGTACGCAGTGATAAGGAGCCATGTTTGAGCATGTGATAATGAGAGGATCCCTGCGCCATAGCCTTTCATCTCATCCGCCTCGGCGTACTTGCGGGCTCTTTCGTAGAATGCTGGATGTAGAGGATTATATTTTTCGCTGACCAGGGCTGCATGGCACCAGATCATGTATTGAAGACAAATTGGTGGCTGGGCATGAGCGGCATTGTTCAACGCAGCCAGGTGCCTCTGATGATGTATAATCTGCATATAAATGTGGACATCTTCGAAGTAGATCCGGTTCCTGTATATATTAGCAGAATCCCACTTTGAGATACGGGAGTTAGGAGACATGCAGGTCATCAATAACGTCTTTATCTGGGAGAGGTTCCTCTAACCCTAAACTAATCATATCCATCGCGACGGCGGGTCCTGGATATGTCCCGTCAGTCGCGCTTGATGACGAGGACTCGGTTTCTGCCGTTGAGTTTGGGTGAGAACCAGTATCGCTCATATTAGTGCCAGCGGCTCCATCTACCCATTCGTCCAGAAAAGTGGCAGAAGGGGGTTGATTCCCTGCAATACCAAGCATTTGGGTACTAAGCAGTGCTTCCACCTGTGCTGTTCAACGAGCGAGCAATATTAGTATTCATAACCTAATTACATGACTTCGCCGGTTTTCAGACCTACCTAATCGAGAGCCCAGGACGGCCGTATATCCTCGCTTTGGACCACTTTTCTTCCGCGTCGCCTCGTAGGTGCATGCTCGGTTATATTTAGAGCAAGCTCCACAGGTAGGCTTTTCCATGTCACATTTGGACTTCATCCGCCGACAGGTTGTACAGGCATTCCGCTTATGGGAAGGATGATAGGCTATGCCATGGTCACTTTGTTCTGCAGTAGGCTGCATAGGACATTCCAGTTGGGGTGGAGGGTTCTCCGGACCAATGGAAGGTTGATCTAGATGACTTGCCATGGGTGCTTGCGAGAAGGGATCCGGAGAGCGGAGATTCACACAGCTGCCAAGACGTGTAAGTTTCTAAGTGTCCCCGTGAAAGTTAGAATGTGAAAGATGATGCAGTGCGGGATGCTGGACTTGAGTCTCATTGCCATGCCCTAGATCGATTTGCAACTGAAAGACCCGAGGTAAGGGTATGCTTACTAAACAGTCCGCCCCTGGAGGAAGGTTCCAGGCCCGTAGCCCTAGAGTCAGGACTCAGGGGTTCTTAGAGTGGCAATAATCGCTCTCGTTTGCAGCTAACAGAAGAAAGGAAAGGACAATGCAACGATAAAGAGAAGCTATGATAGTAGGAGATAATTTATTATCTGGAGAATGCGTGCGCCTTCTATAGGAGGCTCCTAGGGTCAAGTCTAGTCACTGCCACGTATGGAACTTTATGCCTAGGAGGCGCACTAAAACGCCGATCATCTGGGCCTATTACCACTTCGCCCTGAAAGAATATTTCACTATTAGTAATTTATATACTATTTTATATTTGAAATAAAAAGTTCGAGAGTATGTTTGGATCTAGTACAGGACTCGTCAAGTAACCAGCTAATTTTTGGCCAACCCGGTGGAACCTCTACATTGATTGCGGTTGTAGTGTCCTTCACTTTTAACTATATAGAGCACGTTCATCAACGGACCACCCCACGTACCATTGGTCATATGGACCCCCCTATGGCTCATGATCTTTAGAACCAGTTCTCCATCCGCTGAATGCACAAACACAGTCCCCACAGTCGAATGCGCCATCAAAACGATCCCTTCAGCATCTTGTGCCATACTTCCGGCCAGGTCTTGAAGAATTGAATGTTCTGAGAGGCCCAGACAACGGAATTCGCGTGGTAGGTTTGTTCATTCGATGACCTGTACAATGGCCCGCGAGGTATTTTATACATTCGTCATCGTTCTGATTAGACCGATATCACGAAGGATAGCACTTTACTTTGGCGTTGTTGAATCCAAACACTAGTATCGAGGTGTCTCATCTATGCCGCGATTCGGGAGAGCGGAGCGCATCCGCACCGACGGCTTCCATCCGCAGACCATGAACACCGCAATCCTACGCCGAGTTCACACTTATTTAAACCCACATAATCTATTCTTTGCACAAACTAACTCAAAACAACCATATTTCCAGTCATCCTATAGACAATCGAGTTCTCCATAATGACTCTCATCCACATCGGTGAGTTGGACTCCAAGCTCCCAGGACACACCCCATGTTTCTAATACACTCATGCAGTGCTGTTCAAGTTCCGCTCCGATGTCAGCGAGGAGCACAGGAAGACCTTTGTCACTGAATTAAAAAAGTTGAAGAAACTGTCCTGCGTCAAAGCGGGAAGACTCATCGTCGGGGGTCCCAGTGTCACCGACCCGATTGATCGCAGCAAAGGATTCCAGATCGCTCTTGTGAGCTATCATGAGAACCAAGCCGCTTTAGCTGAGTACCAGGCTAGTCAGGAGCACCACTGGTATGTTCTTATCCTTGAGCGCGAATATTGGTGGTTGGTGTACTAAGCATCTCATTTTACTGCAGGGTGACTTCAACATACATGTTTCCCTATAAAGAGGACCTGGTGCGGTTTGATTTCGAGGTGGACCCGGAAGATGAATATATGTGTCAATTTCCCTTGTTAGTATAGAAATATTAGATTAAATTGTTTAGGTTGTGATCTACTGTTTATGTAAACCATAATGTACTCGTTGAACGGATATTCTCCGTAGGTTCTTTCTTTACTTTGAGCATTGGCAAAGGTGGAGAGTGAGTATAGGGATATGTATATGTATCAGTGCACGGAGGCATACCATTCCAGTCTACAGACGTCGGCTAGTTTTCTTGAGGTAAATATTCATATTTGCCAATAATTCTTCGAATACATCCATCGGATGAGCCGATAGACGGGCCCCATCCGGTCGGTTCGGATAGACCCCGGTCCGATAAAGCCCAAATAAATGAGAGCAACCCCAGCCAGACAGCCCTCATTCAAACATATTCCGCAATTCTTATCCAGTTAACATATCAAAATGAACTCTACACTAAACCACGTCCGTGATGTCTGGGATGCGCAACGCGCCAAAAGCCCTATCTACGCCCTCCTACTAGACACTATCACAATCACCGACGCCTCGCCGGGGACCATCCACGCCAGTTTGCGAGTAACTGATAACCACACCAATTCCAAAGGGGGCCTACATGGCACGCTATCCGCGTGTGTCGTCGACTGGGCAGCGGGGATGGCCATCGCGTCGCACGGCGCCAGTTATACTGGCGTGAGCACTGATTTGCATGTCTCGTATCTCTCGTCGGCGACGCAGGGGGAGGTTCTGGAAATTACAGGGCGGGCGCTGAAAGTTGGGGGAACGCTGGCGTTCGTATCGGTGGAGATTGAGAAGGTCAAGGAAAATGGGGACCGTGTGATGGTTGCGACGGGGTTGCATACGAAGTATGTACGCAAGAGGGACTGATTTTGCGGCATGCATAGATGGTGGTAAAACAGGGTTATTAAAAGGGGTTACTCATATACTGCCAAAAGGTCACAGGGAAAGAAATTGCTGATTAGTTCTATCTGTGAGGTTTTATCTAGATAGCTAATTATACTTTGAACAGGCTAAGAAAGCTTAGACCTTGTGGTAGTGGAACTACTGGGTTAAAAAATAGATTGTGGGTTGGATTAGGTTATATTTGGCATCTCTGATATAGAGGCTAAGTTGGCTATCATCATTCATGATAATGTTGCGTTTTCTTCCTTTACCTCCGCTTCCATATGATTCTCTTAGCTGTCCCTCAGATCTTGTTCTGGTTTCAATGGTGCTGCATGCAGAGCTATAATGTCTGCGCAAGGTGTCAAGGCTGCAGCGAATACAGAACAATTGAATCTATAGGTAAGGTTGTACTCCTAAGATACTAGCTTAAGTTGTGGTAGGGATCCTGCAACGTTAGGTCTTCACCAATCAACAGCCATTTTGCATGATTTTTGGTATCGCCAACCCTTGTAGATTAAAGCGGCCTTTTCAGCCGAAAGCATGGCCCTAACTTAATGTTGACATTCAACATTAGAAAGGAACCCAAGTTGGTCGAACTTACCATCAAGCGAAGTCTCAATATCGGCGGACTTTCTCCTTATTTCTTATGATCTCTTTAGATTGGTTTCCAAGGTGCGATACCACTGAATCGATTACACCTCTCTGGAGGGTTTCTTATCGGTAGATAACGTGTACCACAAACCAGTGGACACCTTTGAGTCGTCGGCAAGAAGGGAACCGAGGCTTTTGACAAGATTGATAGGGAGCATTGCATACTTTTATCAATTTCGAACTGGGGCATCACGGCGAGAAGAATGCTGTCTTCCAGCCTCGAGTTTCGCCGTAACCCCCGCATGACCCCCCTTTGTATAAGGAGCGTTTCATTCTTATGGCCTTGATGGTGATCCTGGTGAGTGGTGTGGATGTGTATTGGTTAATACGGCACGAAGAAATTCAGGAACGCCTTAGCTAGTCCCTCCAGAGCGAGCTTGTATTTGTGTGCTCTGGTGCTAATTCTTTCAATAACGGCCCAATCACCTCGCAGTTGGTTTAAGCCGGGAAGAGAAGCCTCGCCAGTTAAAGACTCTCATAGACTTGTCTAAACATAAACTATGGTTCTGAGGTAGTGTGTTACTAGTAGTATTCAGGCATGGCCTGGACCGAGCAGGTCGCGTGGCTTGTGATCAAGGCATCCCCTAATTCTAAGAGGCCCGTAATGAATCGCCACATAATGTCATACCGACCAATATACTTTCCACGGGCGATGCAACGTTCTGGCTTGTCAGGTTCCATGGAACCCGGGATTTGTATACAGGTGACTTGCTTTCCACCCTCTGTCAAACCTCATACAAAGTATATCTTGCCGAAAGGAATTCCTGAAAGGCTAAGCGGATAAAGTACCTGTAGGATGTTTCTACGGTTCGTCGGAAAGATAGTTTCTGCAGGATTTCATAGACCGGATCTCGATCACTTTGACCGAACTCAGCCAATGTTGTTTTGTGGAGTCTCCATTCATGGGTATTCCCTGTAGGGTAGTAATTGTAAATCCCCACATCTTGGTTATGGCTGATACGAAGAGCATTGTATGACCAATTGATTCCCCAAATGGTACTACTAACCTGCTACTGGTCTTCTACAAATCGATCATCCCCGAACAAAGCGGACGTTCGAGACCGGGCCTAGAACCAGGTTGCAAGAACAATAAAAAGAATCCCATAAAGTACCTTCATAAGCCCGAAGACACGCGTCACCGTGCCAGCCCACCAGTGCACCCTCGTATTCACAGTATCCCCTTCATCCCCAGATCAAGAACAATCCCAACAATGTACGCCCTAACGCCTCTCAAAACATCCTCAATAGTCTACACCATATTCGGAATCCAACAACACTCCACAGACATCCCCTCGCCGCTAAGCACCCAACTCACTGCCCTCCTAACACCACACCTGCCCCCCGGAAACACCTCAACCCTAACCCACCCGGCCCGGCCCCCTAACGACAACAATCCACCTCACCTACTGGCCTACCAAAGCCGACTACGAAAAATGGTGGCACAGCGACCCCGTAACGACCTTCTGGGACGCCCTCCCGGACGACGCAGGCATATACCGCGAGACCATCACCGTGGCATCTGACAGAACGCAATACGCTACAAACAAGCCCCAGAACATCGGGATGGGGTGTCTGGGACCCTGTGCGCCCCTTGTGGATAAAACTGGGTATTGGGGGTGCTATTATCACCGTATACCTGCGATCGCATCTGCTACTGGTCCCGAAGGAAGGCTTCCTAGTCCGTTGAAGGGGGCGCCGCGGAGGAGGGAGGACACGAGGGATATAAGACATGGTCGAGTGCGTCTGACCCGTTTTCCGGAGAATCTGTGCTTCGTGGTCGAAGGCCAAGATCATTCGGGTCTTACGGATGTGGAACGGGAAACGTGGTTTGGGAAGTTTGATGCGTCTGCTACGGGATGGTTGAGTGAGTTACAGTCTGCGGGCTCGGAGACGGGGCTTTTGGATAAGCGAATGTGTTATGACCCGCGCAGTGGGAGGTTTCGGGATGGGGAGCCCGAGGAGTTCGGTTATAATCGCAAGGTGCAGCTGTTCTATTTTCTGGATATGGAGTGTATGGAGCGCATGGGGAGGATGAGTAAAGTGCATGTGCGGCTTAGGAAGGACTTTTTGAGGGCTTATGGGCCTGGTGGGGAGTTGGCAGAGACTGGGGGTATTTGCTTGTGGGTGGAGACGAGTATTTTGAAAGCTGGGGGGTTGGATTGTGAGTATGTTGGGTGTTGGGATGGGACGGGGTTGATGGGTTATGAGTGGGATTCTGCTTAGAGTCTAGGTTGAGGCGGGACGGTCTAAAGCTTCGGAGTGCTGAGGGGGGTCAATGGGGCGGCGTATAGGCAATATAGGCCCTGTACAGCTGGATGTTAAATATTCCAATTTCGTCTATCAAAAAGAGCTCGGAGAAGAAACATGTACATTGCCGTTCCGCCTATATAAATCCCAGGTCTCTATAAACGTTAATGTCAAGCCAAAACTGTTCTAGTGCGGAAAAAAGAAAAGAAAAAGCTAGTCCGCTAGATGGCAAACCATCAATTTAAGATCCCAAGAATGCCATCTAATCCTCCCTTGAAGTCTCTTCATCACTGCTGGTACCGAAGTAGCGCGCCAACTCGCGGTCCAGACTCTCGCCAGTCAATTTCGGCATCTGCAAACTCTGCTTCACAGGCGATATGCCCTCAGCATTAGCACTAGCGAACACCACATCTAGCTCTTCAAGTGTTCGGCCCTTGGTTTCAGGGAAGAAGAGATAAACGCAGGGAATAAGTGCAGCATTGAAGACTGCGAAAATTATGTACGTCTGATATCCTAAGTTCGCAAAGGCGGGTGGTGTAATCATGACAATAAGGAAATTGGACATCCAGTTGGAACTGGTGGACAGAGCGTTGGCCTGGATGCGAATGCGAAGGTTTGTGATCTCAGCGGGATACAGCCAGGTCATCCCCAACCAACCAATGGCGAAGAATGAGTTGAAAACGAACAAGAACACAGTCGCCGTGACTCCGTACTTTGTCTCCAGCTTGGGCGATCCGTTTTCCATTATTTCTCCGGTCGATACAGTACCAGCTAGTATCGCCATCGAGGCCATCATCCCAAAGGCACCGATTATCATGAGCTTCCGTCGACCAGTCCGTTCGATGAGCGGCAGGGCTATGAGTGACGCCATGAAGTACTCTGTTCCATTACAGGCGGCCAAAAGACGCGCCATTGATGGCCCGAATCCGAGAGAGTTTTCAAAGATCGCGGTCGCGTAGTATGTAACTAGATTTATACCGCACATCTGTTGGAAGAATTGAGAGACCATGGCTAAAGCGGAACGACGGAGGTTCTGCGACGGTCCATTAGTGAGCAGCTCGCGGTACTTGAAGCTACCGCCGCGGCTCTGGACCTCCAGCGCTTCATTGATGTTGCGTAACTCTTCTTCAACCTCTGGATGGTCTTCTGACTTGCCGACAAGTCGAGCAGTGACATCGCGAGCCTCAGCATGGCGTCCTTGCATGGTGAGCCATCTGGGGGAATCGGGAAGATAAAGTAAGCCGATCATGACAACAATAGTAAAGAAAGATTGGAACATCAGTGGGAACCTCCAGCGGACAGAACCGGTCAGGAAGTAAAACCCGTAATCCACCCAGTATGCGATCATAACACCAGCAGATATAAGAGCACCGGAGAGCATGATCAGGACACCGCGCTGATGCGGCCGAGCACATTCGGACTGCCAAGTTGGAATCGCTACTTCGATCAGTATGATTGTCTTAGAAGAAGACACCTTGGGAAAGACTCACTGGACGTTACCATGCCGTTGCCAATACCCCCAACGACACGACCTGCCACGAACAAACCATAGTCGAAGCAGGCCGCCTGCATGATAGTTCCAATAATCATAATAGAAGAACCCCAGAATGTACTCGACTTTCGTCCCCAGCGTTCACCGTAAACCAGAATTACGAGTGAACCCATCCAGCATCCGATCTGGTATATGGCGACTCCTGCTGCCTGGGTATTTGGGTCGCCTGTACAGTACGTAGGATGGGGAATGGTATTAGTCGGATTGTCTAGCCAACAAAGATCATTTGATTTCTCGCGCGGAGTCATGAGTGGGAGAACCTCCTGAAAGGAATCAAGCGTGAGCAGGGCACTCAGAACACCCTGGTCGTAGCCAAACATCAGGAACCCGCAGCTAGCAATGAACCCAATGGACCAGTTCAGGGCTCTACCCTTGAGCTTTTCCCCACCAATTTTCCATTCGGGCAAGTCACCCATCCATCCGAAGAACTTGAAGAACTTGGTTCCAAAGCTCGCTCGGTCACGCTCATACCGTATACGCGCTTCCTTGTCCAGAGCGGCATGTGGTGATGAACCGGGTGAGTCTTGAATATGTTCGGAACTGGGAAACAGTGTCTCCAAGTTCTTCTCATTTTCCGCCGGACTTGACATGATGGCCATGTGAATTGTTGATTTTTTGGTTTTACCCCGGACCGGTGGCGCCAGGAAACGTCTCCAGTTTTATAATCGGGTATCCTCGGCCAGAGTTTCATCATGGGGAAAGCCGGGGCATGGGGGTGACAGTACATTTGGGTCCCATATTTTAAACCTCCGCTGCACTGTTGACTATCATTGGTTCCTTCGCGCCCAGAGCTGTTCCGCCATGGCGGACTTGGCAAAAGGGCGGCGGATTCGTCCCAGTGAGGAATCTCGAAGCTAGCCAAGTCTTGGCTCTCGTCCTGCCTGCCCTGAGGTTGCAAGATATGTGGGGTTCAGGGGCATGGCCCATGTCACTATGCCCAAAACCGAGGCCAGGTGCCTTGATTAAAGGCCAAGAAAGTTCACCCCAAGACACAGATCGGGTCAATCAAAGGGGCACTTGAGGGCGACTGTCATTGGTACCTAGGAAATACTCGGAGATGAGACTAGCCAGCTGACTAGATTACTGCAATGCTCCTTTGAGCGGAAAATGATTGGTGAAACTGGTACTGCACCGCCGCGAGAACTGGTAAAGCCCAGGCTCTCATTCCAGGCGGGAGTTCATCTTAAGTGCACTACAGCGTCCTGTAAACAAGCTTAATTCCTTTGAGCTCGCGGGAGCAATGGGGTCATCTATCATAGGTGGCCATCACAGGTAGCCATCTTCTCAGTCTTCCAATACCAAACCTGCTAGTAGCCCTGACGCTGCTGCCAAGCCTCGGCATCTCGTCGGTGGAGAGACTATAGACTGTTGCCTAACATTGCGATGGAGGGCTGATTGCGGATATTACATGAAACAAGTAGAGTAGTACAGTGCCTTTGAGCTAGAGAATATTGGTTTATGCCGCGATAAAAAGACATCGTGTCGGCCTCGAAACAACCTCGTTTGATACATTGTCTCTTGTACCCGGACAATGTATCATGTTTGGGACAACTTCACACATAGGCCATTATATCGTCCGTTTATCCAGTTGTGGGTTATGCTAGTCTTTAACAATGAACGATGCATGCGGGAAGGCTGCGGCATCTGACCTAGGCTTTCAATCACGTCACGGGTATCACTCCCATCTTATCACAGCCAAGCTGTAAATCTTTCTACCCATGTTCGGTACAAGTCTTGCAAGAATCAGCCAGAAATGCCGCACTTGAGTTCATAGCTAGCATCATGCTATACGAGATAAACTCCAGCAGTGCCACCCTTGGCGTTGACGCAATGGGCCTATACCCACAGCTGTGACTCAAACCACACGTCAAGGGGCATGCAGAAGGTTGTTCAGGTTTGGTGCCCGGTTGTTAGATATCCTCCTATTCGTGTATGTCCAGAGCTGAGGGGTTCCATGGCGATGATCACAATCTTCTAGAACAGTATGATAGTCTGATCCCATCGATGAAGGCCACACCAAGGCACAGTATTTGTTTGAGAGCAGTGTTAGATCCCGATAATCGACACATCTTACCGAAGGAGCCGTGTGAATAATGATGAATGCAAATGGCGTGGTCTAGCAGTGAGCCACGTCACGTTGCACAGTGGGTGTTAGACCTTGCATATTCCATAACTTCACCACAAACTTTGGTAATTCAGGCTTGACGAGAAAGTGATAGTGATCCTCCCCAATCCAGAAAGAATGAGATTGTATCGCTGGAAATTCTTGCCCCACCACACAATGCCTTTATTTCCGCTCAAGGCCATGATATGACACGCGCGGGATAGGGGAAAGAAGGGAAGGGCTCATTAAGATACCCGATCAAACGAAATAAAGGGAAACCTATGACCCAGCATAAAACAGGCAATCAAGGGATAGACAGGATTAACAACAAAGACAATATTTTAAATCGTGATTCATAATCATATGGGCTTCCTTCCATATATGAAATAGACCGGCAGATACAAATGGATGGATGGATCCCTCAACTCACGTTTGACCTTTGCCATTAAAACCTGGATCTCCTCGTGGCTCCAGCCAAGGACGCGTGAAAAGATAGCGGGAGTGTAAGAGTCAATGACCTGAAGCTCCTGGACACCTTGGTATTTTCCGATCTCCTTCAATTTAGGGTCCTTAGGCCACGGTCCAATTGGGAGCTGTTATTCACCGGTTAGTAACAACTGAGACGATAGATCTTATGCACGTCAATCTAGACACTACTAACCTTGCGAATCTCCTGGTGTAGATCGACGAAGCCAGCATCATTTAGCTTGTCCTTCCAGCCGCCGACATTATCGACCGGTTTGCCAAATTTTCGTAACCCCTTGACAAGATTGTCCATCCACTGCTTGGCATTGGGGGCCTTGTCTAACGACTCGTCGTCGGAAAGAAAAGGCGATGTGACTGCTTGCATTTCAAAATATCCTCCGGGAGCTAGATGTTTGAACGCTTGCTTAAAGAACTTTACATCATCGCCTATACATCCCTCCAGTTCACGAGCATGTATGAAGTCAAATGGTCGGTTATATAGCCAATCACATTCGAAGTCATCAATCTCAAATGTGCACGTTGGCGGAACCCTACCAATTACCACTGTTAATAAGGTACTGAAACGCTGAGATAGTGCATACCATCTAGGTTGTATAGGGCTTAGGTCCGTTCCAATAACCTGTGCCGCTGGATGCTCACTAAGGTCACGATGTTAGCAGTCGAACTCGGTCAGACGTTTGTAAGCTTGCAGCCATGCACATACTCAGCAAAATCTATCGCCCAGATACCGGTTCCAGTGCCGAGGTCCAGCACCCGCTGAACATCATTCTTGATTGGAGCAAGATAGAGAGCGCCTCCGAGAAGTAAGCGATATATATGGTGGGCTAGGTCCATGCGATCTTGCTCTTCTTCATCATTCGGCTGTCGGGTGTTAGATATACCTGGCGATAGCTCAGGAGGTGACCAGAGACACATACTACCAAATATGTTCCTTCGCGAAATGCATGATAACGACGGCCATTCTAGCGTTGAAGTCAGCGACATGAATTGCTTGCAGGATCGGCTCACTAACCTCGTACCTAGAATGTCACCCTTGTTAGATCTGCCGTCACAGCTGGAGTCAGTCATAGGCCACCTACTTATAATTTAAAATACTGGAATTCAATGATGTGATAAAACTAGCAGTGTTTAATCTAATAGTCTCGTCAGTCTTATAATCGATACACGGTGAAGTAATAACGGTTGCGGCTACTCACGATTCATTATAGATGGAGTCTGCGAATGGTTCATCCTGGTGTAAATCAGCGTCAGCCACTACACTCACCGCAACTTGCCTCAACCCTGACTCCGAGTGGCATCAACTCACATCGACCTGCACAGGATCCATCGCTAGTATCTGTAACTCAGGAACGGCCAACTGTTGCCGCTCATCCTGCCACGAGGCCATCGTGGCTGCAATGGCCTGGGGTCTTGCGTTTTAAGAGGACAGAGAGATGGTCGTTAACAGCAGGAATTATGCATACAGAGTGCGAAGACAAGGGCTTTGCCAGTGTTAAACGGGCGACGATTGAGACTTTTCCTCACTCTTAGTAACAGTTGGGCCCTTCCCCACGCGGGATCTTCCAAACTGGAGTGCGATTTCACATTAGTCGAGTTACACCGCGTGGTTTTTTTCTCGCCGAACAATCAGCGTTGCAGCCGATCCTTCCGCTAGTCTCACTCTATAATCTTGTTGTTTTATAGGAGGGAGGTGGAGCGATTGATTGCTTAGTCCGCCAATCACAGCGGAGTCGGTGGATTCTCTCATTCTTTGACCAACAGTACTGGAAGAATTCATGCAGGTTGGACGTCCAGACGAGGTAAAGAGATGCGTCTTGATCAAGAAAGTTGGAAACGTATCAAATCGTTAGGGAGACGCTAACGACCGTTGAGACCCATCGTCCCGTGACCCCCACCGGCTTAACGTTTGGCGCCCCAAACGGCAACTAATTAGCGAATTATGGTCAAATCCCCTTTTCCAACCTGCGACAACTTCCATGCGCCAGTCTTCGTCATCACATAATTAATCGATCCACATCGCTTCAAGGATGTTCGGAGACCCATCGGCACGAGTTTTCCCGCTACCAGACTCAAGTGAAAATGGATCTGCTGCCCATCAGAAGTTTATTGTACAGCCTGATACCACGAGAAATCAAGGAATTTGCACGAGAACGATAATCTAGTCTACAAAGCGCCCGACAAAGTTGGCAGGCATTGCGAACTTTAGAGTTCAAGACCAGATTCCGTATCTGTTTTTTTTCTTTGTTTTGGGCTTCTGGTTACCCCCTTTTTATGGTGGAATTTAGCCTTGACAAGGGCCTTGGCCAGTTCACTAGAGTAGCTTCATACGTTATGTACAATCATACGTTATGTACAATTAATGCGAAGTGGGCCCCCATATTAGCCCTCGAGTAACGCACATGGAGGATCATGACAACGGCGACCACATGCATTATGCGACTCACAACTTGGAGGCGTTCCCCTGAAATGACCGATGGCCCGACACTTGCTTTGCTGGCAACTCTACCCCCCAAGCAATGCGACAGTCCCAGCGCAGATGCTCGTTGGTTATCGACGAAGGCCCTGCGTCTGTAGGATGCTGCATGCTAATAATGTCTCGCCAAACCATGTCACCAACGCCGCCTTCACCGGACAGGATCCACCGTCGTGCAATTTCGGTCGCAACGCCATCAGCGTCTCGCTCGGCGTCCAGAGCAAGAAGAGCACCGCTGAGTATCCAGGCAAGAGTAAACATGACTCGGCGAGCATCCGCCAGAATGAACCGCGGCTCGCTGGTGGCTTTGACCCGAGAAAGGAAGCCAGACCATGTTTGTTTCAAAGCGCTCGCGAACTCAGGCATCGTAATCAAGGCCAAGGTGCGCTCGAACCAGGCGGAGAAGATGGCCAAATTATCGCCTTTAAGAAGGAAGCGAACGAGCTCACTCGCCAGCACATTGGTGGTTCCCTCCCAAATGGAGTTCACCGCAGTGTTCCGGAGCAGTCGAGCAATGTTGAACTCCGGCTCGTCCGGTTCATCCATGTATCCAACCCCGCCCATTCCCTCTTGGCATTCTTGAATCCCTGCAATTGCGTTCTTGCTAATCACTGCCTTAGCGATGGCTGTCAAAGCGCGGAACACTACCTGGGCTTCCTTGCCTTTCGTGGGCAGGTGCGCCGCAGGTGTGGAAACCCCGTTATTTTCGACCACGCCCATGACAGCAACCGTGAAAAAGCCGAGATTCATCCCCCCCCGATGTTTCACCTCCAGGTCTGCTAGTAGGCTCAGGTGCATGGGGATGAGCCACAAGGGTTCGCCGACCGTTGTTCTGGCTTTAGCAAAGCTCCTGGTAATGCTAATGGCACGTCGCCATGCAGACAGGGATCCAATGAATGTATGAGTCCGAGTAATATTGAGCAATGGTGCAATAGCCATCACACCACGGTCGACATCGCCGACCAGGTGAGCGCGCATATCTTGAAGTTCCAGCTCCGCTGTAGGCAATTCCTTGGTTCCCAACTTGTTCTTCAAACGATGGATTCGGACACCATTGGTGACCACTCGAGGCTTGCCATCTGACCCGACGACGGTCTTCCGCAGTGGTGCGAGGAACGTACTGAGCTTTCCCGATGGCGTTTTAGCAAGCATCAGAGCGATATTGGCATCAGTGGCGGAGGAAAAGAACTTGAACCCGCTGATCAAGTAGTCACCCTCGTCGAGACCGTTGGAGGCCTTCGACTTATGTGACAAAGGCGAGTATGTGGCCCAAGTCTCCGTATTTTGGACATCGCTGCCTCCTGCTCTTTCGGTCATCCACTGACCCGAAGTCCAATAGTCTTCCTTCGTGGAGATCAACTTCTGATACGCCGTCTGGAAGGGGTGATCTGGAGGGAGGCTCTTGCGCTCCTGATTCAAAACAAGCGCGGCCCCATCAGACATACTAACAGGGCAGGAATAAAGCCCGGATGATGGAGAGTAAAGATAGTTCCTATCCCCGGGTCAGGATCGGCGTTTAAAAAGCCACAGGCCAAATTAGAACCACTCACACAGCATACTGAACCAATCGTCTCTCCGCCCCGTAAGTCGGCTCATATCCCAGCGACACGACACTTAACCGGTCAGTAAATCGGTGGATTGTGGAGGTACACAGACGACCTACCCGTGCCGTGCACCCCATTTACCCAGCTGCTTCCACCCTTCGCTCGTCATCAGTCGATCATAGTCATATCGCTGACCCCAGACATCGAATCCCTTCACATATGGCTGATGCCTCTCGGCATCCGCGCTCCACTCCCGAATCTGGTCCGACACAGCTTCCTCGCCCAACTCCACTAGTTGCGATTGGGCTTGCTCCAGTTTCTGCGATGGAAGGTACCCTGTACGAATTAGTTCCTTCCTTAAGTTTTACAAAGTGCGACCGTGGTAAGGCGTACAGGAGAGAACCCGTTGAAGACTGGTGTCGGAAGTATATGTGTTCTCTAGCCGCTCAGGCTTCGTGATATGTCCACGGTCCACAGTGGCGTGACGAGGTCCAGACTCCATAATGATACCAGAATCCTTGATATATTGGTATTGAGTTTCCAAATGTGGCTGTTCGACGTTGGTGAAGTCCAGTTTCACATCTTTGATATACACTAACGTGCCTCGGTGGGAGAGCGCGTGATTACCTCGGTTATGGCAACCTGGGAGGAGGAGGTGGCTTGAGGGCCAGGTTTCTCTTACCCAACGCTGTCGAGTTCCACAAGTCCCAGGTATATCAGGTATTTCTAAGACACTGGTTCCATAGAGATGAATAGCTATACTAAACCGTCTGTCTAGTGCCGTACACTCCTATCTACACCAGCGGAGCATAGAGGCAACGAACGCCGATCATGCCCGATGAGTACAAGAGTCGTGACCCCTAGAATTTGGCCCAATCAGCGACGTCTCGCAGACCACGGTACTTGGTCCAGATTACATTATCCAATCAGGCCACCGACATGGGCATTGATCTCAAGACTCAGGAAAACAGAAGATATAGTGACAGACGTCACACATAGTCACGTGTCTGCATACACGACAGTTAATCCACGTGACCTCGGAGACTTTCCCCATCATTCGTCCGACTTCTGAATAATCTCGCCGCCCCCTTGACTAAGCTCACCGCCCGCCAATCGCCTGAGATGTGCAAACTCTAGTCCTGGAAAGGATCGATTCACAATCCATAGAACAAGCCCCATAGAAAAGAAAGGAACCATGATTGAACTAATGGAAAAACCCCAATTCCCCCGTCCAATCAACACGCACACGGTTGATCGGCAAGGGGGGAAAAAGTCTGAAACTGACTAACATTGGGTATCATGTCCAGAGAATCGGTATACTGCCGTGACAAGTCGCCTTGAAGTATACCCACTGCGGCGGTGATTTGAAATCAAAGGCTGTGGAGCACATTTCGAAGGCTTTCGGCCATGGTGCAGAGTGTGTAGTATTTAAAGTGCTTACGTTCCATATCAAGATCTTCGTAGTCCAAGACCAAATCATTACATCCATACACACAAAATGCATACCCCTGACTACGTCGAGCCCGCTCAGGGCATCTCGTACTTCACTCCCGCCCAGAACCCGCCCGCGGGAACAGCAGCCAACCCGCAGACCACCGGCCAGAAAGTGCCTAAGCTCTTTCAGCCCTTCACCGTCCGCGGCGTCACCTTCCAGAACCGCCTGGGTGTGAGTACTATCCATCCCACGTCACTCGCCTCTCGCCCCCAAAACTAACACCAGACAGCTGGCCCCATTGTGCCAATACTCCGCCGAAGATGGCCACATGACAGACTGGCACGTCGCGCACCTGGGCGGAATCGCACAGCGCGGCCCAGGACTGATGATGATCGAAGCCACGGCCGTACAACCGGAGGGCCGCATCACGCCCCAGGACGTCGGTCTCTGGAAAGACAGCCACATCGCGCCGATGAAGCGGGTCATTGAATTCGTACATAGCCAGGGCCAGAAGATCGGCGTGCAGGTCGCGCACGCAGGCCGGAAAGCCAGCACCGTTCCGCCGTGGATGGCGGGCGCCGTCGTCGCGTCCGAGCAAGTGGGCGGATGGCCCGAGAACGTCAAGGGACCCAGCGACATCCCCTTCGCTGATTCATACCCGAAGCCCAAGGCCATGACGAAGGCGGATATCGAGGAGTTCAAGAACGCCTGGGTGGCGGCCTGTAAGCGGGCTATTGCTGCCGGGGCGGATTTCATTGAGATTCATAATGCCCACGGGTATCTACTGTCCAGTTTCCTTTCGCCTGCGTCCAATAACCGGTCCGATGAGTATGGTGGTTCGTTTGAGAACCGCATTCGTCTTCCCCTGGAAATCGCCCAGTTGACTCGCGACGCCGTCGGTCCTGATGTTCCCGTCTTCCTGCGTGTGTCGGCCTCCGATTGGCTCGAGGAGGTCCTCCCCGAGCAGAGCTTCAACGTCAACGAGACGGCGAAGTTCGCCCAGGCGCTCGTGGCCCAAGGTGCCGTGGATCTGATCGACATCAGCTCCGGTGGTGTGCACGCCTCGCAGAAGGTCAAGTCCGGGCCCGGATTCCAGGTCCCCTTCGCCGTGGCTGTGAAGAAGGCCGTTGGCGATAAGATGCTTGTTTCCGCCGTGGGTGCTATCACCAACGGTAAGCAGGCCAACCAGCTGCTCGAGGAGGAGGGCATCGACGTGGCTCTGGTCGGACGTGGGTTCCAGAAGGACCCCGGTCTAGCTTGGACTTTCGCCCAGCACCTCAATACGGAAATCTCCATGGCCAATCAGATTCGCTGGGGATTCACCAGACGTGGTGGTACTCCTTATATCGATCCTTCAGTTTACAAGCCGTCGATCTTTGATTAGACTATGACGTGACGATTTAGAGGCATGAAAAGATGTACATAGACTAGACAGTATAATATCCACTATTATTATATACACAACTTCAGTCCTGGCTGTTCCATGAAATACTACAGAGGATAGGGCTAGAGCAGCCCTGTAGTCAATCCTGATCAACTCTAGAAACGCGCTGTGGGGCATCAAATTACCGATGACATTCTAGCACTGCTAATAACCAGCGGCTCAAAACAAGCATTTTTCTCCCCTGACAGTTTCACAGCCACTGAAAATGGAGTCTGTTGTTTGCTCCTCAAACGACATCATCAGGCCCCACAACACCCGCCGCCGTCAGCGCCAAACGGTGTTTATCGGACATTCGGATATAAGCGAGTAAAGCCGTGTCAGCAGTCGACAGTGTCAAGATGGGAAGTAATTGGCTGAATGAGTATCTTCTCCATTGTATCACATTTGGTGTGACGGTATAATCTACGTCAAGTGCCGGCTTTTGGCTACTAGAAGCCGTATGTCGGGAAGAGCTGAAGAAATATAAATATGTCCACGACCCCGGGAAGATAAACCTAAACCAAACAACCTCAACCCTGTGACATCAACCCAGGAGCAACCCCGAACATCCCAACGAAAATGGTCAAAACACTCCCCTTCGCCAACATCAAGGTTCCCACGCCAGGCTTTGGGGCGATGGGTCTAAGCTTCGGCCTGGGCAGCAACCTGTCGCTAGAGGAAGCCGAGCCCGTGCTGCTGAAAGCCATCGAACTGGGATGTACATTCTGGGACACAGCCGTGAGTGACCATGCATCCTAGTTGTAATACCACCGAGCGAGTCTAAACGTCTAACCGGCGGAGTAAAGGTCGTCTATCAAGCAGGCGTGAACGAGAAGCTCCTGGGTGACTTCATCAGGAAACACAACGTCCGTGACAAAGTCTTCAGTCAGTTGATATCCCGAGATCATCATATAAAGCAACATTAATCGAATCTAACACTTCGCACACACCAGTCGCCTCAAAATGCGGCTTCAATGTCTTCGGCGGCGGCGGCATCACCAATTCCGCCGCGCACATCAAGGAATACATCGAGGGCACCATTGAACGGCTGGGCTTCGCCCCGGACCTGTACTACTTGCATCGGATAGATCCCAGTATGTGTCAGATGTTCCCAGACGCAAGTGTGTAATCACGCTAGCAAAGCTAACGAGATCAGACACCCCGCTGGAGGAGTCCATCCCGGCGCTGGATGAGATCCGCCGAGCCGGCAAGACCAAGTACATCGGTCTGTCCGAGTGTTCGGCCGCGACGCTGCGCAAAGCCAACTCCAGTCCGTCCCCCGTCCCCCGTCCCCATTCCTTGATGCACTATTTCTAACTTAAAGGCCACAGTCGCCAAAATCGACGCCATCCAAGCCGAGTACTCCGCCTTCGAAACACTGCACGAGACAGACGGTCTCATCGACACATGTCGCGAACTCAACGTAGCCTATGTGGCGTACAGCCCGCTGGGCCACGGGTGGCTCGTGGATGACTTCCCATTCAAGACGCCGGACGACTTTGCGGAGGGTGACTTCCGCCGCACGAGTATATCTCCCTCTTCCCTCTTCCCCTATGCCAGATCACACTTTGCTAATTAATGTTTTCTGCGCCAGGTCCCAAGTTCCAAGGTGAGAATTTCTACAAGAACCGGGCTATTGTGGAGGAGATCAAGAAGCTTGCTGCGCGGAGGGGCTGCTCGATTAGTCAAATCGCGCTGGCGTGGGTTGCTGCGCAGGGGTTCATTGCTATCCCGGGGACCACGAAGGCGACTCGGTTGGAGCAGAATTGGGCTTCGAGGGAGATTGACTTGACGGAGGAGGAGAAGCAGGCGATGAGGAAGATCATTGATGCTGCGAAGCCGCATGGGAACCGGTATGGCGCTGCGAATCAGGCTTTGGTGGGGCACTAGTGCTGTTTCTTCGGTTGTATATATGGATGTAGTTCGATCATGATGTGAGGGATGATGATATGTAAACTTTGGGGCAAATCGGACTTTGTTCCAGAAACGAATGCTATTGGGGTGATAAAGCATCCATGCACGACAGGTGTAGTCGTTCTTCAAGCTGAAGTTCTTGTCTTATCGTTGTGGTGTGCCTCAATTTGTGATCTAAGCGCGGTAACCTTACCAGCCTTCTGTTGATCCTCTGCCTTGGATAGTACTCCCAAACGACCACAATGTACAAGGTTCGGGGAGACTTTGTTAAATTACTGATATTTACCCGTACAATAGTTCTAGCCCAATCCGTCTAGGGTCTATATTTCTATTCTATAGATAGTCTATATCTATAACCCCGTCATAGCAAATCCATCCCAAAACCTAAACTGTACATGAATGCATATCAAAAAATTATATCGCCAGAAATTATACCAAACGAAGAAATTAAAGCTTGCTCTTGGGTGCGCTGTTCTTCAGCACGTTCTCATTCCATGGGTAGGGGTCGAAGACCAGGTCGTTGACCGGGTTCTGGCAAGCACGGCGGAAGAGGTCTGGGTAGACTTCACCATCATAGCGGCCCAGACTGCTGTCGAGCTGCCAGTCAGGGAACTTCCAGGCATCGACCAGACGCACTGCGTGAGGGCGGATCTCATCCAAAAGCTTCATCACAGCGTTCGACTGCGCCAGCGAGATCTGGCGGGTGGTGACGGCACTGGACGAGAAGAACTCACCGGCCTCACGCTCCAGAGTGTGCAGAGAGTACAGGCGGAAGAGCTTGTGCATCAAGGATAGAGTCTCGGGGTCCAGCTCAGATGTGAGCTGGGGCGAAGTGACCGCTTCGTAGAAGTTCTTAACAACCAGGTACTGCGAGTGCGCGGTCGACAGGCGCCAGAAGTCGACCAGCAGGCTGTTCCATGACCGCTTCTCGACGTCTCGGCGCTTCAGAGCCTCGAAGGTGAGATGTGCGGTACGCCAGGCAAAGGCGGCAACGATGTCCTTGTCCTCTTCCAGGATGTCGAAAGAAGCACCCTTCTCCCGGCGAGAGAGATATGTCTGCAGAATCTGGGATGTGTCGTTGTTCGTTCCCTTACCGGCAAGGACGGCACGGGCAGATTTCAAAAGCTACGACCGTCAGCAGGCGAATTTGACCAAAGACCAAGGATTAGTGACTTACGTATCTTGCAACCTGTTGTGTCAACATGTAGTTGTCACCCTCCCAGGTCAATGTAGGCAGGTAGTCCGCATACCACGGTCCAATACCGCTGTAGTTGCTGTATCCGTGACCACCACAAGCCCGACGACACACCTCGAGACCCTCTCCGGCGGTGGTACTAGCGAGTGCCTTCAGACCGCAGGAAGTGGCGTGGAGATCTGCCAGCAGGTCTGCACCGGCCCTCAACTGCTCAGGGCCTGCGCCTCTCTTGTCCTGACCAGCCTCAACAGCACCCTTCATCCGCTTCTGGTTCTCCTCATAAAGTCGCATCATACCGCGGCCAGTAAAGTGGAGGGCATACATGGAGGCGAGCAAAGGAAGGAGACGGACCTGGACCATCTTGTAGTTCAGGACCTGGTTTTCTCCAGCGTCTTTACCGCCATCGCGGTCCTGGAACTGCCGACGGACCGCGCAATAACGGGTGGCGATGGTGACACCACGAGCCAACACACTACCAGCCTGCAGCACAATGTTGGAGCGGACCCAGGTCATAGTACCGTATAGGAGAGAGTGAGATGCCGGGCGCATATACTTGTTGGTCTCCTTATCGACGCGCGAGAAACGGGCCAGCATGTTAACGTGGGGAATCTTAACCTTATTGAACAAAAGGAAACCATTGTCCATCGTGCTGGTTCAGTCAGTATCTTGTTGACATGAAGACGAACTATACATGTGAAAGAGCTACTCACTTATAACCGAACTTAGGACCAATATCTCCGACGTAGATATTCTCCAGAGGTTGGTGGGTTTCCAAATCACGGATCTGGACAACGAACGGGTGGGGGCCGTAGTTCTTGCCTCCGATGTACAGCTGGGCCATGACCACAGCGTGGTTGGCAGTACGACCCAGGGAGCCGATCCACCACTTCGAGGCAGTCAGGGTAGGGGAGTGGATTGTGAAAGTCTTGTCGTCAGGGTTCCATGTGGCAGTCGTTTCCAAGCCACGGACGTTGGAACCATGGCCCAATTCCGTCTGTGCGTAACATCCAATGATCTTGTAGTTCGAAGCCGGTTCGAGGAAGAGCTTCTTTTGCTCAGGGGTAGTCTGTTCCCGCAAAGTAACCTAATTGAAGATCCGTTAGTGGTCGACTAGTATCGGTTGGTCGCGTTGCAGTGTAACTCACCAAGAACATACTGGCATGGAGGCCATAGGGAGTCGGCTCCGACAAGAGATCGTTGGCCATGTAGTAGTCATCCTGTGACCAGTTGTGTTGCACAGCCAATTGCTGCAGGCGCTTCGCCTTGGCCAACGCTCTTTGAATCTTCTCTGTGCGGCCCAAGGTGTAGTTCTCTGATTTATCGAACACCTTATCGGACTCCATGATGGACAGAATCTGCTGTTGTCTGGCCAATGCCTCCTTGGTGTGTAATAATTCGGCCAACTTGTCAACGTCGACGTGGACTGGGCGCGCTCCTGGGCGAGGAGCTCGGAGCCTTGCGGGCCAGCCGGCTTCAACGCCTGGACCCAGGCGGGAGGAGGAGAGGGCATGTTGTGAGGATTGTATGGGGAATGGACGATGTCTGAATGATAAGAAGTGAATGAGAATTGTAGAGAAAACAAATCTGGTCACCAAGATGGGGGAGGGGGGCGCAGTGGAGGACTTATAGGAAGAGCACTCCACGGGGAAAATGCCCCAGAAGCTGAACCAAGAAACAAAATGGCCGAGGGTGAACGTAGCGATTGCCCAATGGGGCAGAAGCCTCGGCTGTTCTTCGTCTGTTGGTGGCCTTGCTGCCTTACTTCACCGGCAAGAGGCGAAAACCCCAAGTCATTCGGACAGGTCAGTAGCCGTAACTTTCTCGGCCGACGAGCCTTCGGAATTCACGATACCGAGTCATCTTTTAGGCTTGTCGATACCTACCAGGGATGTAACACTAAGGCAACTTAACTTATTCTGCGTACAGGGGTCTGTCCCGAACTCGGCAGGGCGTGCAGCAGTTCAACAGCGATCCAAGCCTGAGCGTATTTAATGATTGGCCTGCCCTGCTGGACTTGTTATCTGATAACGATCAGTTGCAGGGCCAACGCAGTCTCTACAGGGTGTATCTACATCCGACCAACTTCCCCCCCAGATCTCTATCTGGTCGTATAATATAAAATCAGAGAACCAAAATACCGGGGAATACCGTTTGATCGCATCCATAAATCTTTCAAACCCCAGAACGTCAAAAGCTTCCCCATACGCTGGGAGATCCACATTGCGCGCCGCGGGGCACGTGACTAGACCGATCCAAACTGGCGAGGGGTAGCCAGTCTATGCATCGGTGTCGAATTGACACTAGAATCATTTATGATTAGTAGTAGTTTTTGTCTTCCGAATTCCATGGCATGGCCCAACTTCGCATTTCCCTTTACCGCTCTGCAACCTGGAAGCCACTTCGGCGTGAACAGGAGACGCGCGGAGGAAAGGAATTCACAACAACTAATCATTTACATTAAAAGGCTTGACACGTGCTAAGAGATCCGCGACTTCACATGATCTCACCAGTGGGAATTGGGAGAGCTTCAAAACTACTCCGTAAACGAAACCACAATATTGTGGATAAGAAACGAATCGGGGCCACTCCTTTTTCCTCTCCGCCAACCCGCGATCACATGTGAAATACGGGAATGACGACAGATCCACCTTCGAGTCCCAGTGAAGCCTCATCGTGAGCCCCGAACATAATCACACTCCTTTCAATTGATTCTTCCGTCCTGCTTCCCCGGCTTTTCCCCCGTCGGACCCACGAAAACCACGGGCGGGCTAACGTGATGACCTCCTTCACGGACTCCACCCGGCTTTCCTGTTCTCCTTTTCTTCGCAGAAGATGACAGAGGCGAGGGAAAGGAAAGGGGCAAAAGAATAGGAAAAAGGAAAAAGGGTGGGGAGGGTTCCGACTGAAAAAATGGTACAGTTGCCTTGTTACCACGGTTCTACACCAGGTATTCCTCAAAACACCTACGAAGATATATAAAAGCGGCCATAGCTATCATGGAACTGAAAAAGCTTCCGCATGCTAAGGTTGCAACCCTCTCATCGTACGTTTGGCCACCGATCTTCGTAAAAACGAGAGAAAATCTATTTCAATTTCCTCGGTATGTACACCTATACGCGGGATAACGGGGTAATAGGGGCAAGACTCATCCCCGGATTATCCTGTTGAAGCGCCTCCTCGAAGGTGGTCGAGGATGTGACATGATGGTTCGAGCCATTCGAGGTGTACTGATGGGACTTCAAGCGTCGCCACCGGGGAACGCAGCATTCTACTTGGTCCACAAGGGGCCGGAGTGTTGCCGCAGACGAGGTAATGAGTGCAACGCCCACTTCAACGTAAGACCAACATATCACACCCGTAAAGTAAAATAGATTTTTCGGGTCGGTGAGCTGGTGAACAAAATACATCCTCGCAACCGTTGCAAAACAGGCACTGCGAAAAAAGGTGAAGTGTGAGCATCTTACTTCTCCAGGACGTTGGGGAATATATTACACTGAACCAAGTGCCAGAATCACAGCAACGTGAACCTTGATGTAGTAGGGTAAATGCAGACTTCGGACAATCAGGATCGGCAGGAGTCCAAGGGTCGCATCGCTAAAGGCTGTAATGGCGGAATGCACATAGGCCGCTTTGACGAAGCCTCTCCCATCGCAGCTGCCATGTGGGGTGATCGCTTGGTTCCAGAACCATGATGGCGGCCGGCATTGGATGATGACGAAGATAAAGATGAAAATGGTGAGGCAGCTGAGTAGGATGAGAATGGCATAGATGATCCATTTATGGTAGCGTTCGATACAAAATCGTAGGAGAAAGACACCCACGGCGAATTTGACCATGGTGGTTGCGACCACATAGGATAACTCATAGAGAAATAGAAGCTGCAGCCGATGATGAGTTGAAAATCGAAGTATTCGGTTGTTTTCAGTTTACCTTCAAGCCTTTGAGGAGGACCTCTGGCGTTAACTCCGTCCAGGAGTACCCGAAACTGCCAATTCGAACCCCTTCAAGTAAGGCAGATGCCGCTATGACGAAGAAAATCTCCAAGATACAAATATCAGCATGGTTGAACGAGGAGGAGTGCCATATGTTGTGCACCACCCCGGGTCAAAGATGAACAATTTACCAATGCTCCAACCGCCAGACCATCATCCAACCCAAAGCCCCTCTTGATCCGTAGACGCACGTAGCATCGCAACGCCACGGTTCCCAAGGCGAGAATGAGGAAGGATATAACGACACCAACAAGGTCCGCAGCCCTCGTGGTCATGGACGGCAAATCTCGCTAGTGCGAAGGTATAGTCCGTAATATGGTATTGTGAATACCGGAGATCAGAGACTGGGGTTGTTCGATTTGACGAGAGGTCCTCGCTTCGCTGGGGAGCTTTTATAAGCTTCGACAGTACCTGCATTGTGATAGATAGGGAGATAGACGACGACATGCGGTTTCTCAAGAATGGTATAGCCTGCTGAATACACTGTATGCTTCAGCCACTGACCCGACGATGGCACTGACCAGGTGTTGCTCTACAGCTAAGCCGAGCTAGCGTTACCAGCGCCATGAAACCCAATCCCAGTGCAGACCAAGGGGCCAATCGAGCGGGCAGGTATCCGTGGATCATTCAAGCTCGAGAACGCCTACTCATTAAACCTTTCACCGGTAGGAAGCTCTTGGAACATTTATCCGGGTGTCATTACGCCATCTCGCAAAGTCGATGGTGAATGCTGATTGAATCGATCGCTGTAAATCAGTCTTACTGTAAAAGATACTTAGAGCTATATTTGCCACCTAAATATTTTAAGTTCATACCTAGTCGAGTGTACATGCGACAGGAGCACCTCTTACCCTGCCCCGGCAGTGCCTGAATGGGGCAGGAGAACCCTATATCTTTGAGGAGGCTTTTGGGGCTGTTGATCACGCAGGCAATAGGTACTGTACCTGGACTGGCGAACGCCATATCCCCGTAAACTGGGACAAGAGTACTCCACAGTTACCGGCGCCCTGGGCGAACCTCTCATATGAACATATGTTCAAAACTTGTAGACCATGGAATAGTCCGGCTTCGAATATGCGACGAAGAAAAAGACCAGTGAAGCAACTACTGTTTTTCAGCTCTTACGGCACATTTTATTATCGGAGATCAACCGGCAATAGTTGTTGAGACTGCCATGGCTGTGCGATGCTCGCTATAACCCATAGCTAACTGTTCTCCCGACAAGAGCTCTTCAAAAGACACACGATGATAGTGACTGCCAGCAAACACCTGTTCATTTGACAATGAATTATATGCTTTTTGCTGGAAGGCACGGGACACTGTGGGTATTTCTCTGTGGGGTTCTCTCAAGCCCCAGGCTTGAGCGTGCTTAGAAAGCAAGTCCCGAGAAGCTGACTACCAGACTTTCCAAGTCTTGGCCATCTCCTTAGGGGGGATCATGATAAGCCACCTAGATGGGGGTGGATGGGATGATAAGTAGACGTAAGCGGTGATGTGGGGGACTCGGATGTGGCTTAGTACTCTGTAAGGGAACACCCCTGGGCTTGCCCTTTGGTGCCTGGATCTTTTCTCCTGGCCACTAAAAAGCGAAAGATGGTTTTATAACTTCTTTTCTCTAAGATACGCCGTAGATTTGACTTGAATAGATAATATTGATGCACCGGGCTTTCAGGACATCCTATACTACTCTTCTCATAGCGGTATCCAATGTAAGTTGCGTCCAGCTTATGGTAATGACAGCATATGGTTAATTAGGGCTGATTAGTATCAGGAACTGGATCCCGGATCATAATATAGTAGCTCCCCTTATGATGCCCCCCCAATGGCTCGAAGTCTAGAACAATTTCCTCTAGTGTGTTCCATCCGTACTTTTTATAAAGCGGATAGCCTTCCTCTGTTGCTTCAAGAAACATTCGTGCATTCAGGGTATCCGCCTTTTTCGTAGCCCATTTCAACATTTGGCTTCCAATTCCTTTCCCCTGATACTCGGGGTCTGTGGCTAAAAAGTCCAGGACTATAGCGCCGGTTAGCCTTCCTGAGCCGAAACGAATAGACAAGAGGAAATTAAAGTGTGAGAATATAAGAGGAAAGAAGCTAGGAGAAACTAGAATACGTACTCATATCATCTTCTCTCAGATACTTTTCCCTCGAGCTCTTGAGCATATCCAAATAACACGCATAAACGCGCTCGTTAATTCCCTCGGGTAGGTATTTATTTGGTTCAGCAGCCATCTTACTGGCATTTTCCGATAGCTCTGTAAGTGAATGGGACTCTTGTTGATAACGAAGTGGGATGACCACTCGCATGAAGGCGATGATACGCCCCGTTTCTGAGTCCGTTGCAACTAAGAGATGGTATTTGGGATCCACGAATCTTGCGAAAGTTCGTGCATATTTCAACGTTTGTAGGGCCGAAACTTCAACGTTCGCAAATGCATTCTGGTAGAATAGACCCGGAGCGAAACTGGCGGTGTTTATGTGGACCAAATCCGGGCTATCGGACTCGGTCGCATAGCGGATTTGAATGGGCATTAGTAGTGTTGGTTCTTTGCCTTTGATGGGGAATGACGGTCAGTGTGCGATCTGGGGTGGGAATGTGATCATAAATGTTGGAAAATCCTAAGTGGGTCCGAATGTGCTAGGCCACTGTAATAGTACTGCGTGATATTAGATTAGGGCGCATGGCGTCTTCATAGACATTTAGAACATGTTGTTCGTATTGACCGCGGAAAAGCTTTTCAATGTCACCTTATCTCGGAGGCCGCCCTTCCTTTTGAGTCTCTACTTAGCCTCGTTGCTTGACCCCACGCTTAACTCATTTGGTTATCATATTTATCATACGTATATCCATCCCCGCACCGTCACTGAGGGGGAATTTTCCGCCTTCACAGACACTCTCAAACCGCTCGGAACAAGAACGATATCCTATGTCGCTCATTCCCATCGTGATAAATCGGTGCAAATTCGACAGGTACCCGGTTCAGCACATTTAAATCGCTCAGGCCTCTTGATTATTATGGTCTTGTGGACGCTCGTGGATATTCTTATCCTTGGTTGTAGTTAATATCTCAAGGTCACACATAATTTGACTAAGTCGATATCATCTCAATGTATCGCCGAAATAGGAAGGAAACTTTTGGGGCCCCATAACACTTGTCATATTTCTTTTTTACTCCAAGAGGCAAGTTGGAAAAGTCTCGCACTCATATTAAAGATAAACAGCAAAACCAGTCTTCTGGAAAGCGGGTGGAAGACGGTGGTTGACATTGTGGAGACTAAACGAGATGCCATGTATGACCACTTCTCGAATTGAGTGGCGTTTGAGTTCGTGTCAACTAGTTTGTAGGCGGTTGGAGATTCTGATTAGAAAATTTAAGGTTACGCAAAAGACCACAAATCGAACTCCTACTAACTACTAAGAGCGCCAGAACGAACCTCAATGTTTTGACAGATGAGGTCGTCGACATTTGGGCATGTAAATAGAGTGATCAGTGGAATCCAGTGCGACAAGGGCATGACTTGCGGGTCAAATTGAAGAAATATACTACTGCGCAGTACAATATTAGCGGAGCACAAAGTACATACAAATCTATTATTTTATTACTCTTTAGCTAGATCTTTTTCCTATTTTTTCCTGATCTTGTGCCACGGTGCGATCCCGTATCACCTATTCTCTGACGGTATATTACATTACTCCAGACTATGTATTTCTCTAGTAGAATCTGACCCCGTTGTAGTTTTCTGAGCTATATATTTATCTATCTATCCATAGCTTAATTAATAGTTTAAAGATGCAGTAGTCTCGCATAGAACATTTATGAATGAACTCGTACAAACCATATCCTGATAGATACCTCAACGTAAGTCCCCGCTAAAAGTCATACTAACACGATCATTCTTTTCTCACCGTGCCACGACTCCATGCTTTGCCATACTGTGATTGGACTTTTTATGCAATAATATCCTATTCTTCTACAGACGTTCATTTCCGGGCCCTGAAACTCTTCCACAATCAAACCGTACACGCTCTTCGTTGATTCTGCCTTGGACAGAGCCACAATTTTGCATCGGTCCCCTTCATGCAGATCATCCTGTGGGTCATCGATTATCCACCAAGACGAGATGCCATAGCCATTCCACGAGATAGAGTCGTTGAGTGTAATCGAGTGATCGGAAATCGTGGGGAAACCCCCAGTACACTTTATTACTGCACAATAGGCTCGCAGATCCAAACTCGCAGATACGACCTGCCCGTAGGGATTTGCCTGATCGACAAGGTCAAGACTAAAATTCCTCATATATGCGATTGGCTGTAAGGTTGACATTATTGGCATCGCAATCTGGCTATCCATCGAGGCCCAACTCCAGGAGGGCGTCTTGATAAGTCGCCCATCTTCGCACATATACATGTTTTTGTCAAGGATATAGCCAAGTGTCTGATGCTACTCCCTGGTGACGATCCCTATATCATACAAAGAGTAGAGGGCCATTAACGGTATAAATATCCTTGCACAGGCATATCGTACACTGGAATTCAAAACCGGCGCCTGGGTCTTGTATCCTTGGATTGTTTCCCCAAGCCCGAGGCAACCAGCCGTTTAGCTACTTTTGTCTTCAGCAAATAAAAAACATTCTGCTGTATTAGCCGATTTCGTATACTACTAATAATGAATAGTAAAGAGAGACTATCGCGGGTAGGCCAAGTAGTGGATAGGAAAGTGTAAGACGCCCTTATTATGGCCTGTACTACCTGTCGGCTTAGATTCCACAACCTTGTCTGAGAAGGTCCGCGATGGACAGTATTTCTCTAGGCTTGCGGTGGGGAAACTCAACTCCCAGATGCCATGGGAAAATGAAGTAAGACCAGCGATGCAACCGGTTGGTGTAGGTGAGCATCGTTCCCATCAGCTGGATGTAGTCCTGTTTGGACTCGAGTGTATCCAGAGCAGTCGCAAACATTCCACCGATCTTAAGCATACTGGGTAGACCAAGGTCCCCCATGAACTCGAATAAGTCAAAGCGCTCCACAAGGAATTCCTTCGTGATGCGATTCAAGGTCGTCAGTCGCACATCATCATCCTGAGCAATTTTCAAAAAGCGGCCCATTAAGTCCCCACCCAACACCATGAGGAAGGCCTCCAGGTGAACGAGAACCGTGAAGTACTGTTCGCCGGTGCCAGCACCACTGTCAATCACCCCCCATCGGATTTTCTGGATCTCCTCCGGCTCATCAAGCCAAATCCGATCAATCTCCTTCTCAATGAGCTTTTTGGTCGCACGCCAGTGCCCCTCAGGCGAGCACGCCGGTGCTGGCAATTGATAATTTTCAGAAGGTTTCGGCAGTGGAAAGTCGCCCGTGATATGCACTTGCATGAGTGTGCGGCGGGGCTGCGCAACGGTTTGCTGGTAGATGAGTTTCCCTATTGGCTCCAGCTTGTGCAGGTCCTCTTCCAGAACCTCGCCAAACTTGTTGATCTTGGCGCTCTCCGTGATTCTGCCGTAGATGAGGCAGATGGACTGGCCGAGGGAGTTGAGGAAAACCGCTCCCCGGTGACGCTGGACCATGTTGTTGTCGCCCAAGTGCACAATCCTACACGGGGTCCAGAAAGTCTCTCCAGCTATCACAACGTGGCCTAGCACACTCTTGAGAGGTAGCTGGGATATGACCTGCTGGGCGACATCGGGGTTCTGCTCCACGAGTAATCGTACCCGGAAGGAGAATCCGGTATCAGGAATATTGAATGTAATGATAGGTGATACGGCCATGGTGGTTTGTAGAGTCAAGTTCTTGGTCTCAATGAGATGGAACGGTAGTTTGTACTATAGGATTTATACGGAAGACCAATCCGCATGGTTGCTTCGCAAGAACCGTTCCCAGAAACCCAGAGTCGATGTGAAATGGCCCGCCGGAGGTCTCGACGCTGGAATCCCTGATGTGATCGTTGCACTCGTCCAATGTGACGTTGCAACAATATGTACGGTGATGATCTCCAGCCACAGACGCTTGTAGATTGTGGGGCATCATACTTTTGACCTACTCATTATTGTTACGGATTCTCACTGATCCAACCTATTGCGTAGGGGAACGTCACTGACGGGACATGCATATAGGTTAGTATGCCTCGAATGCCACTTCGCATTTTCTCCACATACCTGCTTTAATGATAGTCAATCACAATGTGCGAGGACCGTAACAGACAATGTGACGCATCCTTTCGATAGTGTATCAAATTCCATTGGTAAGCAGTCATCGTCAGAAATTGGTATTACCCCTGTGGTGGAACGGTAGGACTTGAGCATGTGGGGAGTGTAAATGTCAAAGGGGCGGTGGCCGGAACCAGACACTACCCCTTGTGCCGTGATGAGCACCATACCAAAGATCAAATCGTATTTAAATACGTAGGATATAGCTTCGGGGTATGCTCAAACGTAAAGTTGTACTAGAGACACAGTTGTTAGTACACCACAATGAACTTTCAGCGCTCAGCAATCGAAATCGAAGCTCCTGAAGAGATCGAGCTTCCCATTGTCAACAACCTCAGCGAGAGCGCGGTAGCTGACCGCACACTTGAAGACCTAGCAATTCGGGTGCCTAGAGATCTCCCTCTAGCGTATAGTCAGCACTATGGTAGCGATCGGCTTCGCAAACTCATCGCCCAGCGCGCCGGCCTGGATGATAGCGATATCCTCGTTGTGCCAGGTGCCTCCACGGCTCTTTTCATCGTTGCAACTGCCCTTCTGTCCGCTTCCGATCATCTGGTCGTCACTCGGCCCAACTATGCCAGCAATCTTGAAACCCCACGGGCAATTGGCTGCAAGATAAGTTATGTTGACCTGGAGTTCGAGGAGCAATTCCGAGTCAACATCAATTGCATCAAAGCTGCCATTCAACCCAACACAAAGCTGATCAGTCTCACCACCCCGAATAACCCCACCGGTGCCTGCATTTCCGGAGAAGACCTAAAGCAGATCGCAGAGCTGGCAAGGCGCCACGGATGCCAGCTGCTTGTCGACGAGACATACGCCGAACTAACCTATACAGAACGCCTACCCGGGTGCGCCTGCCTGGGCACTCACGTGATTGGGGTTGGCTCGATGTCCAAGGCATTTGGTGTCCCGGGCATCCGCGTTGGGTGGATTTCTACCAAGAATAGAAAGTTGCAGGAAACCTTTCTCGCCGCCAAGGAGCAGATCAGCATCACCGTGAGCGTGCTGGATGAGTACGTGGCAGAGCAGATACTGGAGCAGTGCGATAGTATCATCCCCATAATCCTTGAGGAAATGAAGCGTCGTCGAGAGTTGGTGCAGGATTGGGTCCAATCTGAAGATCTCGTCGAATGGGTGTATCCACAGGGAGGTGTGATGGGGTTCGTGCGAATGGTGCGCGAGCCTCCCGGGGGCACAACGGCGTTCTATGATCGCCTGCTGAGGGATCATCAAACGTATGTTGGACCTGGTCGATGGTTTGAGCGGCCGGATATATACTTCCGACTGGGTTATGGTTGGCCCACAGCTGAGAGCCTGGTCAATGGGCTGGCTGCCATTTCGAAGGCCTTGCGCGGCTAAGTACGGTAGCGAAGGTTATGAAACTGCTTTTCTATCGGGTATATGAATGAATGTTCTAGTCTAGTACAAGGAATGAAAGTTATATCCATCTGTTGCATATGACAGCGTATATATTCTCTGCCTCTATATGTGCTTATTGCTGTATCAAACACTATGCGGAAGCTGATGGTAATGGAAGTATATGTGTTAAATTTACCAATTTAACGCGAAGCAAGGCATTTATAAGAGCGTAGGTATCGTGATTCAAAATCCGTGGCAGTTAGTACTAAACCCGACTTGAGCTTTGGTCCCGCACAGAGCCTGCTTCTCGAATACCCTCAAGTTCGGGATCCTAGGAGCAATCCCATATCTCAGGGAGCGAGCTATTGGCAGGGGCTTGGCAGCTATGTTGGCGGTTGTCTTGCCTCCAGAGACTAGCGATTCATATTGAACGGGCATAATGAATGCATTGGTCCCAGCACCCGCTAGCTGGTGCGACGGATAAGAGCAATCTGCATCGAGGGGTACGCTAGGATCATCACCAGTCATGTCGGCAAATATGGTCTACGTAGTTCCTAGATGTTAAGCACTGGTCACCACTATAATATTGAGAAAGGTGAAATAATTTGGCCTGCTCAACCCGTTTGTGACCAGCAGGTCTGAAGGAAAATTCCGTAGGCAGGCATGGGAAATCGCTGTTTTGATTAATGCTGTTGTAGGTTGACAAGCTGTCGGCTTCCATGAACAAGACCCAGCAGCTCCACTCGACGCACCTACTGTAAGTAGAGACACCCTGACGTACTAAACCGTATCTATGCTGGGTCAAGCTCATCGGCTGTGGAATCCTAACGATCCATGGAGCTGTGCACCGTGGACAACCGATACCACTATGTGTCACCCAAGTAACTAGGCCGTATTGCCTGTGACATGCCAAAACCTGCTGTTTGCGGCCCCCTTGAATTTCAACAATGGCAATCCAACGAGGTAGTTGGCCAGTCACGGCCTAGGAAGAAGATCTAGATTTGGGGCCCAGCCGAACATGAAAATAAGGTCATACATGGTAGGTAGATCATATTCTTATATGCAAGTTGCGAACATGATATAGAACCGTGCATAGCCTGTGATAATGCTACTTGAATCTTCATAGGATTGAATTGCTTACTGAACTGGACAAATGGCTACGCGTTACAACCCAGTTAAAGTAGTTATTCCGCCGACTTTTTATATTACTTTGCTTTCTCGTAAGAGTAAAATAGCTCTTGGTGACGGAAGCGTACCTGTATAACCATGGGGTAGACCAGACAGAGTGTTCAGCGAGGGTATGTAGTCTGGCTGTGGTCTATGATGACTACATTCCGAAGAAGAAGCTGAAAAGTCCCACAGGTTAACTTGATCGAATCCGGAAACGGTAAAGGACAGCCTTGTAGTCTGCTTCCTTACATAGAGTCTGTAGGCTACCTGCTATGATTTTAGCACATTCCAACCTAGATTCCTCAGATGTTAGCAGCCCATTAGGGTATGGGAGCCACCCCTCCTCGTTGACATCAAACGGGGAAATGATGCAATCAAAATAGAATTCCATAACCCATGAGGTATCGAGCCTGTTTCTGTTTTTCATCTCTTCAACTTGTCCAGCTTCAGGATAGCATTGCTTCAAACTTTTTGAATCCAGGTAGTGAGCTTTACTTGTCATTCACGTCCTGCATCACCGCTCTCTGTATTCTTATTGCCATGAATGCCTGGGGTTACAGATGGCGTTCCTCGAAGCCTCTCATTATCGCCACAATTAGTATTGCCTTATTTGCTGGTATAGTACCTGCTCAATCTCTCCGTTATCATATGACCAAGTCTTCGCTATCAAGGTCGTCGCTAATCGACACTCCTTAGAAACCTTTCTGTATAGCTTTATTATTCCTATCCTGAGTTATATGCTAGAGGTCCGTCTTAATATTGATCCATCGGAAACCCAGTGGCATATTACTGCCTTACTGGCCCTACATGGTTTGGTTGCTCTCGTGGTTGCACCACCAATTGCCCACCTTACCGACAAGTCTCCCAATCGCAAAATGCCCTTTTTACTCTCTCTCGTAATGTCTCTAGTTGGGACATGTTTGATTGCAATCTCATTATCAGGTACACCTGCCCTGCCGCTTTTCACTAGAAAAGTTGTATTGCTTACATGTCCACAGTTTGGGTGCTTTATGTCGGTCGTGTGATACAAGGCGCCGCTGGATCGGCCTCATGGATTGTGGGTTATACCACCTTAGCAGATAACGTCAAACAAGGAGACATGGGGAGAGCTATGGGGGTGACCATGACATTTTCCCTTTTGGGAATTGTCGCAGGACCAGCGATTAGCGGAACACTTCTCCAGCTCCTGGGATACTGGACCGCCTGGACCGCTCCCCTAGCAGTTCTTGTCCTCAACATTATTTTCCGCCTCATCATGTTGGAGAGACAGGATAGTGCCACCTCTATTGCTAGTTCTAGCTCGGAGGACTCGTACTCGTCAATTGTTTCAGGAAGAGTCATAGAGCCACAAAGCCAGGACGAAACCTCTTCATTACTTCCCTCATTGTCCTCGCACAGTTATGCGCCTTTCGATGCAGATTCAGCCCAGGTGCGTCCATCTGATGGCCCTGAGCAGCGCCCGGGATTCTATAGCACTATGTTGAGAGAGCCCCGGATTCTTACAGGGGCAGCCAACGTCCTCTTGTTTAACATTATAACTGCCGGTTTTAGTGCGACCTTGCCCCTTCACATGCAGAATGTTTTTCATTGGGAAAGCATGTCTGTGGGTCTGGTCTTTCTCAGTCTACAGCTCCCTCAAGTCATCCTTAGTCCACTAGTCGGATGTCTTCGTGACTATCTAGGCTATCGATTTCTGACTACGGTCGGCTGGACTCTTTTGACTCCACTACTCTGGCTTCTCGGGATCCCTGGCTCTAACACATTTTTCTGGAGCCGTCCCGAGATCCATGGCAAAGCTGCCTTTGTTGCGTGTATTGTTAGCATCGGTGCTATTTTCAGTCTGATCCGTGGCGGGGGGCATTGCAGATGACCGGTACTTATATCTTGCCTACCTCCAATTACTGCTACATGGCTATTCTAACACCGCCATTGCAACAGGGGTTATGCATGAATTTCAATCCAAGGAACCGACAGTCTTCGGTGCTTATGGCGCGAGCTCTCGATTGTTCTCTTTGATCGAGATATTCTTCAACCTAGGATTGATACTAGGCCCTCTGCTATCTGGGATCTTGGTTGAGACACTTAACTTCTACTACACGTGGGGTTTATTCGGTTAGTATATCACTTTATATTCACCCTTTCGCCGCTATCTCCAACTATGTCTCACGCTCTATCAGGCTCGGTTTGCCTTGTTGTGGCACTTTTCACTTTTTTCTTTTTCGACGATGGTCCCCTTGCTCAGGATTCTGAGTCTACGGCTTGACGACGTAGGATCGACAACGTCCGTCACCCAGTGTAATATCGAGGATCAGGATTTAGGAGTGATTATCTACTTTGCTCGCTGGATTCAAACCCCCCCGAAGGAATTTCCATTTCGTCTGAAACATATCTGTCTCTGATAACGGATCCACACTACATATTTGGAAAGAAATACCCCTAGATTAACTTTAGAACGGTCTGTCAGCCTAAACAGACATCCCAACTCCGCTAGCAGCCACTATCGTACTTGATTTCGATGTTATCGTATAGCAGAATGATCGTGATCATCCCAAGGTTTCAATAATCTAGCTTCTTTCTTTATATGATGTCAGGAAATCAGACCCCCTTCATTTCATGACTGCATACCTGAAGATTGAACATTCCCAATACATTTTTCAGATGTGGGGACTGTCATTTACTTTACGGGCTACTAGCGCCGATCCGTAAAGATTAAAAACACATTCATGACAACAGTAGTGTATTATTGGTCATCAACGTTTCAGATCCTTTTCCATTGATATTTCAAGAATCATCTTCAATATGTCGAACCGAACTCCAAAACATAGGAATATATACGGATCTTGGTTGTAAAGATTTCAATGCTCTGAGACATTTCTCTCTCATGTTGAGCATTAGTTAAAAAGGCCGCGTTTATGTTGGTACGTACATTGGGCAACGAAAGCAGCCGCGAACATGAGCAAGGGCATGGGATCAAAAGGACAGGATTCCAATTCTACAGCTGCCAAATTCCGTACTCGCGTCTATACTCTCATTCCTGGTCTCGCGATGTCGGAATTATCTACAGAATCTTCCAATATGTGCGGCATGTTGCGTGCGGGAATAAGGACTGTCCAAAAACAGAGAAAGAGGCTTGTCGGTAATATACATCCAAGAAAGACCTGGTTCCATTTGTGACCGAGTGAGAGTATAATTCATCTTGATTTCCATCGCTCATTAGCGAGGCCTCGTCAGCTGGAGGAGAATTTCCTACACTTGTTATCTAACATCACTTGTATCTGTTCAAGATACAAAACTTGTGCATTCGTGGATACCACTACTCTTCCCACTCTGGGGAGGAACGCCATCATGGATATGATCGCTATACTCTAAAGATCCTGTACCCCACTGACCCCTGCATGCATATTCAAATTCTGCCCGGTCAAAACTATGTTTCTGAATTTTCAAGAATGTCTCCAATTCACACCATCCATCGCTCCGCGCCTCGCATTTCCGAAAACTGCGATGTAATGGTAGAGTGCGCTGATTGAGTATAAAATGTACATAGTCTGTTCTTGCCGTGCTGCGAATATAGGGATCGGGATCTTCATGGCATCTATCGGTCTTAATTTTATATGGTGCCTCGATAATCTCAATATTGAGCCGTCCGGCAAAAGGCACTACCTGGCTTGTGTGATACCTCTGATTCTTTGGAGGCCCATTGGGAGGGAGGAACTGAGAGAACTGTTTGAATCCGAATGCAGTGAGGACTGACACAATAGTATGGTCATGCGAGAAGTCCAGGTAGAGAGACTGATTGAGGGGGAAAGTAATCGACTGGTCATTAAGAGTAAAATTAGCAGCCGTTGCGCCAGCTGGATAATCCCACTTTCGATGTTCTACTCGAGCAAGGAACTCCTCAACCCAAGTAATACCTTTTGCACGTCCAATAGGGCTTTGAAATCCCGAGTATGCATTCGAGCTGATATCATGGGTATAAGCGAAGCCTTCCCACTCTTTATAGTTAAATAGTTTGCAAAATGAGCTGTACCCGATCGCAACAGTTTCGAAGGCGCAGAGAGTCTGCGCACTGTAAGTATCTTTGACTGTCCAGTGAAACCCTCCTGTTAAGTGGCGGAGGTGTGATGTCCTCTCTGAGAGATATTTGTTTTTCCAATGGGTTAGTGCTTTCCGGGCATACCCCCTGGACCTTTTTGAGTTGGGACACGCGTAGCTAGGTGCTAAAGACGTGTTGTAGCCCGGGCTCTCAATCATAGCCAAGACGTTTGCATAGCTGGTCCATTCTGGTCCAAAGAAGCCAGATAGAAAACTTTCTGCGCTCTTCAGCATTCGGTCTTGCGTAGTGGTGCGGGCTACAATCTTTGTATCTTTGTTGCTGTACAGAGATCCATAGTTGTAATAATTCACTACGCCACTGTCGAACAACTCCTGACGGCCTCGAGCAGTCAATATCGACTGACCCAGAGGAGATGACCAATTATTGAGAAAGTCAAGATCTCCCTCAAATACTACACCTTTCGCAACAGCTTCAGAGATTTTCTTTGCCCATCGGTGTAAACCCTCACCAGATGGGTATCGAGAGCCATGGCGGTGCAAAAGATGCATCTGGGTGATATTTGACCCAACGGGGCACGGGTATTCGTCAACCCCAAAGCTATCCTCGCTTAAATAGTAGGGACTGCCAATAGAGATCAGAACTCGTAACTTATCTCTACCAAAGAGGGACTCCTACCTCCAGGGGCCCATCTTATGAAAGATACTTCGCCCATCAGCCCCCAAAATAGGCTCTGACATCTCTAGGGGATTATTTGGTATGTACCGGTGTTGTCCCTTGAATGGAGCAGGGTTTGTTTGGGCAAGGAAAGCAGAAGTACCAGTGGCAGTAGGGCCTATAGCCCATGTTAGGTACCAATACACAGGATAGGGCTTATATCATGTAGGGTTGTGTACCTTGGTAACTCTGGGGTCTTGTCTTGAACCAGTCAACTCCGGCAATAGTAATAGTCGGCTCTCGATCAGCGATGACATCTTGACTTGGCCCAACAGCTACGGCACATGAGCCCGCAATGAGAAGACCGATAAATAATCGGATATGCATAGTATGTATTCCCATCTCGATGTTGAAACAAGAGTCACTGCCTTGGAAACGGCCAGGCTAATAGGAATGTAATAGTGGGATCAATATGTATTCGTAATGCTCATCTGCTTAACCTAGAGTCGAGAGCGAAGATGATGTAGACGCAGTTCAAGTACATTTTTTTTAGCTCTTTCTCCTCCCTCAAACCATAAAAACGTAAAGTAACTATGCGCATCATAGAAGACGCCGTTCAGGTAGCCATAACAGTACACAGCTTGAAGTACCGCACACCCTAGTACGGTATGGCTATGGAAGCGAATCAGAAACTGCTAATGTAACACTGATGCCAAAGAAGGTAAGACTTGACATCATGTGTACCATGGCGTTTATGGTGTTAATGGGGCTCTATATACCAGTACTTGGAGAGATGCGACTGTCACGATGTGTAAGCTAGACGGGGGTTTGAGTCCTTATGCAGGCCCTCTGGATAGTCCGACTTTTGTCTCACTGCGTATTCTGGTTGCCTAGACAATGTATGTCCTTGTCTCCATGCATCTGCAATAGCAACGGAGTATACAATGACATAAAGGCTCATGAAACACCATCACTGCAACGCAAGTATGTCTAATTGTTTTCTTCTTCAACAGTAACTAATGATGATTCAATGTACTTCTACAGTCTTTCATTATAAACATAATAATTGCCTCTTCACTCGGCTTCCAGTTATGCTAGGAAATCCTTTCGTATCAATATGTCGAATGTCGATATTAACTCACCGGTAAGAATTTGAGATATGATCAAATTGAAGTAGTATGTACTAATAAGATTCAGCCATATTCTGCCAATGATCGTTCACCAGGCGCGGAAGAAGACAGATATGCTCCTGCCGCTTGCGTCTTTGTATTTACAACCCTAGTGTTTGGACCTATAGCTTGTCTGTGTATTGGCTCCGCTAGGCTGTCCGTCATACCTGTTCGTGTGCAGATATGCTAGGATTAAACAGGCAAGAGTGACACAAAGTGTCACCAATGTAGGATGATGTAGTGTGCTACATCCGTATACTAACTGACAATCATTAACCTTTATGACATAGCCTGACTGGCGTTCGACCAGGGTATATGAGATCTCTTGACTTTGACCAAGATGTACCGCAATTGGTCAAGGATTTTCATACATCAACCAAGTTAGGTCGGTTACATTTGGAAGGTTTATTAAGTTACATTGCTTCACTCTACCTCTGAGTGTCGGTTGCTGTCCGACTTACTGGCACGCCTGTGTGGTTACTTTGCTTTATCCGATACCTGGTAGCATTGTTATCCACCGAAATCCCTACTATGAGTGATTTTCATATCATGCTGTAACCCAATGCTCTTGCCTATTCCGGCTGGATGCTTTTTGATGATTCAATTCCGAGAGGTAGAATAGATCGTCGTTGGCGTCAAGCTGCAGCACCCTAGATAACGAGTGGTTAACCTAAACCGCTACATTGCTAATGGCTAACCTTACTGTATACTGTGCACCAAGGAAACCAAAGGATTCATCTGACGGATAGGATACTGTAGAAATACACGCCTAAACAAGCGTACTGTGTGTTAAAGAAAGGAGTTATAAAATTGTGGTGATATCTCTCTTATGCACTCCTGGCATGGTCTGGATTTCACCTGAAGCAATAAAGCCACCTATCCAAACAAAGTGTGTGGTGTAACCATCACATATCTAGTAATTCATTCATCGGTGCAACATGTTCGTTTCTACTCATCTCTACCTGGCAGCCATTCTGATACCCTACTCTTTATGCGATCCTGTGCACGTTCAGTATACTCGTGGATCAACAGATGTAACTCGTGATCGAAGTTGCCATAATATAGAGTATATTTGTCGCTCTCCTCCGTTCCATTAAAAGATGATGTTTTAACCTACATTCTTTAGTCCGGGTCCGAACAACAAAATTATCTTTATTGCTCTTCCCCCTTATACCAAATGTCAGCTGTATCGGTATGTGGCTGAGAATGTTGCTGGGTATGTGACTAGGTCTTCCGCCGGACAGTACTTTACACGCGGCTAACCTTACACAGGCACGAAAAATGTGGGGAGCCATTTATAACAATTAATTCATCCTCGGAGCCGAAAAAATGGCAACCGACAAATTTCTTCCCTAAGGGTGCGAAATGTTTTGATGTGGATTAATTGTTTTTGTACCCTACGCAGAACACCTGCAAAAGCACGGAAAAACAGCTTCATGACTACCATTGCCGTCTATCTGTTTGCAACTCTTGGCTATCCTGTTGTTGGTCTGAACTTATGTTTTAATGATCATTCTCAAATGACGCCTTGAGATCCGATGATGTACTGTCTATTTGATGTTAACCACAAAATGGGAGTGATTTTTATGCCTTGGCATGGGTTGGTCTTTCTTTGGCATTGGGGATCTTCCCAATACTGTAGGGAGAATGTAAAGGCTATGGCATTTTGATCAATGCATTGGAATGGAAGTGTCACATCAAGTGTAAATGGCCTGCGTAGGCTGGGGTCCACCGGTAAATTGTCGTATTTCTCTTATCATTTGTGACAGGGCTGTCATGATAGATTCCTCGAACATCAATTACAGGCCCCAGAGCAGTTGGAATCCGCCGAATGTAACCTCTCTGCCGGCCGCATCCGTTGATACTAATGGTGCCAACAGGTTACACTTTGCATACGTATCAAGGTGTCTCGATAAACGAACACCATAGACAAAAAAATGGGTCGTTATGTTCGAAGAGGACAAGAACAGTAGCATAGAAGCATGTACCGATGCTTGTAGGATAGCTCGTGCACAGACAGAGGTGGAGTATAATCCTGGACATTCGATCGTACTTAGGGCTATTCAGAATAACGCATACCCGACAAGTATAGCTCCTAAGAATACCCGGACTCCGCGAGCTTTTAATTCATAGGAACTAATGATAACAGGTGCAGGGGGCTTGCAGCGCGATTCAAAGTAGACGACTCCCAATAGTTTATCTCAACATATACTAAGCCGAAACCATTTACCTCGTTATATACATTCTGCGTCGAGCATTCCCTGGAATCATACGATTTTCGGGTTGATCTACTGGATATAGATATCCGCAACCAAAAACTAAAGTCTACGTGGCTGAATTCTTTCATTCCGATTAAACTATAAATAAAGTCTTTTGGCTTTGGAATATACCACAGCCGAACCTTCATCATCCAATTGACATTAGAAATAGTTTAGCCAACGAACTAAAAGTATACGTACTACTAACCAGATGCAATCAAACTCAAATAAGAGGGTGAAACTCGAGTTCACATTTTAGGCCCCAGGGAACAGCATCATGCGTACTTGACTGTCGCATGGATTCTGCCAAACATGACGGCGCTGGAATGGTTCGATATTGTAGGAAAATCCCTGCAATGAGAAGCTTGATCTCCAGTGTAGCCAAGGGTTTCCCAAGACAAATACGAGCTCCGTATCCGAATGGGATAATATGACGTTCAAGTGCCTCACGCTGAACAGGATCACTGTTGAGCCACCGTTGTGGCAGAAAGGACTCGGGTGATGGGAAGATTTCTTTGTCTCGATGCATCGCCGTTAGGGATGTTGTGACTATTGTCTACAGTGAAGGTCATTCGTTGTGAGCCTTCCGAAAACAAGGGGTCCGTATCATAGTTCCAAACTTACATCTGCTGGAACAAAAGTTCCGGATAAGAATTTCCCTTCATCTGGCACAACGCGTTCTGCCCTTCCACTAGAGGCTGGGTATAAGCGATAAGTCTCATTCAAGCAGGCTTCCAGTATCGGTGCTTCGTTCAATTGCGTGAAGGATGGAAGCCCATCAGACTGAGGCGGCAGCTTGAGTAATTCCTTTCGGATCTCTTCCTGCCATTTCACTTCCTGGCTTAGATGATAAAAGAAATAGGCTACTGTCACAGAGACAGTGGCCTCTGCCGCATTAATATTGTCAAGGATTTCTGCGGCTATATAATTCTGCCTACCCCCGCCTGTGGACTTTGAACCATCTGTCAAGGCCATCAGGCGCTGGAAAAGGGAGCAAGGGTCTTGAGAATCAGAGTATTGAGCGGCATCAGAAACACGGTTATAGGCCCATTCAGCCAGATGTGTATCCGACTTTAGGTAGGTAAACATTGGCATCCAGTATCTCAGACAGGAAGAGAGGAGTTCGAAGGCTTTTGGGAATCGTAAACGGAAGGGCCCCCATAGCTGAAGGGTTTTGAGATCGCGAAGGATGCGCCGTTCTGTGCAGTCTCGTTCTATTGTTTGTGTCCCGTGGGCCTTCCCTAGGGTCAAGTATGTGATGATATCAAAGCCGTACCAGTCACTCAGAGCATATATATCACAGTATTTGCCCGAATGCCGCTGCTGCCGTAGTTGCTGTAGCACTTTCTGCACACAACGGCGAGTATACCCCTCAATATCAGGGCGTTTGTAGATCATTGAGGCTTGATAGAAGCCGGACGTAAGCTTCCGCTTCTCTCGATGTTCCTTATAGCAGAGCGTTGCGAAGATAGACTGTTCGTTGTACGCTGTAAAGTGGTGAAAATAGTTACTCTTGGCGCAGCGACCGGAAGAACCATAAATTTCTCGGGTTGCGGAAAGTGTAGCCGCTGAAACTTCTCCGGGTGATATACAAATCACCGGCCCGTATTGGCGATGCCATTGCATGATTTTGTCATTTCGTTGAAGTCGCACATCGTAGTACGTTAGGTAGATGCTTGAAATCTTGTTGATCCATGGACCGGGAATGTGACTGAGAGGACCGAAATAGAGCGGCTGTATCACAAGCCAAGCAATGACAAAGATGGATAGAATGACAGACAGTGTGACAGGGGAATAGAAGAGATTCTGGCTGAGGAAATCGACAATCATGGTTGGCAACCTCAGGCCTTATGCATTCTAGACAATGTTTTCAACCAAAATATGTAGTGCAACCCAGATTGGTGAAGAAGCTTAGCATTCGTGAGCCGTCTTAGTACCAATATATGGAAAGAAGACTTGTCGAATGGGCTCACCACTCCTGCTTCCGTTGCAGTGATCAAAATCCGCAACCGGGGGATAGATCTCTATCCACCTTGCCCATCTTAGTGTAGGTAGGCTCGGAGAAATCACCTGCGTCATGGACTACTTCCAGATGCAGAACTACTGCCCTACAAGACTGGAAGATGGATCGTAATCTTCAATGGCTCGGAAACAGGGTGGCCTCTAAAAATTGGCGATGCCAACCTAGACCCAGATCCATGACATGGCACAGCATGGGGCTCATTGCAGTACCAGGCTGTTAGACCGTTGTGTACACAGTTGCCTCTTCTTTGAAACTAGCACCAACGACTGGCTCTGGTTGATGACGATATGTCCAGATTAGCGTAACGACCCCATCAATTCAATATGAGTTATAGTAGGATTAACCATTGTCAATATCGTCACCACCACGTTAACTCCTTGCCAGAGCAAGCACGCAGGATGCCATACCCATGAGTCGATCGGCTTTGTGGCCACTAATCCGGACAGCGACAGTGGTATTCACTGTCCTAATGCACATCTCGGCCCTTCCAGCCATGAGAAGGTCACATCACATTCCATTCCTTCTACGCTTTTGCTGTTCCTCAGGATGCCAGGGTCTCTATGTAACAGTATCGCAGCCTGTACCACGTCCTGGTATGAGTAGCTTTTCCGGAATGTACATTCCCGCCATATATGATAGGCTTCCAACTACACCATGGGACACACTCCCTCCCATGGCTTCCCGCTGGCTGCATTCAGACAAGTCTCTTCGAATCGTCGAGCTATCAATGGTGACATGTAAGTCAAGAACAGATACGTCGAGTCGAAATGCTTCTGTAGTATCTGTAATATAATGGGAGAGTACAGCCAACAGTACCCACCAGAACTACCTACATCCAACACCAGGATGAGATCATTGGCCATCGCGCCATACTTGGAGATGGACGCTTCTGTTGCCGGCCATTCCGCCTGGCCCGCTGCGTAAATGGCACTATGTAGCGCTATACCTACTTGAGACGAGCTATTCAGGACCCACCTCGAAATTGCGGGTAGGTCCGTGATTTACTTTTCCCCACCCATGTCATCCCTATCCATGCTTTGGTATGTTCCGTGGAGCCGTATTGAAAAAACAAAAGACAAACTTCGGTATGTAAATAATGTAATTCTGCTACATACATTAAACTATACTGTTATACGGAATTGTTTTCCGAAGGACACCCATCACACCTAGTCTAGTTGGGAAGTTCCTGGTGAGCATATTTTCTCACAGCAGCATCCATACTCTCCACCACATGTTGTATGTTGCGTGTATTCACTAAGTGCAGTAGGTTAGAGTAAGGAATGACCGAACGATGAAAAGGGAGCTTACGCCCGGCGACCGAGATACGCCCCGATTTTAACATGTAAACATGGCCATCGGCCCGGATAGCAGCAACTTCCTCTGGGCTCAAGCCCGTGAAAGAGAACATGCCAATCTAGACACCATTAATTGCTGATCTGTCTGGCATTCAAGTGGGCACCAAACCTGCGAAACAATACAGTCCCACTTTCCGGGGGTGTTCAGGGAAAGCAAACCCTCATGTAGTGATTTTCGCATGCTCTTTATTCTAGAGCTCATTTCCTGGAGATCAATGAGCCAATCTTTGAACAGCTCTGGCCGGGTGAGTATGGCAGTAGCAATCTTAGCCCCTCTCGTAGGCGGCTGAGAGATCTGTCCTCGCTGCAGCCGAGCGAGATGCCCCTGGACTTTTACCGCCGTTGCTGGTGAAGCAGTGGCTAAATGGAAAGCCCCAACCCGCTCCCCATACAAGCCCATGTTCTTGGAGAATGACTGTGCCACCGCCAACTCCAGGGTGCCTCTTTCCATGAAGTGGCGTAAAGCCCATGCGTCGTCGTCGAGGTCCCCCGTTGCGAATCCTTGGCTATTCCATCCGAGATTGTTAGCAACGAAATTGCGCACACGTTGCTCCATCAAAGGTACTTACTATGCACAGTCGAAAAATGGAAACAAAGCATGTTCCTCGCAAATATCCGCAATTATCTTCCACTGCTCTTTGGTTGGATCCACTCCTGTTGGGTTATGAGCGCAGGCATGGAGCACAATCACATCGCCTGGCCTGGTTTGTGTCTCCAATACGTGGCAGGTCTCCTCAAAAGCTAGCGTTCGTTCTCTCGCGTTCCAGTAAGGATACGTCTTCACTTCCACGCCTACCTGGTTCCAGATGTTGATATGGTTAACCCAGGTAGGGTCAGAGACCCATACAGCAGATGGCTTCAGTGCTTGTGAAAGAAATCGGGCACCAAGATAATTCGCACCTGTGCCCGAGATGGTGTGGACAGAAACAGTTCGGTCTTTCTTGACCGTGGGCCCGAATAAGAGATCTCGGGCGGCGGCATAGAATGGAGCGTATCCAGGTATAGGTAGATACTCGTAGCGAGCATTAGTCTCTTCTTCAGTGACTATTACTTCAGCCTAACACTCTGTTAGATACTCGTGTGCACCAGATAGCGCTCAGGATGTAGGGAATGCTCGCTTTTTTAACCGCCGGTAGAACCCAGGGACGTCCATTATCATCCCTATAGACTCCAGATCCCAATAGGACTTTGTCTGGATTCTTGTCTTTGTCAAAAAGCTCTTTGAGAGCAAAGTGTGGATCGAGAGGGACATTATCAAGGTGGGAAAAAAGCGACGAAGAGCTGTTGTCCATATCGGCTGGGAGAGTAACACGCATGATGAGAGCCTCCTCTATAGTGCTTGCAGAAATTACGGAATCCTCGTTAAAAGGTAATAATTATACGAATTGAGGAGCTCAGGAAGACCGCAAGTATCGCAGTATTTATTAAAACACCATATGCGCAATAAGGTTAACAACAAACTTCCCTGCAGTCCTTTCTTGCGGGCTTTGAAAAGGAGCCCAGCAATACGCGGGCAAGTGTAGGCGAATCATCCACGGTCGAGATATTCTGACCCAGTCTGACAGCGTTGCAATTGAAGTAGTGTTAACAGTAGTATCTGTACCCACATCACATATACAGTCACAGTTACTATGCCGCAGGTGGACAATTGCAAAACTTACATCATGCAGATTTACAACAACGAGAGTAGTCGATAGTATGGAAGACCACTTCTTGAGGGTGGGCCCCCCACATTCAATATGGTAATGTTTTAGCCCTCATTACAAGCCGTACCACACCCCAACTACAACCTAAAGTAGGAGGGTGTTTAAGGTGGTAAGTAAATGCTAGATATGACTCATTGACTATGTCTTTATGGTAGGTCCGTAGCTGAACATGGTGTGCCCTGGGGTGACATGTAGATAGTTGATACCATCGGTGTAAATGCAACCTTCTGTGTGAGCAGCTTGCCACTGTTTCTTACCTGCTGAGCTTGAGGCCTAGGCGCCTCAGACTAGAGGACTTTGTGTGAGTAGGCAAATATTTGCTTTAATTTAAGCGTTAGGTGGTGCACGTCTCTAGCGTGGTTTCTGCGTAAAGGATGTGCACATCCCACTACCCTCATATTCATTTAAAATTATTCAGCACTATAACCTATTTATCCCGAAATAATATAAGACATGTCTGTCTCAATCGCTTCCATGATCAAGCAGCCCAAAGGAGTTATCCGCCTTTTAGAAGCCCATGACCAAGTTTCTGCAGACATAATCCGCCGCAGGGTCAGATATGATGACCAAAGCTTCCAAGGCATATGGTGGAGCGGCCTGTCTCAAACAACCCATCTCGGTATCCCGGATACAGAATTGGTGTCTCCCCTCAAACGCGCGACAATGCTGCCGCCATGCCCAGAGACTGAGAGATATCCATATCCAGGGTGTGCCGCATTCGACGCTGATAGTGGTGGCAATTTGTCTGACATTCCCGCTCTGGTAGCCGTCCTGGAAACGAAGGGGGTTTCAATGATCATTATTGAAGATAAGGCTCTGCCTGAGCCCGGCAAAAAGTTGAATTCCCTTCTGGGAACGTGTGCTGCACAAGCTCAAGCAGACATGAATGAATTCGTTAAGGTCATACAGACATTTAAATCCGCCTCCCAGCACAGGGAGATTATGATCACAGCTCGGATTGAAAGTCTTACTGGGCGTGTTCCCAAAATGGAGGAATCTGAAGAGAATGCCTCTGTTGAAAACGCTCTTAGAGATGCTCACTTGCGCGCCGAAGTTTATGTAAAGGCAGGGGCAGATGCTATTATGATACATAGCAAAAGCCGGCATCCAGACGAAGTGTTGTCGTTTCTGAAAACCTTTCGTGCGAAAGACCTCAGAACTCCATTAGTAGTGGTGCCCACTACATACTCAACCATTCCACGCGCAGCCTTATGTCGTGCCGGTGCAAACGTTATCATTTACGCGAACCACTTAATACGAGCGAAAATAGAGGCTGTTGCTACAGCTTCGGACAGGCTGCTGGCAAGCAAACCCGGTCTGTTTTCAAACGACACAGATATCAAAGCTTGCATTGAGGCACGGAATTTTGCTTGTGCATTACGGATTCTGTCGGAGAGAACTTACTCGGGTGGGAATGAGGATCAGGAGGCGAAGAGTTACTCTGCAGTAGCTGAGCATTCTGCCATTGAGAACATGACTGCTGTTGTCGAAGAGCTTGCCGCTGGTAGGTTGAGCGGTTGTGAAGCTGATCACCGCATCATATCGGTCAAGCAATTGTTGAAAATAAATTCTGAACAGGTTTCTGTGGTGGATTGAATAGCCTCTGTTTCATTATCCTACAATGCCATCTCCTGTGGCTGTTCTTGCTCTACACAAATTGATATGTATGCAGTAATCAGGTGCTATGGAAATCAATTTAATGGTACGCTTAGCAAGGTTTTTGCACTGGGAGCTTCGGTAGAGGAACCCTGTCTTTCCTTAGCTTAGTATAGTATGTTGGTTGCCATAAAGCGAGGTTGTACTATGATTCTAATAACATGGTTCAGTATAGGTCTTACAATAGTCCTACCGCAACATGCTGGTCGCTGTTAGTGCTCTGTGCATTCCATCTATGTACTAGGTATGGTCGATGAAGTGAAACTGGTATTGACATTGTAGTGCCTAGCTATATAGAGATTGTTCGTCCTTGATCGATTAGTATTCGAATCTATATTACAATGTTGGGAGCTGATTCATAATGCGAAAGAGGACTTGCTCATCAATGACGCTTACAGTTTGGTTCACGTTCAGGTAGTCATGACGCTATGGGTTTGACCTTCTTCTAACTTTACCTTGGCTATCACTGCTAAGTGGTTAATCATTAATAATGATGTAGGGTGCGATAGGAATGGGCTGGAAGTCAATAGTTTCTTTCTCAGCTTACTAGGTTATAGTTACATTTCTCAACGTAAGAATGAAAGCTTGTTGAAAGATGACGTTATAGACGTGGAAAATACAGCTGCATATCGTCAGAGAGTCTTGATTATCATTAGAGTACTTTAGTGTGGGGAAGTTTACTATAGAAGTATTGCTATGTGTGCTTAAGGCTTTAGCAGAGCGAAATCTTTCTACCCGAGGGAACCTTCTAGTGCGATAGAATCCTCCCTCTGCCAATTTTGCCCATATCAAAAGTCATCAAAAAGTTGATAAAATACTATGAACGACCATGATGACCAGTCATTGCGACCTCCATTTTCACAGCTTATTATCATATACCTATGCCTCTGTGCTTGTTACTTCACCTCTCACCTCGACATGAACTCAGCTACAACCGCTCTTCCCACAATTTCCGCCTTTCTACACGCCGGTTCGACGATTACATGGACTGGTACAGCGTATTTGCTTGGGCAAACGTCAGTTCAACCATTATATGGTAGAATCTCTGATATATACGGGCGTAAGCCAATTATAATGACTTCAATGTTATGTATCGTGGCTGGTGGTCTTCTTTGTGGATATGCTCAAACACCAGCTTGGCTCTATGTATCAAGAGTGTTAAGCGGCATTGGTGGAGGAGGAGTTAGCTCCCTTGTGCCGATCATAATAAGTGATTTGGTCAGTTTGAAAGAGCGAGGAAAGTATCAGGGTATGATTAGTATGGCGATCGGGACTGGTGCGATGTCAGGGCCATTTGTTGCGTCTGGCCTGCTGCAAACCGGAGCAGAAGGCTGGAGATGGGTGTTCTTCGTCCCATCAGCCATAGCAGCGATGTGCTCTGTACTACTTCTAATACTCCTTCCAGTTAAGCCTCTCGCTGGGAACTGGAAGGAAAAGCTGAGAAAGATTGACTGGTTGGGGATCGGAGCATCAATAGCTGGCATTGTCTTTCTATTGGTAGGTACTGTGTGATTCATCTCTCACCACTATGTCTTTGTATGTTTACTCTCTGATCTACGCTACTAATTTGCTATTCTAGGTCCCCATCAGCTCTGGTGGCAGCATTTGGCCATGGAATAGCGCTCCATCTGTTTGCATGCTAGTGGCGGGGGGTGTATGTCTAAGCGCTTTCGTTTATATTGAGGGTAATGTTGCCAAGTTGCCTATCACACCCATTCATCTCTTTCGGCAATATTCTGCTATACTTCTTGTACAGGGCATACTGCACGACTTTGTGTGGCAAACCACATTATATTTCCTTCCATTATATTTTCAGGACGTTCGAGGCTACAGCCCATTACAGAGTGCTTACCTGATTCTACCATTCCTACTTGGCCAGAGTCTTGCCGGTGCCTTTTCTGGCCCATTAATGTCTATATATTGCAGGTAAGTAGATACAGCATACCACTTATTTTACTTTCTATTGGCGATCATACTTAATCTAACTGTACATCATGATATGCGTTAAGATATAACCCTATTCTGCGCTCTGGGTTACTTCTTTGGACGATTGGCACGGGTCTTAATCTAATCTTCTCAACGACAACGCCAATGATCACATACATTATTGTATTGGCTATCCAAGGTGTTGGGGTTGGCTTTGTCCACCAGCCAGGTGATTACGACCTAGTCCATACCTTGACCACTGAATCAATGGAAGATATAACTAAATCACATTAGGTCTTGTGGCCCTCCAAGCCCTCTCCAAAAAAGAGGATCGCGCCGTCGCAACCTCAACGAGAAACCTACTCCGCGCTTTAGGAGGAGCCGCAGGGGTGGCTATCTCTACTGCGACACAACACTCCACTGTTAAAACAGCGCTGCGGCATATTGGGGTTTTGCAGGCCGGTCAAGTGGGCTTGCGTACATTTGAAAAGGACATCCTAGACGCTCAAATGAAAGGCTTTAGGGTTGTTTTCGCTCCACTAGTTCCCTTGATGGCCCTGTGTTTACTCGGGAGCTTATTGATTCCGGATACGTGTTTGAAGGAAGATGGGAAGGAAACCCGGGAAAGTGAAGAGGGTATAGCTCAGTCGATAGGGCCAAGGCCGTAAACACATAGAGCATTGGATTCGCTCAGCACAGTGATCGATGCTGCAAGTCTACCTGCTATTTCGCTACATAGTTCACCTCTTCTGTTATCCTAGACTTCTTGTTCCCGCATCTGCCTTTCACCTTGACTAGTAATCTAATCTGCTACCATCCAGGCTTAGCAACTTATTTTCTCTTGTCAGATGTTAAATCCCATCACACTTTAGCTGTTTCTCTCTCATCCACCTTTCAGAAGATGTTTATCTCCAACAATGTTGCCGATAATTGGTCCACCTGTAAACATGCCTATCACAAAACTCTTCTTGTCCCGGGTCTCGTCCCATATTGCCCGAGCTTACTGGCCTGGCGACTCCGGCTAATCCGAGATTCGCTAATAGTATACAGCTCACGACTACGTCACCCCCATTGAGAGTAATAGATGTCATGTATTTTATGGTTCTGGGTTTTCAACGAGTCGGGGGAAAGTACTTTATGCGGCAGCGAGATCATTACCATCAATCATAGCGTACTGGAGCTGGGTTGGTAAACTCTAAGTCTAGTCCTTGCGGAACATGTTCTAGACCTGACGTGAAGTTGTGGTTACTAGATCATCAACTAAGTTTGGGCTGTGGAGCTGCGAGATATATGACATGCATACCGTCATTAATTAGGAAATAGGCCATGCGACGTGAGATGAGCTACATCCTGCAGATCCGACCCGGCCATGTAGGTATGAGTGAAAACTTAAAGGTTATTGGATATCCATGTGGGTAGAATGTATGGAAAAGACAAAGCTGTATTAGCCAAACATCCACTCAAAAGGAAAATTCACATGAGACTAGCTAATATTCATCTCACGTTGCAAGACATAATCATCGATATGAGCCAGAACCGCGGATATCGACTATATTGCCGGATCAGGAAGTAGGCTCTAATCTACTTTCTGGAATATTTAAGAAGAACTTGCCCCTTCCACCTCCCACAGCCCGTTCATCAGATATAATGCATTCAGAATTGGTATCTTCGAGAATAGCAGGAAGGCTCTTTGAATTGTGTCATGAAGCCAACAAACAACCAACACACAACACGGATTGCGGTTGTGGGCGTCGGCAACGTGGGCACCAGTGCTGCGTACGCTCTGACACTTGGCGGCATCGCAGAGGATCTACTTCTTGTCGATATCAGAGCCAGTGTGAGGGACAGTCTTGTTCGCGATCTCTCTGATGTGGCACATGGCATTAAAAGCCGCACACGCGTACGAGCGGCCACTTACCAGGAGGTAGGCCAATGCGACATTGTGGTACTTACTCCTGGCTCAGAGCGTTCACCAGGTGGGTAAACTGTTTAGACAAAAATGCCAGTTGGTAGTCACTGTGTGAGCACGCTCAGGCTTACATGAACTTTTTTTTCTTTCAGGAGAGACCCGCGTCCAGCATATGTATAAGCAGGTTGCAATCGTGCAGAGCATAGTAAATCAAACAAGGCCATTCAGATCTGACACAGTTTTGGTCGTCGCTACGAGCCCTGTTGATTTGCTATGCTCAATTGCTCAGGAGCTTTCCGGGCTTCCAACGTGTCAAGTGTTAGGCTCTGGTACCTTCTTTGATTCATTACAGTTATGCAGGTTGTTGGCAGAAAAGGCTAGGGTCTGTCACGCTAATTCCTCTTGTAATCGATTGGAGTATCGTGGGTTAACCAAGCCTAGGTCGCCGCTCAATCAGTTGATGTCAATGTACTGGGTGTTCGTGGGGAATCGCAAGTAGTAGCATGGTCATGTGGGAAAATCGGCGGCCTTCCATTAGCGAGCCATTTTCCAGATGACACCAAAGATCATGATCAGGTTTGGGGCGAGTGCAAGTACAGACCGCCAACCATAATTCGAACCAAAGGCATAACATCCTTCGGGTTTGGGTCTACAGTGTCCAACATTTGCTCGATAATCCTGTTTAACAAGCGCGAGGTATGTTCCATCAGCCATTATCAGCCAGAATTTGGCTGCTGTATCAGCTGGCCCGTCATTCTTGGCAGGAGTGGGGTCATAAAGAAGGTGGACATGCCATTAAATGGGGAAGAAGAGGCCAGTATATCCAAGTCCATAAAGGCCTCCGGGAACAGATTGCACGGGTGAAAGAGGACCTATAAACTGGATCCTTTATATGCCAGTACCCCTAATGTGCCTCTATATATCCGTCGTGGCGGATAGTTAGTCTAGTTCTATTAGTAAAAAATTACAAAAATATATGTCTATCATGACAAGAAGTAATAAATACTAAATACAGGCGGTTGTTGCTTTGGTCTCTTATAAAATATAAGTTTCAATTCTTTGAACACATAGCTCTAAACCTTTACTAAGTAACAAATGACTAGCCTACTACTAATGCTCCTTCTCTATATGAAATTCAACTTTAAGAGTAGGTGGTGTTGAAGCTGGCGTCAGTAAATGAACTGGGTCTGGGTGCTTCTCGTCTACTTTCAAGACCTTTTTCATTTGCTGGTGCCCGATATCATCAATGTCATGGATCGATTTCCTCTTCACGGAGACACAGTTACCACGTGGCTCTTTAATTAAATGTGTATCAAAAAAGTGACGGCGCGACGCGAAGGGCCTTTATGGAGCTTATTTAAATAACAGAGATATAGATATTCAATTAGGTCGCCTTTTCTTTTCCTAGATAGATGTTAGCTGTTAGTATAGTTAATTAGAGTGGACTTTACACGCTATTGTTAGAACCGCTCTTCAGGCTTTTTAGACTTATCGTTTAAATAGAACGGACAGAATCTAGGAGTTATTATTATATATTAGAATATTATTGGTCTATAATATAGTTTTAGTTAATCTAAGTGGAAGTGATAGTATTCATACCAATCTTTCTTTGTACAAAACCACTGGGCACATAAATAACACCATTCGAGAAAAGATCGAGGAGCTTTCCGGTATACCCTCTTTTGAGAGAACAAATGCTTCCTGGAATCTATAGCGCTCGTGGACATAATCATGACCATCTTCTTCAAAGAGATGTCTAAGAAGTAGATCAAGATCCCTAGCGGTCACCAAGAATTTCTCTCGGTGTTTTGTCTCCAATCCATATTTTTGTCTCAGTTCGGAGCCATTTGAAGGATGTAGGGGAGCACAGACATTATAGACATCGTCCTTGACATTATTCGGCAATTTTCGACAGGTGTTTTTCTCCCATTCGCCAATAAAGCAGGAAAGGTTATGGCACACTGAATGCTGCGATGGGAGGTTTCCTTTGCGTTGAGCAATGTAACTCTCTGAGAAAAGCTTTAAAATCTGGTTAGGAGGGTCAGGATCCTCCTTTATAAAGTATCTGTCTTCGGGTTCATTTCAGGACAATATCCACTTATGATGATTAGTTATCTATGCAAGGAACGGAGGTTAAATATATATTTATATTTTCTACCTTTCGATGGCTAGATTATATCTTTGATCAGTAGCTGGAGCCCATTGCTTATAGCAAACCCTATTTTCTTTATTCCTCTGCTCTTGTTGGCACTTTTCAGTGAAACCGCGTACCTCGCCGAGCTTGCGAAGCTTCTCTATCTTTCGTTGTATTTGCTCTTCTTTAGATATATCCGACATGTCACGTAGTATCGGTAGATGTAGATGATAATACCAGGGCAAAGTTAGGAAAAGATTGGAGGAGAGAATACAATCTTTAACGAAGCGTAAAATATACCCTCCCTATTTATTTTATATGATAGAGACACTAGGATAGCTCAATGTGCGATTGAGCCTGTACTAAGCTATCTAGCTCACCCGGCTTACCCATATTCTGAATAGGATCACCCAGCTCACCCGCACTCACCCTATAACTTAGTGTCGCTCACCCGTAAAGCAGCGAGCCCCAGAGGGCGCCACTGTCCTTTGGCCGAGCTTACACAGTTGGCTTAAGTACGGCTGAGCGGACGGGAAGCCCTGCTTGTCGGCAACTTGAAGATCAGCTTAACGGCACACAGACAACTGGGCCTATTGAAACGCATGAAAGTGAATAGCCTGATGATAGATCTAGCCGCTAATGCCTTTAATTTGTAAAGACGAGCCATCTTTACCAGTTAACTGTCACAGATCATGATTGCTGTTTTCTCGCCGGCCACCTGACCCAGCTGCTTCTTAGGAGTCGATTCTGCCAGCAGGAATTGGAAGAGCACAGTGACAGTTGGTATCTTTTGCAGAGTGTTGTCACAAAGGCCGAAGGGGTATTCCTTTTGACTATATTAGTTCTACATATACCTTTGTTTGCTGGGTATTGGAACATATAGAGGCTTTAATACGTATAGGTAGCTTCTTATTTCTCCTCTTAAGATGAGTGCTTTTGCTAATCTATCTACTAGACTGTTTTCAATGACGAATTATCCTACCATTTTTCAGTACTTAAGAAGAAAAGAAAATCAACAGAGAGAATTTAGTTATCTGAAATGCCTAAGAACAGTAGATAAGGACTACTAGCATACTAGTCCTTCAGACTGGCTTCTCACCACTCAATGAGCTGTCCATCGAAATTGAGAAACTGCCCAGAATAATTCTCCCGAGTCGCATTATCCACCTTGGCAACAACAGTTAGCCGAGTGCTGACGACTGCGACATAGCATCGATAAAAAGGTAGACCGCTGGGAACATGCTTACCAGCCCGATAATGCTCTTAATGTTCGTGTGGATGTCCGAAAAGGGCGGGTTCTCAAAGTCGAAAAATGCGGCAGTCTTGCGTCCCATGTCGGTCTCAAAGAACCTATGCAAGACAAACACACCCAATTAGTTATCAGCAGGCTCATAGTAACGGCCTTCATCTGCCTAATTGGGGCAGGTACGTACCCAGGAGCAACGGCAAAGGCGATAATCTTAGGACTTTCAACGTGGATGGTCTTGGTGAAGTGGTTCAACGCCGCCTTGGACCCGTTGTACGGGAACCCCGGGAACATGGGGTACTTGTGCAGGTCGTGGAGCGACGCGAGACCGGAGCTTATGGCTAACCACCTGGGCGTCTCGGCCCTGTCGAGAAGCGGCTTCAGCGCCAGGAAGAGCACGGCCGGGCCAACGGCATTGACCAGGTAGACCTCTGCGAGGCCCTTGGGGTCGATGGTCTCAATACGCCCTTGCTGGCCAGCGATGCCGGCGTTGGCGATGACGATATCGAGCTTGGTGATACCCTGTGCCTCGAGCTCCTTGACAGCGTCCACGGCGTCAGTAGTCGAGGTGTACTCAACCTTGACCAGTACGACCTTGCTGCCCTCAGCCGCGGGCAGCGCTCGCAGCTCCTCAGCGGCAGCGCTCTTGACGTCGCGGACCGTACCGATGACAGTGTAGTTTGGCCGGGCGAGATACTGTTCGACGAAAGCCTTTCCGAGTCCTGCAAAAGTAATGTCAGGGTGAAAAGCCCGGCGTCTCAGGAATAACCCTAGTAGTATAACACATACCTCGCTGGCACCGGAGATGAGGACGTTGGTGGTGGAAGCCATGGCAGAAGCGATGTCGAGGATAAGAGATGGGGAATGTGTGTCGGTAGCAATTTTAAAGAATCTGGTGGCTTAGCGACTGATTCCTGAGTATGTAGTAGAGAGGCACGTTTGTTCGCATGAAGTTTGCTGTGATTGCTTGATATAGGAGAAGAAGATTCGCCAACAACACATGCTAGCCTTATATACTTGTAGTGCTTCTATGTTCGTCTTGATTTCTAATGTGCCTGATTTCCCTTGTGGTTGTCAAGGAGCCAGGTATGGGCCATTATGCATGAAAAGCGGCACCCAATTACGGTGGACAGTATCGCTCATTAATTACATGCTTTTTTGAACGAAAGGATTATCGCTGAGGGTGGCACGTCCATTAGACTTCGTAAGTTAGACCACCCATCCTTCGGCCACCTTCCAAGATGTCGCAGTGCCACGAAAAAAAGCACACAATTTGACCCAAAACCAAGGGATTTACTCCAACAAACCATGCTTCATCTTTTCAATCTCGCTGGCTTTCGCTTTCTTCACCTCATTCACTGTCTCACCGAACCCTCAAACGAATCAAGTTTCAGTGATCTCACGAAACACAAGCTCGGCGTTACCGAAGAAGACGTGATAAATCAGTGGGGCGCAGTCTCACACAGCTCGATCACGCCGTATGTAGGGTCGTAGTAGGCTGTGCAGGACTAGCTCCAATATTCATCTATTGAGTCGAGAGAGGCTGCTTACATGTAAGTATGGGTGTAAAGCCTATATGAGCGCTGCATCTTACCTATTTCGCCACGGACCCACCTGTGATGAGTGACAACCATAATACAGCCTACAGCAATCCCGACAGAGAACAATCTGATTGTTTCTCTTTTATACGCTAGATCATGATCATGACTCGTATGCAGCCTCCGTGCATGGAACCTTGTAAGAATTCCCTCTGATGCCTGCATATACGAGGAGATAGAGCGGGGGGTACTGATTGTGAGGATATTGGAGTTCAAAGACCAAGAGGTATTTAACACTTATTCCCCGCGTGTCCAGATTCTTCTCCTGCCTGTGAAATAACATATGTTATGCCCTTGACCTTTACCGCATATGAATTGGCTTGAAACCTGACATTGTCGTCTATCTACCTTATTTTGGACCACCTTTTTCCGTTGCTTACAAACATTTCCATAGGTGAACAAGATGCCTGCGGAACGTCGCTGGGATCAACGGGAGTACCGTATCGTCGAGTCTGCCTCTCACAATAATAATGCCCGTACTGTTATTATTGAAACGACCACCCCCGGCACCTCTGTTCCTCCTCATTACCACAGCCGCTTCTCGGAGACGTTCGAGCTCATCAATGGCTCCGTATCCGTCCATACTGGACCAGCTGACACCTCTGAACTTGCCTTCAAGTCGACTCTCACGCCACTGGAGCCAGGAAAGCCTATCACCGTACCACTAGGCTGGTACCATCAGTTCGTAGTAGAGAATGAGACCAGTACGTTCAAATGTACCCTAGAGCCAGGAGATATTGGGTTTGAGAATATGTTGAAGGTACTTGATGGGTTAAAGAGAGATGGGGAGTTGGACAAGCTTGAGGAGGATGATGTTTTTCTAGCGGTGTTAATGGACTTGACGGACGCGCACCCCCTCTGGAAGGCTGGTGAGATATTGAGTAATGTGAGGAAGGAGAGGTCGGAGGCAATTGAGCAGATGAAGGAAGACTTACTGCAGAAGTATGATACTCCTGAGGCTTTAGCACGTTTGATGGCGGATTGATCTGGTTGTCATCAAAGTATATCAGCAGGAGGCTCCAATACAGACCTGATACAGGGGGATGGTGCGGCAGCCCTGCGAGGCTGGTATATCAGTTAATGGGTTTCTTTTCTTATTTTCTGTTTTATAATTCTTGTTTAGAACAATTACTGTTCGAGGATAAGCAGCCAAAAGTAACACTCACGTGAGAGCCTGCGCTGTGCCGCTTGACATTGGAAAGGTTAAACGTGCTTGTAGGAATCCACTCACACACATTCATGCCATGGAATTTAAATCGCACTGCAGTACAGTACTCCCGTTGGATATGTACTGACGAATATGGCTGGTTGTTAGCTTCGTTATCATTGGCGACGTGGCAAAGAATTGGATTAGTTCAGCCATATCGGGTGCTCTCAGGCATGGCTGACGTTGCATAGTAGAGCGGGATATAGTTCAGTCGATTATCTTAATTAACGTCGGACATGAGGACTTTGAGCCAGCAGAGAAATGTACTATCCCACTAAAGGTTCGATGTTGCGACCACAGGCTTGGCGACATGCAATACTCTCAACACACCGTCTTGACTGGGTCTGCATCGTAGCAACTCCGGAATTCCGCCGCGAGAATAGAACACATTGAAACTCATATATTCACTAGATAGAAGTTTTCTTGGGTAAAAACCTGTCATAAGGATGCCTTCGCCGTTACTAGTCCTTCTGGTATCAAAGTATTTCATCCCGTAATATGCAAAGTATGCGTGATCGTCATTTATCTATAAAGCTGACTCCCCGTTCATTGTTTGCCTGCCCTGATCAACATCTTCAGCTCTTTCCCTTACTTTTCAACTTTCCATTTGGTATCAAATAGCAAGAAGATGTTGCTGCATCTGCTCCTTGGGTTATCCGTCGCCGTTGGGCTGTCGGCGGCGGAAAGGGGCCTGCCTTTTGAATTCCCATTCTCTCAGACTCCAACAAGATTCAATATCCGCGTGGATTCGGAACTTGTGGATTTCGCCAAAAGCCGGGCTGCATCTTATCGCCCCTCTTACGGTATATCCGATGAATGGACCAAAGAAGGCCCCCCAGCTGCATCCATGGCGGAGCTATCAACATTCTGGGCCGAACACTATCGCTGGTCAGAAGTAGAAGACCGTATGAACAAGCGTGATCACTTCTCGGTTGTGATTCCTGGGGCAGCAGGTTATACTGGCGATATCCCTATTCATTTTGTGCACCACCGTTCTATGAATGATAGTGCCATCCCTCTTCTTCTTCTCCACGGCTGGTCATCGACTCATCTGGAATGGGACAAGATCATTGATCCTCTCGCTCAATCTTTCCACCTCATCACCCCTGACCTCCCCGGTTATGGTTTCAGCCCGGCACCTACGGAGAGTGGAATGGATGCTCGAACCATGGGTGCCGCTTATGATGTGCTCATGAAGGAGCTTGGTTATGGAACTTATGGTGTAGTGGGCACGGATGTTGGATACTTCGTTTCAAGCTGGATGGTGTCAGACGTGCCTGATAGCATCATCGGACACTTCTTAGACTTTATGCTCGTGCCGCCAACGCAAGACGACATCGATCGGTATTCTGGGAATCAGACAACACCAGAAGAAAATGCATACATTGGATCTTTCACTGCGTTTGAATCAGACCACTTTGTTTATTCTGCTGTGCAGGCTCAGAAGCCATTGGCCTTGAGTCTCTCACTGGGTGACAGTCCCGTTGGATTTGCCGGCTGGTTATGGGACCTGAAATACGCCGGCAGCGATGGATACCAGTACACAATGGATGAACTCATTACGGAAGCATTCACGTTGTGGGTACAGGCGCCTTACGGTGCGATGCGATCCTACCTGGAAACGCTGAGTGTAAGCCTTGGAAATAGTACCATCGGTTCAAAAAGTGGGAATAAGTCGTTGCTGATGTCTTTCAATCGATGATAGCCTAAGAGCGGTGGAGTCGACTTTCCCTCATCCAAGGTGCCAACGGGCTTGGTCCAATGGGGCAACCAACACGGACCTTTCCCTGAACTTGCTTCATTCCCTTTAGCGGTAAGAGATACCTCGAGAGCACAACCTCCTGTCATTGGCATTGAAATTAACATATTGACTCACAGCCTCGATCATGGGCAGAGCGTCAGGCAACCAACCTTGTTTATTTCAAGCGACATGCCTTTGGAGGGCACTTTCCGGCTCAAAACAATTGGCACCTATATGCTGCGCATGTGTGAGAGTTCTTTGATTGTCTAAATGGAGCCGAAACGCCCCCTGCCTGATTCATGAGGGAAAATCAAGCAACCATGGTGCTATACTACAAAGGGCAGTCGGATGCCCGTCAATGGCAGGCGGACGGTGCAATGGCGGCCGTTTCCAGCGCCCTGCTAACCGTGTTATCGTATACTATAGTTATAACATTAGATAATGTTAAATAAATAGAAAAAAATAGAAAAATTAAAATTAACATTCTATAGAGTATAGTCTATATTAAAAAAAATCTTATACCCTGCTTGTCTTAGGCAGTGTCCGTAGTCTACTAGCCTACCCCCTAGTACTATTCAATTTAGCACTTAAGTCAGTCACTGACCACAAGCAGACGGAAAAATATGCCAAACATGTGGGGTAGGATCTTGCAAGATCCTTCTCGACCATCAATTTTCGGTCGCTTTATTCAATCTTGAAAATCTTTCGCGTTGACGATACAGAGCACAGGCGGCATTTATCCACCAATCCCGTCACGGCATTAGGTGATGTTGTGTTGTCGGACACAACTATAAATAGTACTAAATAGGTTTCTCCAGGCCGACGGTTCTCATATAGATCTGACTGCTGTCGTCATGTACAACAATCCGATTATCCCCGGATTTAATCCCGACCCTTCCGTAATTCGCGTGAAGAATGACTTTTTCCTCGTAACCTCTTCCTTCGAATACTTCCCCGGAGCTCCGATATACCACAGCACTGATCTGATACGCTGGACCCTGATCGGCCACGCACTGACCAGGCGCAGTCAGATCCACATCCAGACCCCCGAACCTGGTGGTGGAGTTTGGGCCACCACCCTACGGTACCATGACGGTGTGTACTACATAATTGCGGCCAGCTTTGAACGCTATCGCCCGCAGGATGATGATCGGGTTTGGCCGCGCGGGTTCTACGTGAAGACAGAGAACATCTGGGATTCAGATTCCTGGTCTGACCCGGTGTTTTTCGACCAGGTCGGATTTGATCAGGATGTATGTACTTCTCATCCCTCGAACCTGTTCAGCGTGCCACGCCTGTTCTAACAAGGATTTCTCAAGCTGTTCTGGGACGATGACGGCACAGTTTACCTATCATCGACCTATCGCAAGCTGAATAGAACGCCGAATGCAAATCTTAAAGACTTCGCCATCCATATCGCTACTGTCGATCTTGCCAGCGGGGCCTCCACATCCGAACCGAGGCTCATCCGAGATTCTACCTCCGGCGTCTCGGAGGGATCGCATATATTCAAGCGCGGGAAATACTACTATCTTTTCACCGCTGAAGGGGGCACAGAAAGCGGCCATTGCGAATGGGTGAGCCGCAGTGAGACGGGCCCGTTTGGTCCGTGGGAATTGGGACCGAGTAACCCACTCTGGAGGAATGGGATCAATGACGAGGTGCAAAATACTGGGCATGCAGACTTGGTGGAAGACGCACAGGGAAGATGGTGGGCTGTTTTGCTGGGTGTGCGACCGGTGCGGAAGGATGGTTACTGGGAGGAGTCTGTTTTTGGTACCTTTGCTCATTCTTTGCTTGACATATGCTGCAGAGCTAACTCAATGGCTACGACGACAATAGGCCGCGAAACATTTCTGATACCCGTTGAGTGGAAGGACGATTGGCCGATTTTCAATGGGGGCAATAAGATCTCTCTCAAATCCCAAAGTCCACACCTTTATGAGTACCAAGATCCTGTAGCATGGAGAGATGATTTCTCGAGCCCAGAATTACAACTAGGCTGGTACCGCAAAAGTAAGTTCGCAAAAGCGTGTTCACCGATATTAAACTGAGACTGGTACCTCTAGACACCCCCACGAGAACAGATTACTCCCTTGTAGAACGACCAAACCACCTCCGTCTACACGGAGGGCCATATAACCTCTCCGTCCCCAGTTGTCCGACTCTATTTCTTCGGAAACAAACTCATCACTACTGCACGTGGGAAACACAATTATCTTTCAATCCTCAGTCGCCACATACAGAAGCTGGAACTGTCGTCTGGTGGAACTACTTCACTTACAGCAGTATAGGGATCAGACTCTCCCCTACGAAGGAAGCGACACGAATTGTGCGCTTCCGGCCGGCTAAAGGAGAGGTCATTGATCGAGAGCTTGAAAGTGCAGTGTCGGATGTTGTGTTCTTCATCGAATGCGGGGACCAGTATAGCTTTGGCTTCAGAGAGGTGAACGGCGCTCATTCCGAGACCCAGTGGCTAGGAGAGGTTCAGAACAGCACAATGACTCAGCCGCCACCAGTTGGAGCACCTTTTACCGGGATAATGCTCGGACTGTACGCCTTCGGAGAACGGCAACGCTGTTTGGTTCCGGCAGACTTTGCGTATGCCGAGTTTAGATGATGTATTAACCTTATGTACAACTCACTACGTGCTACCAATAGTTCGCCTTCATATTGCAGTTCAGTCTCCACTGTAGCCCCTCGTCAACTGGGTAAACAACGTTTTACAGCAGTTCCTTATTAGCGGTCATACATACAAGTCTCTACAAGTTTAGGATTAGATCGTCGACCCTTGAGTTCTGGGCTAGGGATTGGGAACCTTTTCTCTTTCATACAAGCTAGGTCAATACCCTCAGGAAAGCTTCCAATTTGGACATGTATAAATGGTGGTAGTCTCGGCAAAGAACGTGGCGCGTCTTACCAGTCACAATGGCCAGTTACCATCTCCTTGAGGCTTCTCTTGTGGTTACCTTTGGTACCCATTCTTCTATAAGGTGCGAGTAGCTGTATTGACGACAGTATGTCCATGCCAATGTACGCTTCACAGCGTATCTTTATCACACGAATCCTCAAGACCCTTGGATCAGACATGGTCTCTGGCGGTACGTGCTGCGCAGTGATGCGCAACTCTCCACCTTCCTTGTGACACAGCAGAGCCATTTACTATGCTATCCCGGCTCTGTCCCGTCCCTAGTTTTTGAATACGCTAGTGGCGTTGACGTGGATGATCCCGTGTGGAAGAATGAAGGGCTTGATGAGGCCCTGTCCAGACGGTGCTACCCAAAATCTGATAGCATTGGGTATAGCTTAGTTTTTGTGGCAGTGAAGCCTTAACCGAATACGACGCTACTTTGATAGGAAGCGCCTGGGCAAATACGGAGGATGAGCTCGTGTACTACCAGGTAGTAGGAGCTTCCGGGCTACCACTCAGACAGCAAAAGGTTGGAGCAAAATTTTCCCGCTGTTGCCTAAGCTAGGACAGCTCGATATTATGACAACGCCAGTGTAAGACAAATGGTAGCCTTGCCCTAAGTTTCGACGTTGCCAATGACCTTCAGCTGATAATATCTTGATAAATAATCAATTGAACCCTTCCAGAGCATTACCTAGTATGGTGAATATTGGACTATATGAAGGATGCGTTCCACTAGTTGAGGCCTAGATGCTTACTAGCCCATAACCATATTCCCAAACCAGGATCAGTGGAGATGAATTGCCACGCTCCATGAACAGATAAAACGAAACTTGGAAAAATCCACCATTTCCTGTGCTTCTAGTGATTGCCAGCTCGGGGTGCTATCTAATTATAACAATGATATCACAATCCAGCCTTATCCCCCTGAAGCATTTGGGTGATCGGCCGACCAGGATGGATTCTTATTTTTGGCTGGGATCCACTAGGGATCGTTGACTAGCGTTAGAAGAGGAATAGTGCGATGGTCGTGCCCCACTGTCTTAGGCCTGTCACAGTAACGAACACGAGTACGACCGGACTAGATTTATCCTCTCTTCGAATAGCTCTGATAGAATCTTTTATACATATAACCACCATATTCAACTAGATCATGGTTTCCCTTCATCATACTCTCATATTTCTACAGAATGAAACCTCTCCAGCGGTCGAAGTCGGATGACCTCGCGGATCTAGTAGATGCTCCTCCACCTTACACACTAATCGCAGAAGCAGGATCCAGCACAGTACAAGGTATAGTTGTCTAGCAGTTATTTAACTACATTTCACTAACAAAGTAGATGATGGCCGCATTGATGTGGACCTAGACTCGGCCACGGCAAGAACCGCTCTCAGGTTCATCCCCCGACTCAGTGAGGACGATTTAATACACCCGCCACCTACCTACTCGGGGCCAGTGCAATGCGATGTCAAGCTCAACGTTGTGATACATGTCGTGGGGAGCCGCGGGGATGTTCAGCCATTTATTGCACTGGGGAGCGAGTTGCAAAAGCATGGCCACCGAGTGCGGTTAGCAACACACGATGTGTTTGCTTCCTTCGTTCGGAAGTCGGATCTGGAGTTCTACCCAATCGGCGGCGATCCTGCCGAGCTCATGGCATTTATGGTGAAGAACCCGGGTCTAATTCCGAACATGAAGAGTCTGAGGGCAGGGGAAATCACAAGAAAACGGATGATGGTCCGAGAGATGCTGGAAGGATGTTGGAAGTCTTGCATCCAGAATGATCCCAGCACAGGGGCTCCGTTCGTGGCCGACGCCATTATCGCAAACCCTCCCAGCTTTGCACATGTGCACTGTGCCCAAGCCCTAGGTGTTCCACTACACTTGATGTTTACCATGCCCTGGAGTTCGACATCAGAGTACCCTCATCCGCTTGCCAATTTGAAATATTCCGGGACGAACGCGAGATTCGCAAATGCCGTTTCGTACGGAGTTGTAGAGTGGATGACCTGGCAAGGGTGAGATTAATTGTTCACAATGTGGAGACATCTGTCTAATCTGCTGTGTTTAGACTTGGCGATGTGATCAACGACTGGAGAGAAACCATTGATCTCGAACCGGTTCCGCTTACCGAAGGGCCGAGCCTTGTGCAGACTCTTAAAGTGCCATTCACATATTGCTGGTCTCCAGCCTTGGTGCCCAAACCCAAGGATTGGCCATCTTACATCGGTACATTTCTCTAACCGTTCTGTATTGTCTCCTACTAATTATCTAGATGTCTGTGGCTTCTTCTTTCGTGAATTGCCGATATATTCCCCGTCTTCTGAACTAGATGCATTCCTCCGCGACGGTCCACCACCGGTGTATATTGGCTTCGGTAGCATCGTCATCGATGATCCCCCGCGGCTCACTTCGATTCTTGAAGAGGCCGTCCGAGCGATCGGCGTTCGTGCGATTATCTCACGAGGGTGGAGTAAGCTCGGAGGCTCTTCATCAAAAGACATCCTGTATATCGGTGACTGCCCTCACGAGTGGCTTTTTCAACACGTGTCTGCCGTGGTACATCACGGTGGTGCAGGGACGACAGCATGCGGCCTACGCTTCGGAAAGCCCACTGCCATTGTCCCCTTCTTTGGAGATCAGCCCTTCTGGGGTAAGATGATCGGGGCGTCAGGGGCCGGTCCCGAGCCAATCCCACAGAAGTCTTTGACAGCCCAAAGCCTCGCTGAAGCAATTCAGTACTGCCTCACCCCTCAGGCCAAGGAGGCTGCAAAAGATATTTCTAATAAAATGCAATACGAGTCGGGTGTCAAAGCCGCCGTCGAATCCTTCCATCGAAATCTGCCGTTGGATCGCATGCGCTGCCAGCTTATTCCCGACCAGCCCGCGTCGTGGATTTACAAAAGGTCCACCAAACCTATCCTTCTCTCCAAATTAGCCGCTCAGATCCTACTGAACCACTTGCGCATTGAGTCCAGGAACCTACAGTCGTATGACCCCACTCGTCTCAACTCACCTTATAGTCCAGGCTAACGTGACAGACACGAAATCCGTCCTATAATTATAACAAATCGCAGATATGATCCAATAACGAGCACAACCTCAGCAACGATAGGCTATGGCACAGACATACTACGAGCCACGTCAGATATGTTCGTGAAACCGTATCAAGAACTGAAGGGCCGATCTGCGACAGCTCCGGCAGCAACCAACGCCGAAGATCCTCTGTCAAAGGTTGACTCGCAAACCACAACGGCTAACACGGTGGACTGGAATGCCACAGGCGCGGCTATAGGGGCCGGGGCAGCGGGATTTGGCAAGTTTATGAAATATGTTTACAAGGGAGTGATCGTCGACATTCCCCTAGCTGCTACGGAGGGCCTCCGGGCCGTGCCACGTCTATATGGTGAAGAGGTGGAAGATTATGCCATCCGAGACTGGAAAAGCGGTGCTATCGCAGGGGGCAAGAATTTCACTCAAGGGATGCGAGAAGGCTTCACCGATATATTCACACAGACCCAGAAGGGAGCCATGGAAGAGGGTGCCGTGGGAATGGCTAAAGGGTTCCTCAAAGGAACACTTAGCATCGGTACTAAAGTGCCATCAGGTTGGCTAGCCCTGTCACTTTTCACGAATCTCGCTGACCTTGCACAGCTGCACTTGGTCTCGTGGCTATCCAGCTCATGGAATAACCAAGAGCCTACACTCGGTGATGAGGTCAAAGACCAGGAAGCAAATCATCCAAGCGCGGCTTCAGGAGGGCCAATATATAGCGCGAAAGGTTGCAAAGCCTGAAACGGATCATGCCTTGGTGATGCAGAGCTTCGATGCTCTGAAGAATGCGGACGCAGGTTGATCATTTGAGGCATTTGCAACGGGAACTGCAACACCATCAAGCGTCGCGTTTGATTTGAGCATTTGGAAGCTATACAATTAAAACATCCTTAGGCATTTCAAGACAATACCCCAAGAGAATAGGTTCACCATTATTACCTACTTCCTCTCAACCAACGGATAATTATACGTACAGATACCATATAAACTAATGGAAATACTTGAGAACTACTCCCTTCAGTCGTAACCAAGCGACATCTAGCGCCTCCACCATTTTCTCAAGCATCGGCCCTTTCTGTATGCCCGTCAAGTTCTGCTCCAACTGTGCAGCACTACTATCCCCGACAATAATTGTATTCCCTTCTCCCTCTACACGCTACCGGAGTCGAAGACGAGGTTTTAGTATTAGTTGTACGTGGCGTGTGTTGCGTACGGTTGCATGAATGAAAAGAGACAGCCTACTGCGATGATGATACTACTTTATCTCCGCTGTTCCCATTGTTCCTGATACTGATATGAGGTGCCGTAGTTGATACAGGAAAGGCCACTGTAGTATCAAGCACAGAAAGAAAACGACAGTACACCGTTCAATACAATACAATACAAACCAGAAAAAGAACCCGCCAAGCACACACCAACGGCCATCATTGGCCAACACAATGTTCCAAAGAAATAAAGTGGCTCTAGCGCGTAAGCAACGTGCATTAGCGCCGGCAATAAGGGTCTTAATGATCTCATCGTCCGATGGCTCTACAAAGTGTAAAAGAAGACTAGATAGAAAACGGCCCAATCTTTATTCATCCTTCCCCTATATACAACACTCTTGAGTTTACACGATAGATTCAACTTATAAATAGAAACAGACTAAAGATACCTAAAAATCAATTTCTCCCCCCTCGTCGCCCGCCACCGATTCGTCGAAACCAACAGCTCCCCACACCCCCCGACCACCCACGGCCACTTGCGAATAAACTCCTCGCTGACCTCCCAATTCGCCAGGTCCTGCGGATCCCCCCACACCAACAGCCCGCAGCTCTCTGTGCTCATATCCCAGAACCCCATGATGTCCATGCACAGCTGGTCGTCGTCGAAGTCGCCGGCGCGGATGAGGTTGTCGCGCATGCGCGGGTGCGGGAAGAAGTCGAGCCAGGGGTGGTGGGGGATGGACTGTTGGAGTTGGGTTGGGCGGAGGGTCGGTGGGATGGAGGAAGGGGTGGTGAAGCCGGGGCGGAGGGTGGTGAAGGGGGAGATGGCGTCGTCGTGCATCCACTCGTGGTGCTTGGGCATGCCGAGCGTGGACATGATGGAGGCGAAGGCGCGGAAGACGTTGACTTTGGCGAGGGTGAGGAGGTGGTCGGAGGTCGGGGAGCCGAGGATGTAGCTCTCGTAGGCGGTTTTGCTGAAGAGGTCGAGGAGGGCGGCGGTTTGGTCCGGGGTGGGACATTGGCGTCGTCCGGTGGTGGTTAGGGCTGTTGTTGTGGGTGGGGATTGCGATGATGAGGATGATATTATGCTGGACTCGGCTTCTTCGGCTTTGATAGTCAGGCCGAGCTTTTCGGCTCGTCTGCGTTGGCCTATGTGTTTTTCTTTCCGTCAATATCTTATTCTTCTTCTTCTTTTGTTGGATATGTTATAAGGGCTAATGTAGATGAGACTTTAGTGGGTGAGACGCACGATAAGCTCTCTGGTTGATCCGGTTCTGGCGCCGTCGCCGTTCCTTCGAGTCCGTGAGGCCCTTCCAATCATCGGGGCCCTTTTTTTGGGTCCGGATCGGTATAAGCTGTTCCAAATCGCGCTTGGGGAGCTCGCTTGCGGACGCCATTGTCGGGGTGTGGTGGTTGTTCGGGATGAACTATGGAGGCGTCAAGTCGCCAGTCTTATGCGTTTTGCTGACGGCCCCAGTCTGGGTCGGAGTTAAGCCCGGTGGAGTTTTGTATGCGGTGGCTTGTTCGTGTATGGTTATTACCGGTATGCCGTACGGTCATCGTTCGGGCTGTATAGTCCGCACCTGATATTAAAGTATAACATGGCAATGATCGATAAGTATCGATCTCATGCTCATGCACTAAGGGGATGACATTGAAACAGTAAAGATACCAGAATCCGCTTTCTGTGCGATCCTTGTGGGTGCGAACTGTTTTGTGCTGTTTCTATCCTTCTCTATTCTTTTTCTTTTCGTTTTCTGTAACTCCATGCTCTTTTTATACCTAACTGTATCAAATTATATTTCTAAATAATAGATACAGAACTACTAACAGTATCTATAGAATAGACTATAGTTCTCCATTAGAGTGATATTGAATACCAAACCAACGTGTATTGCGTAATTATATATATACAAAACTCGATCCACTATAGATCTAACATAATTGCAATATCCCTCGAATTGTGCATATATAATACTTTTGCGCGGTGTTCATTTGTCAAGTCTTAATCTTGTACTCTGGTATCAAGCTATCATATATTTCGTTCTTGTTTTATTCCCTGTCTAATTGGGAGGTCTGCCGATTGATTGTTCCAAATATAGGTATACCTCTATGAGTCCGCGAAGATGCGAGATTTTGGGAATTTGCTTACTGCTAGCAATCATTCAAATGTATGGTTAACTTCTAAAACTCGATATTAATGGGAGTATGAATGTACAAAAGCGGGAGGGAAGAATGGGGAAAAAGGCATTTTATCTTCAGCGGGGTGAGAAAAACGGGCGCCACATTCATTTAGGTTATACCTCAGCAATAAATACGCACATCTACTAGTTGAACAGCGAAAGATACATTGATCCCAATCCAGCTCTGAAAGCCCCAGAGGCTATCAGAGAAGGGTCCAATTCTTTATATATAGGTACAGGAAGACAGTCAAGTATGATTGACTTTGACTGCCTTGCAAGGAGACAAATAGTACATACAGAAAAGCGCCCAAGTTATCCAACTTCGCTCCAAGTATACTGGGAATGCGCTTAGCAAGAAGGAAGAGGGTCAGTGTAGACACAAGAGTCGCTGGGGCCAGAACCAATCTCGGTGGGCTCGCCGCTGCCCTCATTGCCCTCGTAGAAAGTACAGGTCTCCTTCACGGAGGTGGCACAGGTGTCCTTGATGGTGGCGACATCACCATAGTTCTCGTTGACACCGGCAAGGAGCTTGCCGTTATAGGCCTTGACGTTAGAGATGGTGACAGAGCGCTGAGACTGGGATTTGCAGTTGCCGCAGGAGCGGAAGAGCTTGCCGAAGTCGGAGACGACGAAGCCATCGATGCTGACCTCACCCCCGGCGTTGTGCTGGATGACCTTGTCCTCGGCACCCTGGGCACCACCGCCGATGACCTTGTAAGGGCCGTTACCCTTTTTGAGGGAGAGAGCGTCTGCGACAGAGTCAGTTTTGATCCTAATAAAGATAGACTACAAACACATACCCTCGCAGACCTTCTCCCACCAGACGTTCTCGATGGTGCAAGCACCCTCGCAGTGGACACCTTCGATCTGGTCAGTGCCGATGATGGCGTTCTTGAGGGTAGCACCCTCCTGGAGGATAAAGACGGCATCGCTGTCGCCGCCCTCTTCCTGGCCAGTGCACTCGACGCCACGGCCGTAAGTCTTCAGACCACCATCGAAGACCTCTCCAGCGGCAATCTCCTTGGGCTCGCTAAAGGTCTCAGTGCCAGCGGACTCAGGGATGGGGAACTCGCTGGCACCCAGTGCCATGGAGGCGAGGAGAGACAGGAGAACGGCCTTGGGAAGCATTGTAAATGATGAAGAAATTGGTACTTGGAAAGAATCACTCTCAGAGCGTTTTAAAGAAGGGCACGATGAATCAAAGGAAAGATGCTTTTGTCTGGTCAAATCCAAGGCTCATGATCGTGAAAATGCTGAGGCTTTATAGCCTCAGTGCGTCTGCTATGTTGCTGCATGCACCCCCCTGATCGAGTCATTGGCGGAACATAGAGGCCCTTGGCGCGTTTCGATATTTCCCTCTTGCTCTCTTCCAGGTCGAAAGCACTCTTCCGGGGCCAAGCTGAAACGGATTGCAGATACTCCGGCTCGCTAAGAATGTTCCGAAGTTTTCCCAAAGGCTTGATTTCTATCGGGTCGGTTGGAAAAAGGTAAGTGGGTGTCGATCACTGAGACTCGGGACGAACACTGACCACAGGCTAATAGTATTAACAGTTTTCACCACCTAAAAAATGCCAAGATCATAGCATTAATTCGCTTTCGTCTCCGCACCGCTTGGCATTAACGTTGAGAGCTATTGAAACTTGGCAGACTGCCGAGCTTTCTGCGGACATAATGTGTCGGATAAGCGGTAGATGACCCTTTTCATTTGAATGGGCCCACATTGAAGCAACAAGTTGGGGAATATACCTATGGAAGCTACACGGAACCCTGGAGCTAGGGCTAGTGCTAGCATCGTGGCGCAGCAAATTGTCCGACATGCCAAGAAGTCGGAAAGTGGCCCGGAAACAACTCCACGCGGCTTCCAGTGCACTGGGCAAGGCCGACCAACAAGGGTCTGTCCTTACTCAACGTGTATAATCGTCGTGCATCTGTAAGCATAAAACCAGGGGTGTGATGCACAGGTTATACTGGGTGTCGTGTATACTGCGAATTGTAACCATATGCTCCAGCTTGCTCCCGCTCAACGCTTTATCTCAAATGCATCTGGATAAGAGAGCCACAACCCTTTTTGCAATCACAAAAGCTCCATCCTCGCGTCATCGTACATAATTGGAGGGAATACGTATGCCGTCCCATAGCGATCGGCAACAACCCTACATTTGGCTTTCTCCTTTTGGAAGTTGAATTGCAAGTCACACCCTTCTCGTCACAGCAATGGGTCCCGAATGCAACAGATACAGTGTTTCGCGGATTGTACCAAGGGACAAGAGTCATGTCCTGCAGAATCTGGAACTTTGTTTAGTCGTCAACTTCCAACGTAAGCTTCACAGTGGAAAATACAACTCATTGGAGACAATTGAAATATTCACCCTTAAGTTGATACGACCACATTGGATTATCCGGATGTAGGATTCCTTTTTGGAGCCGAGAGGTTGGCAAGAAGTTTCATTATACACACGATTTTTAGTTTGTAAATCCTGACGTAACAAACTGACAATATCCTTGAAATATGGCTCCTAATTGGTTCTTCAAATGTGCCAATTTAGAGCCATTACTTCGGAGAATTGTCATCCTGTACAAACGGTAGCTGAATCATAACGGGCGGAAGAACTACTTGGGTAAGCAGCATTCTTCACTTGTGGTTGAAGCCATTTCTTCAGTCATATTTGCGGAGACCCCTGGCGTGTGCCGAAATCAGGTGGAGCGTGAAGGCGCAGTGCCGCTGCGGCCAGTTATCATGTCTAGAAGACCATGGATTCCGCTAGCCTGTGGAGTATGGTCCTGAGCTCCGCATGCTATCACTAGACATCATATGGCAGAAAGAGCGGCAAACCAAAGGAGGTATTGCCTCAACCCCTGGGAGCGCACCATCCGACGCCTTGGCTTAATGGTTTCCTTCTCATCTATCCCGTCCTCCGTACTGCTCTTCCGTCTGACGTGTCGTATCCACTTCGCGAAGGTACTAGAGTAATGAGTCCATATAATCTGTGCGATATTTGCTAGCATCAAGGTTCAAAGAAGGCTGTTTGTGTTCGACGTCCTTCCTCAGTATGCAGGTCAATCTATAGTAATATCGGCCATGGTACTCTGAATCGCTCAAATCAAAACTCAGAGTTGTCTTAATAGTTGCACCAGTAGAGTCTGAAACTCATTTGCTCCCCATTCATCCAAGCCATATACCAGCTGACCGCAGATCTTTGGTATTCGCAAACGAATCATTTATACCCAAAGCTCATGCTTCTATTTCTGTAATGCTATCAGGTCAAGCTTCTCTCAAGAAGAAATACTAGCTTTAACTACGCAACCGTTAGCAACTAGGTCACAGAGTAACTATGGCAAATGACTGACCTCAGCAAGGCTACTTATCCACTCCGATCATCACAAGAAGCGGGTTAACATAGCACAGTGGCAATGGACATGTCATAATCAGCCCCAGCCAAGATATTTTTATACTAATCATGTTTCCTCGGTCTGAATGCCGGCCCCAGCCGAGCCGGCGAAACAAGGTATACCAAGCTTAGACCGCCTACGTACTCCATAGAACTATTCATTCATGTTGTGGACTATTGGTGGAAGTTTTCTGGGTTTTCCAGAACAGCCTTCCATTTGCTCCACATGACAAGGTTATTAGAGTTGCAACGTTTTTAATAGTTCTCTATACAGGAAGTGAGAACAGAGTAACTGAGAAATAAGGTTAGCAAAGAGGCATTTATTAGTGAGGCACAATCGGCCCCTTGGGGATATGCGCACGGGAGGCGCGTTAATGCGGCTTTTTCAATGATGGTTTTGTATTAGCGGGTTGTCCAAGGATATCTCACCAGGCTTTAGCTAGGATTTTGAGGGGCTGACTTATGTATGAGTGCATAGACTCATGATTCTGCCGAGTTTGTGGGACAGAAAGGAGTGGTCTGACAAGATTTGAGCTCCACTTGATGGTGAGGAAGAAATGCCTCTCCTGATCATTATATTAACTATTGACTGCTGTAGGTTCTAAATAGCTCATGATGCCTCTCGGCCTAGCAGGGAGTAGCTGACGTTTGCTAGATACGAACAACAGTGAACAAGGAACATCACCTGATCCCGCAAACGTGAAGTATGGAACTTCGTCTTTAGGCCCGCCTTGTTCTTCACTAGTAGGGAGCTTAGACAGTCTGAGAACAGAAGGAAAGGCAAGGCGACCTGCATGCAAGATAAGGCAAACTTTTGTCTACAGATGAAGCAAGATGCGTTGAGTATTAGTTCACATTCCAGAACTATCAACAGAATATCGGACTATATCCTGTATGATAGTTCATTTTCATATAAAGGTCCTAGGCTTTCGCTGAAGACAGCTAAGGTACGCTGGAATGCATAGATATTAGCCAGAGTATACAAACATTAACGAAGTATTAGCACAATTAGGTTGACGATTGCAAATGCGCTGGCCTTCCTGTCGTTCACACAACACAAATTAGCGGAGAGGAATAAAGCTTCCGCGTCGAGGTTGGCTCTGGCACAAAATCGCCAATATCTCACCCTGCTCAGTAAGCAAGGTTGGGGAGCGGCACTATTCCTCCCGTTCGGCATCGGGAAGACTTTGATCTTTCGTCAATCTCGGGTTGCGAATGCAAAGAGAAAAGGCGATAAGAGGCACTGTCAGGCATATACCGGTAATGCAAAGGAGACGCTGGACCTCTCTGTATGCTAGAGTTACAGCTTCGCGTTCAGGTGTCCCGGCAGGATACGAAACGATAAAGTCAAAAGGGCTCCCAAAAGCCAGATCGGTGAGAGTCTCATTTGCACTACCAAGATGCTTGGTGAGCTCGTTACCCATCCTCTGTCTCCATATAGCGCCAGAAATTGTACCTCCGATTGCGCTTCCGATGTTGTACATTGCCAGGTACAAACCAGTGATCACAGCAAGATCTGCAAAGCTTAGACTAGATCGTTCAATTGAGAGGGATGTACTCACGCTCGTGTTTCGTTGCAGCCTGTATACTTGCTTGGGCTGGGTATGGGAACATGCCACCAGCTGACAACACAAATCAGTTTGAGCCAATCATCGTAGCCATTGTACAACGCACCAATACCCAAAAGTATCTCTCCGCCGATAATACCAGAGTAGCTTGAGCTACTTGTTCCTCCACGGAACTGTATGAGAATGCCGAAAGCCACCGCGAAAAGAACAGTTCCGGCAACTATGAAAGGCTTGAGCTGTTTTACCTTGATAATAATCGCCCCGAGTATGCATCCAGTTATAACAGATGCAAAGCTAGCAATGTCAGAGAGACTCAAAAGAAATACTTCGTGGCTATAGCGGACCTGTATAGAGACGAGATACGTGTTGCACTGAGAACACTTTGGTCAAACGCGACTTGCAACACGGTATATAAGTATGTGCCCTGCAACGACCAAGCTACAATGCTATTAGTATAGTGCCTAGACACCAGGCTCAAATCGACATACCTAAGTGGAGCATTGTTGCTATGCCGAGAGCGCCCCAAACCGCGCGGTCTTTGAGCAGCTAGAGCTTATCAGTCACCGCTCGAAATACAAGTTCTCAACCGCTTACCATGAAGGGAACCATGGGATACCGAGCATAAGAACGCTCCCAAATGACAAACAGAGGCAGACAAAATAGACCTATAATCAGCGGCGCCAGAATCTTCGCAGTCTTCCATTGCTCGGCCGCGGCACCAGCAATTGTGAATGGCACAAGAATCAGAGCCAAGAAAGCAATCAAAAGCAGGATGCCCATCACATCCAGGTACCAAAATAATTCTTTAGCAAATTTCTTTGCACCGAGAAGCCGAATAGGATGCTTATATGTCTCAGCACTGGCTTTTTTGGCTTTGTGGTGTCCAAAAAGGAGCGTCGCAAAAAGAGGGATGGAGCAAACTGACATGAGTCAGAGAAGATACCAATCTTGCAAGGTGTCTACCTACCAGGAAATATGATTGCGAACATTGCAATGCCCCAGCGCCAGCTAGTGACCCCCAACACGGCATCGGCGACGTTGCCACTAACCCAGGTATTGATAATGAAAGGGGTCGCAGGGATATAGGAAAAGAGCAGACGGGATCGAAGGGAAGTCAGATCTCCTACTAGAACTTCGACCAGGAGAATAATAGTTGTATATCCGACCTAAATACAAAGTTCCAGTCAGAGTTTATGGTATATAACACGCAAAAAGAATAAGGTACCTGGTATAGAACAGCACCCGCGCAGAAAGTCTGGACATTGTCGGCGCAGGCCTCCACGATAGTCCCTGAGTATGTCAGCAGTGTTCGGTATCCGATGCACAGGCAATCCTTACCGATAGTGTAGAAGAAAACCGAGAGCAAGATCAACTCAACTCTCCCGAAGACGTCAGCGATTTTCGCGGCTGTTGGCTGTGCGGCAGCTGCAATGACGCTACGTAAGACATTGATCGTAGTAAGCAAACTGTGTTTGGCATAAGCACTGGTTGCCAAAGGCTGCCGAAATCAGTTCTTTATCAAAAGAAAAAGAGTATCACGACAGGAAAAAATACCTGATAAGTCACTCGCAGCTGTCCATCCAAACCATAGACATAGGCTACCAGAAAGATCCCGAAGAACAAAAACACCCGAGCTACAACGCCAAGTTGCGACGAGATAGCTGCGATGCGCTTGACACCTGGGTTTTTAAAGTCCGCTTCCTCCTGAAGTTCGTGAGGTTGGGCAGCATGTTGAAATTGTGGATTCTTTTCGGCGGACATTTTGCACTGCCCTCGTCGTTATCAGTATGCGAGATCAGAGGACAAGGAGAAAGCGTCGTTCAGACTTTCTTATGAGGTAAGAGGGGGAGGGGGGAGCATTAAGAAAGAAAAGAAATAAAAATACAAGCCAGAACCAAATTCTCATGAAAACACGGGTGAGCCAATCATATCTGACCAAGCCTCTGTAAGGGTTCTTTCTTGGGTCATAGTCTCGAAATGATCTCGGCATGACCAAGACATTGCCTGGGATTGTAGAGTTCTAGAGCGGCTGGGACAGGTAGAATTGCCTCAAAAGACACCAAGAATGTTCGGTTCCGAAGGCGTGGCATGGGATGAGCTCGTATTTGGCTCACAGACATTGGTCGGGAAGGCCCGCCAAGCCCGCATTTCGGGCCCTGAGTGGGACCCGCTTTATCAATCTAATCTGATACCCATCAAATCAACAAAGAACATACATAAAGCTCACCGTTAACCAAAGAAGTGTCATGGTTAGCTCTCACTTCTTCCCATCCTGAAGGCGGTTCTGGTTTGTAGCCATGGGCGCCGTCCAAAATGTTTTGCATGGAGGCCCTCGGTCAGAGTTGAGAACGGCGTTGGTGAAGATAATTCAAATGAGTTGGAAACGCCACTCGTTCGTTGATGACCTGACCCGGAAATTACTTCACCGATACCTTGGCACGTTTATACTTTCAGCTCTTTGTGTTCTTGCTATTGGCATGCCCTAATCAAGCGACAGCTTATCATACAATAGAGCAAATTTTAGATGATAGATCCCCGTCATTGCCGGCACCAGCATCACTATAATGGTTCGATGTTAAAAGGCATACCCCGACATTATGGAGCTGACCCCAGCAGTATGAGTATGAACCATGCCTGCCGGAAGTTGATAAGTACCAAGTGAACACGCACCCCAACACTGAGCATTTTGGGCGGAAACCGCACGAAGTGTATTTGGCAACAGATATGCATGGATATAAATGAGCAAGAATAGAGCATCAATGCGGCCGCCTATGATCGCTAATCGCAGGCCATAGCCGATAGATATAAATTGATAGGAGAACAAATTACGTCCAGGAAATAAGGTCAGGATGACAATGGAAGCCTTGACCTTGACAGCGGCTGTGCAAGTGGAACCTGGGCAGAAAGCAGAGGAACGTCATCGAAGCCATTTGTGGATGAGGCAAATGCGTGCGTATTTGGTTGATAAAATGGGACAGCTGTCTACCTCCTATGAGATATATGATTCAAGTAAAGATCACCCGTGAAACGGTCTTGCATTCAAATACTCGCCTCTCTCACTCAGGCGAGCCTCAGTGCCCTTTGGTTATATCATCAGTAGCGTATGGTCATGCAAAGCGGCTCGCGGAAATCTTTGAGCAATACCTAAGTAACATCGGACGAAAGTGTTTCAATACTTGCAGCGATGACCATTCTTGCATAGAAAAGCTATGGTGTGCAGGTGTGTAGGCCACAAAGTCGATCACGCAATGAGCACGCTGTCCCCAGTATGCTCATGTCTTTCGATATCCTCCCTATGTCAACAAGATTCAAGTCGATACTCGGCTATCACCATACGCAGGCGCTATTTCCATCGCATGGTGATCAATGGGACAGGACGGGTGGATATGGATATGGAGTTGAAACATGTTCCTACAATGTGATATATTCCCACATCTTTACAGCTTCTTGTGGGCCCGCATGTAGAGATAAGACTAGGTACTTCGCAAGACTCCTAGGGTGCTCAAGTAAAGGGCTCTAGAGACTATATTCGACATTTGACTGCGGTTGGCAACAACCTCTGGCTTCTCTGTCTCCATTCCCATCTCATCGAGGTCTTACAGCTGGCCATCCTCGTTTGAGGTATCAGCACGTTTCCTGTCGACGGCGCTGTTCGGTTCCTCGTTCGCCACCGAGGTGGAGCAGATGAGCCTAACACGCAAAGGCTTGTCAAGCATTTCGCGACAGTGAACCAACTCAAGTACCCCGAAAGAATTATGAATATCTATCCACGTGTGCAGGATATGCCAGCGGATGCTGTGTGTTCCATCAAGTAAAATGTCAAGTACGGATGTATTCTGCTACAAGTTTGAGGCAAACAAAAATCCTTCCTTTGAAAAGGCAAAGGCTTGAATGCCTCCGTCTTGCACCAGCTATTATGCACACTTTAACGGGATTTCCGCTGCTGTTTTGAAAATATTGTGTGATTTACGTGTTCTGGACTCTTGGGGATTCGTTCTTGTCGTAGTGTCAATGGGAATGTGGAGTGACAGACATTGTAGTAAACCTCCTGTTGCCGAGGTGTCCAAAACTTTATCAGAAAGCGACTCAAGTCGAAATCATGTGGATTTATCCTTTTAGTCACTACCCATCGTTATACTTTCCAGGTTTTTCTGAGTGCAGGCCATTATCGACTATATTTTCTGGACATGAAGAGTCCAACCACTCAAGCTGTGCGAAGCTCCTGTGATACTTGAACCCGCATTAATGCTTGTACGAGAGCAACGCCAACCTTGACATTGAGGTCAATGTTAAGACAGGCATTTCTCCAGAGCCCGTTACTTCACCGCACATCGGTCTTCGGTGGTCACAGCACGAAAGCATACGCCATTTCCTCGCAAGCTGTTGGAGAAGCGTATTGTCTCAATGTTTGTGGCTGGCAATATCTAGGATAGTCCGACGATTGTACAGCGAGACGAGGCAGTGCCCAAGTATTGGATCTAAGTTGCGGAAGGACAGCCTACATAGGCTTTTTCTTTATAAACCGAGCGGATATCCTATTTTCGGGCCGAGAGGCACTCAGAAAGCTGAACCTGTACCCCGCCGAGGATTTAAGCGACAATACCTAGACATGAGCGGTTCAAACGCGACACTGTGTGCTTCCATTAAACGGGACTTGGGCACAACATCGGGGCCGGAGTACTAGAAGGCTGGTCATCAATTAAACCAGTAGTATCTTCGTCCATCGCTTTAGCTTCGAAGTCAGCGTTGATCAGAGATCCAAGGTCATCTAGTCGCCCTTCATATCACAGCACGGCTGTATCTATGGAAGCTATTAGAGCGTGTTGAGCGAAAAAGTCCAGCTTCGAGACCAACTTCCCGAATTCCGATCTACCGCCATACGACGTCCTCCTAGAACGCCATCGTGTCAAATGCCAAGTTGTTAACTCGGGAATCTTGTACCAGTCATGTGGTATTCCAAACAACTAGAGTGAAAATAAAAAAAAATAAATAAATAAATAAATAAAAAATCAAAAAAGCAAAAAGAATCGCCTGATTCTGCTCATGCTATCGTGCGGTGCCGTTCTCAACGGAATCATCTGCTAAATTCGCCTCAAGTTGTGTTTGGAATCTGGCTCGATAATAGTAGATATTGGGTGGGTCAGAGTCAGCCGTTCTAGACTGGCCAAGGTACACTGCGAAAAGAAAAAGGAAAAGAAAGGACAATCCGACATTTCCTAGTCAACCCCTGCACGAGGATAAGTTTTCCATGAGCGCCCACCTATGATGTGTTGAGTAGCATGATATGTACGGCTGCATGTGACCCGCCCTGTACGCAGTCAGTTCCAGAGAGAGTAAGTAGGGAAGGTGCTCATACGTTAGCTTTATGCATGTTAGCAGTTTAAAGGCCAATCCAAACCAGCTATTCCACGCCGCACGCCGCTTGTCAGCATCCCAGACTCAATCCCAGGTTATGATTGCCCCATTGAGAATTTGAAGATGAGCCTAATGAGATCATCGCAATGGCTGGGAAAACGCTCTCTTCGCAGCTACCTTCATGCTGCAGGTGGAGTGTCCTTTTAGCGTCAACACTACTAGTACTAGGCCTTAGTGATAGAGGATGCATGGGGCCATTTGCTGTAGGCAACATTTCCTGCTAATTACTATGGCTCAATATGGCTCAAGAAAGGAGAAACGAAAAAGAGGAGAAAATATGAATGGCGATATAAGTAATATTGATGATAAAATATATAAGATAAGCAAAAGGTAAGGGAATAAGATCTTCGTTAACGGTCTGGGAAGTGGGGTAGTAGGCTGTAGCAGGTTAGCAAGGGTGGTGTGTTTTGGAGAAGTTTGGCCGATATGTAACTAGCTCAATTCGGTAGAACGTCTTTTCAACCTTGAACCAACTGAACTTCTTGAGCCAATAGTGCCACCATACTGGAGGTACTAGTCCATTGTCCCTAGGGTCCTCCGCTTGCTGCAAGTCTTCGTGATGATCCGCCGTGTAAGGCCGATGGTGGGGGTATGGAATACAGAGTACCTATACGGTACAATACTTGACGCACGCCCTCCTCAATCTAGATAGGAATATGTCCTTTCGAAAGCAAATACCAACGGGTTAGGTAGGCAAAGAACCGGGTTAAGAATAAACGGAGTAATGTCATATTTTCTAACTGGTGTTTAAAATTAAGTAGAAGGGGGTGGGGAGGCTTATACTACAGGAAGTATATCACTAGGTAAATATAAATATATCCCTGCACTATGCGCAGATGAACACCTGAATTTTAAGTTTTCATATCGCGACCTCAACAGGAAAAGATAAAATAAAGATAAAATACAACATACAATGTCTTATTATACTTTTGGCTTCTCCCTTTCCTTTTCTTCTTCGGTCCTAGTTTCTTTCACGCTCCAGGGAAAAATTTGTAATTAGGGAGAAGGGGAGAGAGAGAGAAGATGATGGACACTCATGGATCGAGAAAATGGTGACGCCATGGGACGGTTACCTAATCTGGAAGATGTTCTGATTTATTCGCCGACCGCGGTTGATGTCCTCAGGAACCAGAAAGACTAACTAACGATTCATGACCACCAACTGCTATTAGTATTCTACCTTTTCCTCTCTCACCGGAGAAAATCTGACTATTTTGTTTTTAGTCGCCTCCTCATCTTCTCCAAGATATCCCTGCCTTATATTACACTTGTCCTCCTAGTCCTCCTTAATTCCTTACTCTCCCCCCTCCTCCTCCCTCCCCTCCGTATCTCTCCCAAAGCTCGTGACATCCTATTCTTGCCGACTTGTACTTTTATAATTGAATTTTTCCAATCGACGAATCGCCATCTTCAACCTACCGTTTTCAATTCGGCTTTGTTTTCTGTAAAATACATCACACGCCAAGTGATTTCGATCTGGAAACGTTGCATCTTGAGTTCAGTTCATCCCGTCGGAGCTTTGGATAGCTTCCCCGCACTACAGCTCAGACACCATGTAAGTGGCACAAAAGAAGAACAAAAGAAATGAAAACCGAAAGGAGTCCCCTGGTGATCATAAACCATATCATCTAACGGAAAGTAAAAATGAATATAGGCGTATTACCGTCAGTGTCATCCGACCGGACCAAGCCGATGCTGATATCATATCGCTTGAGGTGGGTGGGGACATGACCGTTGAACTTCTCAAAGCTATCGTTGAAAGCGAAACCTCCGTCCCCCCAAGCGCCCAACGGATCGTCTATAATAATCAGCTGCTCGGAGATGATGCACGTACCCTTGAGCAGGTTGGAATTGGGGAAGGAGATATGTTGGGTGTCCATGTTACGTTGCGGAGTCCTCAGGCGCCCACCCGCACTGCTGGCGGCCCTAGCGCTGCTGCTGCGCAACAAAACCTCCAACGGCGTCAGGCAATGAACCCAGACCCCGAGACCATCCGGTTACACATTCTAGGCGACCCTCGAGTGCGCGAAACTGTCCGACGGCAAAACCCGGAATTGGCAGATGTAGCCAGTGATGCCCAGCGGTTCCGCGACGTATTCCTCAACCAACAGCGGCGGGAGGCTCAGTTAGAGGCTGAGAAGGAGGCCCGGATCGCAATGTTGAACGCAGATCCGTTCAATCCTGAAAACCAGCGGCAGATTGAAGAGATCATTCGCCAGAATGCGGTGACAGAGAACCTCCATAATGCCATGGAGCATCATCCGGAATGTGTGTTCAGCCCTTGTCTTTTTTCCCTGTGACAGAATGACTTTGCTAACTGTCATAGCGTTCGGTCGCGTGACCATGTTGTACATACCAGTTGAAGTCAACGGCCACAAACTCAATGCATTCGTCGATTCTGGCGCCCAGGTCACGATCATGTCCCCCGAGTGTGCGACCGCGTGCAACATCATGCGTCTGGTAGACCAGCGATACGGGGGAATTGCTAAAGGAGTGGGCACCGCGAATATCCTGGGGCGCGTCCATTCGGCCCAGATCAAGATTGGAAGTATGTTCTTACCTTGTTCTTTTACCGTGATGGAAGGCAAACACATTGATCTTCTCCTGGGTCTGGATATGTTGAGGCGGCATCAGGCCTGCATCGACCTCAGGAGGGGAGCTCTCGTCATTCAAGACCAAGCCGTGCCATTTTTGGGGGAGGCAGATATTCCTAGGCATCTACTAGATGAATTCGAGGATGAACCTTTGGTCAAAGGCGCTGACGGTGCCGAAGTCGGCGCTCGGACGGGTGCAGTCACTCATCAGGCACAAGGGTCCGGTGGCGCCAGCTCATCCACGGCACCTCCGTCTCGTCCAGCTCCGGCACAATCATCCCGGTGGCCACAAGATTCCATCGCGAAGATCACCGAGCTCGGTTTCACTCGGGAGGAGGCTATGCGGGCGCTAGATGCAGCTAACGGGGACCTCGACGGTGCCATTGGCTTTCTGATATGACATGTGAATTCCAGATGCTATAAATTACGAAATCTTGACGTGTTTCCGGTACCTTACCGCTGCATCACGCCGTCATTAAGCGGTGGAGACCGCAGGTTTAGCCCAGATATCCCAAAAATCCTGTAATCGACTCGCGTCGCTGTGTGGATGAGAGAGGACTCTGAGGGACCGGCGGGGTGTGTCATTGGTAGAGAGACACCCTCCCCATCTGCATTTCAATTCTATCAACTGCAGCTTACCGCATTATCAGTTCCATCCTTGGCCTCCCTGGCCTGTGCCCCTTGTGGCGCTGCTGGCCGAGTCAGCGTAGCGGTCAAGTCGCCCCGATTATGAATACAAAGTTAGAAACATCATCTGCACTTGCGGTGAATGCTGTGCCTCGTAAATGGAGTCTCATGTACGGAGTAAAGTGGAGCCTCTTCCTTCAATTCCTGTCTTGCTTTTTAGATCAATCACGTAGCCCTATAATTAAGTAAATCCACTGCAGAAGGTGGAACGCAAGATTCCAGCCTCGCATTGCGATCTGAATTTCCCTTGACTCCATCCGCGATTGTGAAATGGCGGTACTTTCAAAAGTACTAGTATTATCCCAACCCGGACCTATATTCTACTCTACCTGGTCTATACACGGGGACCAACCCACATACAATTTACTCGCTCTTAGATTTACCCAGTAGCTTCCCCCGCAACCTAAAGAGCATGTCCAACGCCATAAACGCCCCTGGGTCAAGTTAGCCGCCACTGATCGCCTCGCCGAAACCGCCAGGCATAAAAAACGAAACAAAGGAGAATGATAAAGAAAAACATGAAACCACAAGCGTGAAACGGCCACAAAGAGAACAAAAGAAGAGACGGGGCAAAATGTATATACTTACCAAGCATCACATAAGGCGCATACAACATAGTCAAATCCTGCTTCTGGGCGACCGTGCGATCGTCCCAGCCCCAGACCTCCGCCAAGCAAGCACTCGAGGTCACGAATGATTGAACTCCAAACACCAACAAATGCATCGGGACCAGGGGGTCATCTGTCGGTATCCTTTCTGTTAGCTTCCGATGTTTTACGAGATGATTTCCCCACCGTCATCAACTTCCCCGACGGTGTTGAATTAAAAAAAAAAAGAAAAAGGAAAAAGAAAATATTAGAAATCAATTAATATATTAAACTTAGGTATTTTACCTCTGAGCAAAGCGCCAAGAGCCCAGAGACTCAACGGCGCGTGATAGACGAGTTCCATTGCGATAAAGGTGGAGAACCACGCCGGAGCGGTCTCCGAGAAGAATTTGTCATGGTAGGTTGCTATGTAGTAGGAACGGATGTGGTGGGAAAGGTTAGTTTGGAGGATAGAGGGAGCAGGGGACGGTGTCGACGACTGGATTGGCGCGTTAGTTAGTATATTTCAATGTACCGATATTGTTTAGCTGGGGATGGAGAGAGCTGTGTGGAGAAGCCTCTCCAAGGAGGGAGAGATTTACGGAATATGATAGGGAGGTGAATGGCGAAAAAGATGAAGTAGATTAGGTCGCGTTTTCGCGATATGAGAGATGCAGATTGCACCATGGTTATCCGTATCTAGGAGGTGGCAATTGTCTCGAATTGATGAATCAAATCGTTTTTGATGTATGCATGTAGGCTATATGTGGTATGTGTGGGATGGAATTTGGAGGTCAAACAGGTCTTAAAGGGAGCGATAACGTGACTGCTGTCAACAAAACGGAAAACCAACATGAGAAGTCAGGTCAGGTGATCCGCAGGGACAGCGAAATAGGCAAGGGGGAAAGAAAAGACGGGAAAAAGCAAACATGCGCAATCTCTCCAAAGGCCCCCGCTGTTCATCGATGGATGACCCGGGAAACTGGGAACAAGATACGCAGGACTATTTGCTTTTTTCACTGCACGAGGCCTAAACATAGCTTAAGCTTAGGTGCGTGGATCGCTAACCTCCTATGATTCTTAACGGTTAGTTAAGTTTAGTGTCCCAAGAACAGTGACCCGGCGGTTGGGACTCAATGCTAATCGGCCTCTTTGCTTTTTCTGAGATTTTGACCTTGCATCATATCATGCTTTGATCTTATCAGTTGAAGATATCCTGAACAACAGTTCCAGGAAACACTCTTGATTCACACTGCTTTCCCTCGCCGTACACACAAGCGATCCCGACAAGGGATCAAAGACGGCGTAACCGCTCACGGGTAACTACACGAGACATCCGGTTTTAGGGAGTCTCACCGCAACTCTCACGGAAGAGTCCTTTGCCCCCCTTGTTTGTGTCCTTGGTGAAGTTTGTCGTGCAAAAGCCCCTAATTTATGACGGCCCCTGGAGCTGATCGTTACCTCGACTTCCTGCCGTTCCGGAACCAGATTGGTTGGAGGGAAAAAGTACTGCAAGGAAGAGCTGCGCTCGCAAATCTGTTGCAACTTGCAGCATTCCCCACCAATATCATACAGATTTCCTTTGCGCAGACTGCAGCCCAATCCAAGGAATTCCTCAAAAATGACCTATGATAATTTTTTATAACTATTGTCTTCACGATTTGGACCGGACCGGTCATCCTTGGGACGGGAAGAGTTGCTTTTTTAGCGCCAAAACACGGAACTGCGGTCGCTAATCTATCACATAGTACGATGACTAGTCGACTGACATGGGTACCTTAGGAGTTGTGTCTCTTTCCCCGGAAGTTAGCACGGAATTTGACCGCCAGTACTCCGTATAAGTGACGAGGTCCCTCTCAATTAATCTTCGCAGGGAGCCACTACCCGACCGTTGGCGTCAACCTTGCAAATCCTTTGCTAATGGAAACCCTGGTCCCGTAAGAAAATCTCGGAAGTGTCTCATGAGCTCCAGCCGAATTAAGTGCCGAGGCAGCTCAACATTCGTAGTAATGGTCAGTCAACACGACAGACACAAGCATTTAGGCAATATGCCGGATGGCTGCAACTATCGGCCTCAATTGCAATTCGACTCCTCCAGACCCTGAGAAATAGGAGGAAGTGGAACCAAATGTAACTGCAGTTTAACCAAGAACTGATCTATCTAACATATTATACGATACATATGTATGTACATAGTACATGCTCCGTACAGAGGTACATTATCAGACCGATGCCCTAAATCCTCGGTCGAGGCTTCGATGGGTCTTCCAAAACGGCTATGGAACGCCTCCCATCGCTCCCCGACGGCGCGAGCGGTTCTTTGAGAGCAACAAGTCCACTGATGTGCCTTCTGTGGGGTACCTTTTTATGAAACTGAAAGAGCTCGCGGGAAATGGGCCGCATGGCCGAAATGAATATGAACGTCATGATCGCCTTGGCTCCAAACGAGCGCCCTCGGCTCCATTGGGTAGCGGGTCAGAATGGCTGCTAAAAGTGATTAGGATTGTTCTTTCAACCCACTAGAAGCCACGTCGAGAAAAACCATGTGTGACCCAAGATTGGGAAACCAATGTTTGGATTCATCTCCACTCAACGGCGGGTCCATAATAACAACAACAAAACACTACCTCACAGGGCAACTCTATCAGAAAATGGTAAACAAAAAGGAAAAGGGGGGAAGAAAATTATTTACAATTTGTCGGAAATATTCTTTCTTCGGTCGATCGTTACACCAAAGAATTATCCAGTCAAGAAATAATTTCAGTAGTGGCGAAAGAGAAGCAACGCATATTCTCACTGTCGCGCCCACCCGTTATCACATCAATAATCACTCCACCGACATCAGCAGACAGGCTGCAATGTCCAGTTATTGGGCACAGGTTACATAATGCGTGAGGTCTTACAGTAGTACGAGCATTAACGGGGACTACCGGGATATTACGCCCTTTTCCTTTTCGTTTTTTAACTTTAGCTTTTTTTTTTCCCTTTTTTCTCCCAATCGAAACGATGCAAGGGGATGCATGTTAGCCGCGACCGAAAGCTACTATAAGACACTGGATGGAGACACTATTTACTTATTGGTACGGCACTGATGTATCTCGGGCGACTACTGCATCGACCTGCAATTCCGCGAGCCTGTTACCGGGGATCGAGAAGACAGACCTAGGCTAGCGATATTGGCCCAACGTGCATGTTGCATAGGCTCCACCCTCGGCTCCTTATCGTTCGTCTGGTTTGCGCCAGATTGAGCGGTGAAACCGCACCAGAAACAAATAGAATACACACTTACAGCCAGAGCCAGTCCCCCGGAGCACGCCGGGAGCAGGAAGCAGACAGTGCCCATCGTCGGCGCAAGATCCAATCACTATAGTAATCGGCGACCTGTGCCCGACATAGTTGCAGCTATGAGGAAAATTGCCCTGCAAGTCCTTTGTATCGTCCGATGCGGAAGCTATATGAAATGTACGCCGAGGACCCATTGGGATCTCTTGACCGCCTCCCTCTGGTGTTCTCTCCCTCTTGCTTTGTCTGATCTTGTCTTGTCGGCTCTGTTCATTCCTCTCATCGCTTTCACCCTTTTGGAACAACGTTTAAATTTTGGATTTTTTTTAGGGCCTGCTTTTTTCTGACTGGCCCGTTGACCTGCCGCTGTCCCCTCCACACCCCCCCCGGTCTAATCTGTCGAGACCCGTTCAGGTCCTCAGGAGCGAATCCTGTCCCCTGTCGTCATGGCATCGCACTCGCTCGAGACACTTTTTGTTCGCCGCCATGAGTAATCTGGCGCATCACCAGCGCAAGGTCGCTGCCGGAGATGAAAGGGATAGCACATACGGAGTAGTCTAGTCATGTTAAGCGAAGCTCCGTTGAATCCTTAGATCGTTTGTGCCGCGCGGTGGCATTACATCCACTTTTACCCAATATTCCATTTTCAAATTGAGCAGTGGCCTTTTTTATTTGATCAAAATGCATTGACACGGTGGATGCAATATTATTTATACTCGTCTCCCTCTCATCTAGAATCCTATCTTTTTTCTGTCTCATCAATTCCCAACCCATCTTCTAGAAAAGTTTTTCCCTCCTTCATTCTTAATTCTTCCGCTTCTACACTTTGTAATCCGCCTTGACATAAAAAAAAGTCATAATAACTCATCCTACTCGTCTAAGGCTGTTTTCACTCTCAACATGCCATCAACTGCTCCTGTCATAAGGCCCAAGAGCCATTCTGTCAATGCTCATAAGGAAGAGACCCCTATCAGTTACGACATCAACATTCCCTATGTGGATGTCAATGGAGAGACCACCGCTAGAACTAGGTACCCAGAATATTTGCCGACATGGGACAAAATGTGGTTCGAACCACTGCCCCCGTTTCACTATGATGATCCTGCGCTGCGCGTAGAGGATAGGTCCAAGCCTAACCTCTTGACTCCCGAAGCTAAAGTGACCGAAATCCAGCCGCAGATCGGCACCATCGTCGAAGGCGTTCAGCTGAGCCAGCTCTCGGATGCCGCGAAGGATGAGCTCGCATTGCTGGTTTCCGAGCGCAAGGTTGTTGCATTTCCCGCGCAAGATCTGATCGATGCCGGTCCCGAGGCGCAGGAACAGTTTATGCGCCATTTCGGAAAACCGAACTATCAGCCTGTTTCTGGAACGGTGCGCGGCCACCCCGGCTTCCATATCATTCATCGCGATGGCAACAAAGAAGAGATCTCACGCTTCCTGTCGCAGCGCACGACAACGACTCTGTGGCATCAGGACGTGAGCTACGAAATCCAACCACCAAGCTACGTCATGTTGGGGCTTCTGGAAGGCCCAGAAGTAGGAGGTGATACCGTCTTCGCGGCGACCGATATGGCCTACAAGTATGCGCGTCTTGATCCAAATTGTTCATTCCCTCAAATTACGGAAACTAATCAAGTTCAGACGCCTTTCTCCTACCTTCTGCTCCTGGCTCGACACTCTGCGGGCCGTTCACTCCTCCGCCAAGATGATCAACCACGCCCGTTTAACCAACAGCCTTGTCCGCAAAGACCCCGTTGACACCGTCCACCCACTGGTTCGGGTCCACCCCGTGACGGGCGAGAAATGCCTCTTCATCAACGGCGAATTCATCACCAAGATTCAGGGTCTCAAGGAGCCCGAACAGCGCTGGCTCACCGATTTCCTCATGAACCACATCATCACGGGCCACGATTTCCAAGCCAGAGTAAGATGGCAACCAAAGACAATCGTTATCTTCGATAACCGCTCTACTCTTCGTAAGTAACATCCCGGATCGCCTTAAAACCCCGTTCACCCCAGCCAAGAAAATCATAAATGGAAAAACAACTAACGGTGAAAAATCCCAGACTCGGCAATCGTCGACTACCTAGACGATGACTATGGCGCAAAGCTCCGCCACATCTTCCGCCTGACCGCACTGGGCGAGAAGCCCATCCCCGTCTATGACCAGTTCGAGTAAGCAACGACCGTATCAGGCGAACAGTACGTCGTCTTGCATTTTACGAATCATCGCTTTATTATCCCGGGCGTCCAGCGGGGAGTGCAAAACCTATTGAGCGTTACGTTACTTCTGCTTAAATCCGGGTTTATTTGTTTTTTTCGGGAAGGAGTGCAAAAATCATTGGCTTTTTTTTCTTTCTTCCTTTTCTTCGCGGCGTATGCATTCATGCGCGGCCTACGACTTTTAATTCTTGTTTTCTCTTTTCTTTGCTTGGGATACCTATTCTTGTTTGCGCTATAGACGGTTGGATTTGATTTGGATTTGGAATTTGGTAGTTTAGACTTGTTAATCTCTCGCGAGAGCTAGCTTATAGACATTGTTATTTGATCTATTTTGATATTGGTTGTTAACAGGTTTCTCCTTTTCTAATTCCGGATATAACATACATACTATACTTTGAATGATGAGACACCAGCCTACTTTGTTATAGTGATTTTGGATCTTGTTAATATACAAACCACTCAGTATTCTTGAGCATATGTATATTGAATGATCTAAAGAGGACATATACCTGTCTGCCTACCCTGCACAGCCAAAAACCTATGACAAAAACCAACAGCATAGAACAGTGAACTCCAGATGGCTAGCTAGTACAATGGGATCAACGCACATAAATTGACAGTAATGATATAATTTCTTTTTAGTTGCGCCACATAATTGCATCCATTAATTACCGCAGTATATCTTCAACCCGTGTCCGCAGCTCATTGGCCAATTGCAATTGTTCGGGAGGAATGTTACCGCCCTGCTGCAGCAGGAGCAGCGTCTCTGTGATGCGTTCCGCAACCACGTCGCTGCCAAACACAGTTCCGCCCAGGCGGACGGTGTCGTGGAACCAGTGCTCGATGAGGTAGAGGAGGTCCTTGGCGATGTATTTCCGGTTGGTGCCGTGGAAGGGCGCCTCATCTGTGTAGTACATGGATTCGAGGACAGTGTAAAGAGTTTCGTGAGCGACTCCAAGGTCGAGGAAGAGGTCGACAACCCATGTTGCTGGTCCAACACCACGCTGGTGTTCCAGCGCATAGCGCTCAAGCATGGGCAAAAGAGTGGGGATCGGGAATATTATATCGGACATGCGCAACCGGCTTCCCAAGCTGCGCACCTTATCGATTACAGCTTCATATGGCTGGGGCTCTCCATTTTCGACGGTCTCGTCGTGCAAATCTTGTAGCAGATGCTGCCACGTGGACCGAATATCTGCTGGGTTCCTGTGATCGGCTAAGTAGAATATTTGCAAGCAAATATCGTAGTAGCTTGCAGGGTCGGCATATTGGTTGAACAACTATGACATGTCAGTGGAGGTGGGATTGTTTAACGTGGTTGGCTTGGCCTACCGTGCTAATGTCCATGATGGGGCCGTCAACATCTGCAAGAACCTGCGTCCTGCGTTCCGGAGTTAAGCGCTTATCATCTTTCAGGCGCTGCAGAAGGTCATCCTGAATGTTTGCAAGATCAATGAGATTTGAGATATCTTGCAACAGGCGCTGTCGTAACTGTCGCCCAACATCCGGCGTAAATGTCGAAGCGTTGGCCCTGGCACGGCCCAAATACTCGATTCTGCGGCCAAGAGGGAGAGTAAAAGCGCTTTGCGCAAGATGGAACTGAACCTTGGCAGCTTCGAAAAAGCGCTCAGACTGAGCATAGTACCTCCATAGGAGGTCCGCATGTGCAATATCATCCGTAGACTTCCGCTCGAGATAGGTAACCACAAATGCGGAGTTTGCGTGAAGCAAGCGCTCGCTCCAGCCCTGCTCTAAGTACCAGTCATACAAGCTAGTCAAGAACACCTCATCAATAGAGTCAGAGATAACTCCATAGGCTTCGTTCTTGCGCTTGGCAACGACAGTGAGTTGTCCGTCAACAACACCAGGGTCGTGAGCTGCGAGGTTATCCACAGCAATGATGACCTTGAAGATGAGATCATAACACTGCTTTCTGAAATAAAAGTAGTCACTCCGAGAATCCTATTGAGTACATCAGCATTTTATTATTTTCTGACTGATTCATACGGACTCACATTCTCTGGACGACCATCGACAAGCCACGAAAGTGCCATATTAGCTTTGTCTGAGCGTGCAGCAACATTGAGCGCAAGCTGTATAGCGCCTGTAACTTGATTAGCGTTGCCTTAGCCGGAGAGTATTCACCACATACCAGCGAAGAATTGATTGGATATGAAGTTTTCCACTGCAGAAACCAGGTAATCCATTGGCAAGCTTTCGGAAACCTGCTGAAATAGGTGAAGACTTTCATTGAGTAGATTGCGGCCGAGTTCCGAGTTGGAACCAGCTTCAGTCGCTCTCTTGAGCAGCTCCTGAGCCTTGAAGATAACCACATCCTCAGCGCTGCAGAAACTGCCGCACCGCCGCCGTAAAGCGTCAGCAACCGTTTCCACGTTCGAACCTTTCGCGATATTTCGGTTCACAATTCCCTTGACCAAATCCTTCGCGATATCGTGGCCCTTGCTAGTGCTGAAGAGCTCCTCGAATGTAAGCTTCATGAATCGCTGCTTTGAGTCATCTGGCAAAGTGGCAACAATCTCGTCAACACGCTCATCGAACAGAACCAGAATGAATGAAATGCCTTCAATGGTGTGAGATACAAGTTGAACAAGCGAATGCAGGGCACGATGCTCTGCTTGAAGCGCAGTTTCTTCTTGCTTGGTTGACACACGTGCCAGGCTTCTGGGCCGCTTAGTCCCTCAATAAAGCTCTTGTTAGCTTTGAAGAACTCCTGCAACGCCGATAGATCTCGTTGGATAGTTTGCAACTTTGCGGATGGAACAGAAGGTAAAATCGTTTGTGCCCCGCCGGGGGAGGGCCCGACTTTAGCAATTTCTTTCCTCCAGATTGTACGTAGCAACCTAGACATGTAAAGAGCAATGCCCGCATGCCGGGGGGACGGAACCACAGAATCGATCGCCGGTGTAGAGTTGTCAGCTACCGCATTTTCATTCATCGTGGGTCTTCCTCCATATTCGATGAAGACCTTGCGAGCAAATTCGAGCACATGGGGGTCATTAATCTGGGTCAGGCGCGAGTCTGCAGAAATTTCTACGCCTTGGCCGCACGCGACCGCGAGAGCAGTTGCAAGTGTCTCACTCCGGCCATACGTACGAATAAAGTTCTTCACTTCACCTTCTAAGCCTTCATCGCCGTCCCCGCCGCCGCGAACCAGGGCCGCAAACATGTCAACAAGACGTCGGCGACGAATAATATGGATGCCAGTATTAGTCAAGATGGCGATTTCGGCGGCCGGGTTGTCAAACTGAACCGCAAGTTCGTTACCAAAGCCACCTGGAGTGGCTGATGCCGCTGTAGACGGGGAGCAAAGACCAACATCTTCCACCCTGCTACCCAAAGAAAGCCAGATAGCTGTCTCGGCAGCATTGCCAGGAATGACATTTTCTTGGGAACGAGCAACGCGTCCAGAATCAGGGGATGAAACAAAGAGAGTATCTGTCTTTTGCGTTGGGTCTTTGCATGTGAAGCAAAAGAAGTAGCCAGGAGGGTATCGGACAGTGAACCTGGTAGGGTCAAGAGAATGGATTGGAACCTTTGCTACTGACGGCTGGAAACGACCCTGACCCTGGAAAGCCGGGCCCGCTGGACTAGAGGAAGCGCCATCGAAAGGAGGCGTTTTCACATGGTGAGCCTGCATGCTCGTAGGCGCATTGGTACCGTTGGGTGATGGGGACCAACTGTATGAGCCAGTGGCACTCAAATAGATTCGGTAACCAGTAGCAGTGGTAGCCATCAAATGATATCTAGACGCCTCCGCAGCCGGAATAGGACTGATAGAAACGATTGGGACCTTGGGGTTCAAAGTCTCATTCGATGCAATTATATGCCCGATATTGGCATAAATGTCCATGGCAGGCTTTGTGATCGCTAAGGCAAGGGTACCGTCGGGCTTCATGTGAAATACTCTGATTGTGGACGAGGAAGACAGTGTATAGAGCAATCGTCTGCTGTCATCAATCTCCATCTGCTCGACATTTTCGAACATCTTGTGCGTGAAGCTCGAGAAGCTTAAGCTGGGGGTCAAGGCGCCCAAGCGAGAGCTAGTATGGTTGACCTTTGAGCAACGTCCTTGAAACCACTTTTCCTCTTGTTGATACGTGAGCTCATAAACGTCATTGTCGGAAGAACCACCGAAGAATATACGACCGGTCGCGTCCGACGACGCGATAACGTGGATGTCTAGACCACGAATTGACGTCGACATGCCCGTTTGATACAATGTCACCTGGCGTGCACCTGTAGGGGTCGTCTCACAGCCCATGCCAAGTAGGATGACGTCTGCAGTTGTTGATACGACAAGCAAATGTGTGATGGAAGGCAGGAACACTCCCGGGCGAGGTTTGGCCAATTTAACCGCATTAATGCTGTTTGGTTGGTCTTCAAAGCCCACCAGCTGGGGATTCGGGTGTGTATAGTCCCAAATGTAGAGCGCGTTGTCAATGGCAACCCACGCATGATTTAACTCTGCGAAAAGACCCATGCTCGTAGAGACCTGCGCTCGGTTGTACTGATCAAAGATCTGGTCTGGAATGTTATACATCTTCACTTTCTGAAAAGGAGCCCATGATGGGGAAACCGGGATATCATAATCAGACGAGAAACCTTCTGCACAAAGGGTCAACCATGCTCTATGTGGCTCAAAGTCCAGTGTTTACTTACGAGAAAGGTAGCTGTCGAGGTCAGGGTAGCGGGCTTCTTGGGTGAGCGTATCATTGACGGTTCGAGCTGCGCGCTCCTCAGTGCTTAAGGTCTGACTTTTCGACTTAAACGCGGCAGGAGGAAGTTTTGGGAGAGAAGCTGGTGAAGGTTGCTCTGCGGGGGCAGGAGCTGGCTTCGGAGAGAAAGCTGGCGCACTCGGAACATTGTTCGGACCAGGAGTCTGAAAAAAGGCGCCAGGTAGCGGTCGCTGGGGTGTCAGAGCTGGAGGAAGATTTGGATAAGACATGATGCTGGCTTGCAGTCGATATATGGGCGGCTTTGGGGGGGGGAATCGTCGCGCTCCCCGGCGAGGTAAGTTCGTTCGGTGTAGGGGAATTAAGATATTGAGAATGGTAGAAAGAGAAGAAGGAAGCCGGGGAGAAGTCCAAGCTAGACAGGGCGGATAACAGAAATCATCAATGGAGGCGTGTGGTGTTCCTCCAGAGAAGGATACGATTATTTAAACCGAATAACACTCAAATCATGACAATTCAGAAGAGAGAAACAAAATTGTGCACGGGCCCGAAGATCGTGACTGAGCTCTCCGCCTTTTGTCTTTTGTTTCCGCCGACAAAAGGTCCTTTTCATTGCTTTCATGCGCCTCAATTGCACAGAACTTTATTGATCTAATTCGACTTTTCAACGAGTCGAAGAACTTATTTCTTTAGTTAAAAATTATTTCTTTGATTTTGTGTTTCTCCGATCTTATCGCATAATGTTCCGCCCTCAAAGACTCACAGCTCGGCTGAATCTGCGCTCAGTACGATGGAATTCAACTAGCAGCCCATCTACGCCGCCTTTGATGACCAAAATCAGGACCGACCTTAAGGTTGCTATGCGTGCCAAAGATACAGCGAGGTACGTGAAGCGCGTGCAGTACACACCTTTCCAAGGGCGACGGCTAACACGGGCAATGATATTACAGGCTGAACGTTCTGCGCGCTATCATTTCCGAAACGAACAACTCCTTGAAGACCTCATCCCCAATCCAAACTGATTTGCAACTTTTATCATTAATCCGGAAACGTATGACTGGCGCAAAAGATGCGGCGCAACAATTCGCTGAGGCCAACCGGCCCGACCTGAAAGAGTCCGAGGAAAAGAACGTCACAATTTTGGAAGAGTATGCGAACCAGGTGGAGACAATAAGCCTAGATGATGTCAGGCAAATTGTGGCGCAGGAGATCTCGGTGTTGAAGGAGGCGGGCCAAAAGGTCGAGATTGGGACGTTGCTAAAGTCATTATTTGCTCCGGGAGGTGCCTTGGATGGCAAGCCAGCAGAGAGATCAGAGGTCGCTAAGATTGCCAAAGAGGCTGTTTCTGCTCTCTAAAAACGCTAACCGAGTGGTGTGTATATTAGCTACTGTATAACTGTAAACCTACTTCACTCCAATAGTCGCATTGAGCCACGGTCAGGCTCCTTTTCACAAAAACATGCGAAGAAGTCAGCCCTGAGCTTCGAGCCTGTTATATATCACGAAACATTATATGTATATGAACTGCGTAAACCCATACATTCACCAGGACGGGCAACCCTGGCCTCTATACCGATAAGATTAGATGATCAAACACCAAATTGAAATTCCTCCAGCGCCAAATTGTATGCAAAAACTCCAGTGATCCCAACCCTTAGAATACCGTCCCAAGCACCTCCATTTGACATGTTTACCGAACTCCATAGCCGCTGGGAAGTCGAGTTGATTAAGGCATCGGCCCTTCCAAGCTTCTCGCTCAATCAAGAGTAAAATAAGGTAATGCCACCCAGAGCAGTCGCAAACACACCAGCCCACAGCCACCGGTCAGTTGGTAAGCTCCTCCTTTGTAATCAAGTTCCTCACTCCAGGCGAGCGGTCGGTATCGCGGGGAACATGACGTTTACTCTTTCCCGTCTCAGACACCGGATTCAAGGTGGTTGTTGGCAGCATCTGCGGCGGCTGATACACAAGGTACATTGGATGCATTGGTGAATCATCAAAACTCTTGAGGTCCAGCCGTTGAATGCCATGGTAAGGATCTTTGGAAACCTGGAAAGACTGAGATTGGGTTAGCGAGAGCAGCGTTCAAAGGCGTGGTGGAAAGGTACATTGAAGGTCTCTGTCTGATTGTATCTAGTGTATGTTGCGACACTAGAGCTACAAGGATCTGAAAGTAGCTGACGGCCATCCGAGGCAATAGGAGTCAATTCAAGGGATCCGTCGCTGTTCAAGACAAACTTTCCATGCTGCCATTGCATAATACCTTTAGGACACGAAGGATCCACGGCTATTGATGACCCAGATGTGTTAGACAGTAGAAGCACCCGAGACGCGGTGGAATACTGACGGTTGGCAACGGCGCGGTAGTACGCCTCTTCATAGTGGCCATCCTCCGTGAAAGAGTAGGAGATACCAGTGAGATCCGGTTCAAGGAATTTATCATTTATCGGATCATAAAAGTCCTATGAAGTAGGGAAAAGCGTATATTAGCTTAGAACCAGTGTTGACACGATGGCTTTGGATAAACAAACAAAGCGACGCTGAGCATACCGGACCTGTAACAACCTTGCGGGACTTTGTTGACCAAGTGCCCACGAGTTCAGATATACTTGCAGCGCCCACGGTCGTAGCAAGTAGACTAAGAGAAAAGTATCCCGCAATCATTGTTTCAATATGTTCTTGCGACAGATATCAACAGATACTTGAGAGGTGTAGCAAGGGAAGGATCAAGGAATCCCAGGAAGGGTCCAATTCCACGGCCCTTTCTGTGGAGCATATTCAGGCACAACCGTCGATCCAGCCACGCAAATCGCCCTAAAAAAGCCAATGTGCCAAGCCATGCCCGTGACACTGATACTAACTCCGAAACAAAGTTGACAAACATCGCCAGATCGAGTAGTTTGCCGTGGAGTCGGCACATGTCACCAGTAGTATACCTATCCTCACCATCCAGTATCCAACCTACACCATTCCAAGGGCTTTGTCACTTCCTCGTAGCAACATGATGGCCGGTCTACAAACAGCTAAGAAAGACCTTCGCAGAAAAATGCGCGATGTTCTACAAAAGATCCCCGCAGATTCTATCGTCAATCAATGTCAGAGACCTTATCGCTTTGACTCATAAAGGTGCTGACACTTCATAGCTAGAATTGCCGCAAACAAGCTGTTCTCTCTAAGTGAATACCAAAATGCAAAAAGAATTGGAGTTTATTTGTCAATGCCATCAGGAGAGCTATCAACTACAGCCATTGTGCAAGATGCTTTGATAAACGGCAAAGAGGTCTTCATACCCTATATCCATAATGTGGAGCTGTCATCGACACAGCAGAAGGCATCCATCATGGACATGTTAGCCTTGAATTCCATGGAAGAATTCAATTCTCTCACTCCCGACAAATGGGGAATTCCATCTCTCGCGAAAACTCAAGTTGGTACAAGAAAGAACTGCCTCGGCGGTATGGGAGTTTCCTCCTTAGGATCGGATAAAACTACAGATGAAGACTGGGGACTAGATCTGATTGTTATGCCAGGAATGGCCTTCGATCTCGAATTTAGAAGGCTGGGTCATGGTAAAGGATATTATGATCATTTTCTAACTAGGTACTCCAAAGAGGTTGAGAGTAAGACAACGACGCCAAAAATGCCTTTACTTGGTAAGAGAACCCTCCCAATCCATGAAGAACCACAATTTTTTATTCTTGCCTAACCGTCGCCCAGTTGCCCTCTCTCTCATGGAGCAAACTCTGCCCTCGACCGAACAGATACCCGTTGCAAACCATGACTGGCCAGTAGATGTTCTCATCGTCGGCGACAATGGGTGCCTCGTCCGTCATCACTAATCTGTAGCCCAAAAAGAATTCCCTCTCGTGTCAGAACTCCGTGTATTTAATTGATGTGCAAGAGTGTCTCCCAGCGGCAACCCGTAAAAAGACATGATTAAAGAGAAGTAGATATTGTCGTAGCCTGGCAAAACATCTTTGAAATTTCTTTTCCGTATGCTTACTGCGGCCCCTATGATCACTGAACAGCTTGGATGAGTGAGACATTATCTCCCTTAAGCAGGATTTGGCCTACAAGAGAAACAGAATTAGCCCGCTGACTGCTAGTTAAGAATGGCTATAGAAATTAACTCCATACCTAGAGGCCTGCGCTTCTCTTCTTCGGTCTTTGTAGCCATCCTGACCTCCACCGCATCATCAACGACGAGATTCATGAACTCATCGAATCCCTAATCATGTAAGCGAGTTATCGCGATTTTCGCCCATATACGACCACATACCCTGATCTTTCCTTCTATACGAAAAGCCAATTGTTCATAGAGCCAAATAGAAACGGTGGAACGTTGTTGAAGAAGCTTGAAAATGAAATGAATTGGCGCGAGCAAGGTCTTGCGACCGCCTCCACCGCCTCCACGACCAGCCATAGTGATACGCGATGAGTGAAATAAGAGAAAGGTTCAAATAGGATCAGCGATCAATGAACCGTACTCAAGCGACTGGTAGAAAGCTATTATGGTGGTTTGCGCGGATGTTGGATGTTGGTTTAGTGTTGGCGGGCAAGATGAGAGAAGGAAGAGAGAGAGCTTAACTTTGGCGGATTCAAACCGCTTCGGGACTTTGCTGCGGCTCACCAACTTTTCCCTTTGGGTTCAGGCGTCACTACATCCCACTTCTACTATAGAGCCATTCACCCGATCTCCTCATCCACCACTATTGAATGATTTTTTTTGTGCCTGGCCCACTCCTTGCATACCTTCTTCAGGGGTTATTTAATGAGTATTCATGACCGTACTCCATAGGTGTTGAGCCTCCGGCCTGGCTGACCCCTCATCTCCGTTTCTTCTTCTCCCCCAACCAAAACATCCCACTCCAATCGACGATGGCCAGCAAGGAGGGAACCGCAGGACAGGCCTTTGGCCCTGTTCTAGCTGCGGTCGCTACAATGCAGGGAAATGTTTCCAGAACTGAGAAGGCGCATGCTCATGAGTTTCTCGAGAAATTCCAGAAATCAGTCCGTTACCCCCGACCCCTCACCCCGTACTAGTTCGCCTCAGCCCAATGTGTTCTTACTGACAAACTGGATTCATACTCTAGGTTGAAGCCTGGACAATTACCCATGAATTATTGCAGTCTCCCGATGTTCCTGTCGAGGCCAAGTTGTTCGCTGCGACCACGTTGAAGGGAAAGGTGAAACAACCCATGATCAATAGAAGAAGCACCCGGATATTGATTATTGTAGATCATGTTCGATCTAGATCAACTGCCCGCTGAGTCTGTGCCGGCTCTCAGGGACTCGGTAATGAATCTCCTCGTCGCCTTTGCATCGGGCCCTCGCCCCATTCAAACACAACTATGCGTATGTTTGGCGAGCCTCGCCATTCAGATGACTGGGTGGAAAGATGTCCTCGCTACTGTCGGCTCAGCACTGGGGAGTAATGCTGGTGATTGCGTGTTGGAATTTCTGAGAATCCTTCCGGAGGAGGTCACAGAAGGTCGCAAAATCAATCTGAGTGTATGTTCGACAGACAATATCCCACCTACCTACCCATTCATCACGCAATAGGCAACGGCTCGGCTTCGTACAACCATTAATCAAACTCTAATATTTGGCCTTTTTAGGAAGACGACCTCATCCTCAGAACGAAAGAACTCTTGGAAGACAATGCAGAGCAAGTGATGCATCTTCTAATTCAGTATGCTCAATCATCACGTATGTACACGTTGCTTAATGCCCTCCGTCACCCACTTCAGACATGTGCTAAAGTTTATACCGACCTTAGCCACTGCATCTACCAATCCTCGTCTCCTGGACTGCATCACATCTTGGATGCGCGAGATCCCCGCTTCGAAGATTGTCGAATCGCCCCTGTTGGATGTCATTCTAAAGGCACTTGACGATGACGTGTCATTTGAAGCCGCGGTAGAGAGTGTTTGCACTCTCTACAGAGATACTCGAGAAGTGGACGAGTCACTGCCGATTATACAGACCTTGTATCCGCGCCTGATGTCCCTTCGTCCAAAGATCGCCGAGGCTGCGGAGGCCGAGGATACGGATGCGTTCAGAGGCATTACCAGGCTTTTTGCGGAGGCTGGTGAGGCTTGGGTTGTTCTGATCGCCCGCTTACCGTCCGATTTCCGGGGCCTCGTAGAGGCTGTCCTAGAATGCTGCGCACGAGACTGGGAACGCGACGCCGTTTCACTAACTTTCGTGTTTTGGTATGAACTGAAGCAGTATGTCACGCTGGAGCGGTATGCCGATGCACGGGTAAGCTACAGTGACGTCTTCTCCAAGCTGGTGGATGTTATGGTCAAGCACCTTGAGTACCCCCGCCCAGAAGAGGGTGAGACCGATCTGTTTGGTGGGGACCGGGAACAGGAAGAGAAATTCCGTCACTACCGACACTCGATGGGAGATGTCCTCAAAGATTGCTGTGCTGTGATCGGAGTGACGGAATGTTTGTCCAAGGCTTATCAGTTAATCCAACAGTGGATTTCCAATTACGCTTCCCAAGCTAGCGATGAACATGTTCCAAATTGGCAAGAACTTGAAGCGCCGCTCTTCAGCTTGAGAGCTATGGGCCGTATGGTTGACCCTGAAGAAAGCCATGTTCTCCCGCAGGTAATTCCTCTGATAACACAAATACCAAACCAAGAAAAGGTTCGATTCCAGGCCATCATGGCCTTAGCTCGCTATACGGAATGGACAGCACAGCACCCGGAAACTCTCGAGGCACAGCTGAACTATGTTATTTCTGGATTTCAGCACAGCTCCCCGGAAGTTGTTCAGGCCGCAGCTCTGGCTTTCAAGTTCCTGGGTACTGACTGTCAAAAACTGCTCGGAGGACACATTGCTCAACTTCATTCGTTCTATGAGTCTGTTATTGATAAGTTGAAGCCAGCAAGCCAAGAGGAGGTAACTGAGGGTGTGGCGGCTGTGGTTGCAGTGCAGCCACTTGAGAAGATCTATGAGACGATGAAAATGTTCTGCGACCCGATCATGGCTAGAATCATGAACTTGGCGAACAATGCGAAGGACGAACAGGGCCAACGGGCTGTCGCTGGTACGTATTCACGGATATTCAAGGAAATTAGCATGCTAATTCTGCCATCACAGACCATCTCCAATTGATTACGATCTTCGTGCTAGTGGTGAATCCATATGTTTCGCCCCGCGAGGAAAATCCCGCTGTCAAATATTGTGGCGAGGTCTTGCCCATCATGACGACTATTGTCATGAACTTTACTTCATCTACTCCCATTTTGGAGCGGGTGTGCCGCTGCTGGAGAAACATGCTTATTTCCTACCGAACAGCCATGACTCCATTATTGCCTACACTAGCAGAGAGCCTCGCAAATGGATTCCAAGCGTCACGAGAAGGATGCTTCTTGTGGGCCACTGATGCAGTTGTGCGGGAATTTTCTGAAGGTGCTGACCTCGTCGATCCAGGCACGAGTCGTGCCGTCTTCCAATTTTACGAGCAACAGGCGATCGCATTCTTGCGTATTCTCAATGACTTGCCCCCCGAGAACCTACCTGACGGTAAGCGCTAGAAGAACCTGCTCTTTTTCTGTAATTATATTTTCCCTTATGCTGATCTTAATCATCCATAACAGTGATTGAGGACTTCTATCGTCTTTCTTCGGATGCAGTTCGGTACTACCCCAAAGAGTGTATTACCTCGTCTCTCTCTGTGCCGATCTTCTCCGCAGCCCTGAGCGCCCTTACTTTGCAGCAGATCGACCCTCTTATTGCCACATTACATTATTACCATGACCTGTTTAGCTTCGCTTTCGAAAAGCCCGCAGTGTCCGAATTCACCACCTCTGATGGGAATTCGTATATGAATCCTCCGGAAATTCGTGAGGCAGTCAAGCAGTTGATTGCGTCTCAGGGACAAGTGCTTTCGCAACGAATTCTAACAGGAATGTTGTTCTCGTTCCCCGCAGAATGTTTCCCAGATGCGTCCGGTGTGATGATGTCACTCTTCGACTTGATGCCACAGGAGGCCGGGGCTTGGTTTCAATCCACTCTCCAGATGCTGCCAGCGGGTACGATGAAGGCTGGTGAGGCCGAGCGGCTACTGAAGGGGATATCCGATCGGGTACAATCGGGCGAAATCCGCAAAATTCGTACTCTTTTACAAGGTAACACTCATCTTACCTTTTTCCTTCCCCTTTTCTTCTTCTTTTAGTATTGGTTCGTTCCCTCAGGCTAACAACTCCAGACTTTACGAATTCCTATCGGCGACGAAATGTGGCACCTCGAGAAGGGCTGGGCCGGTTGGAGGCCACCCGGTTCCGGTTTAGCGGATAAGTTCATCATCGGCCAGGACTCAACAAGTCAAAAACAGCTCAGCTGAGGAGGTCGGGACTGGGCGATGCTCATCGCCCGCCCATGACTGGCCCCTGTGGCGGATTGGGGGAAAACGCCAATCATGCAATTTAGTGCACTCCATGGGATCAGCAAGCAATACAGTACACGAAACGTTGAGAAGCAGCCCCCCGACTAAGAAAAATACAAACCATAGATTACCCCAGTACCTGTATATGACTACGTTTAGTTCATGCGGTCCCTTCGCATGACGCTTGATGGATAATTCCGCAGTCACTGGGTCGGGGACAGCGATACAGTCGCAATAGCCCATTGTAATACATCAGTATAATAGTGAAAATTTATGATTGGAAGATGTAGACATGGAACGCTATGACAACTTTACACACACTGTCTCTACTAGTAAAGAGAAGCTCCGGTATCGGGTTCGAGTACATGGCATATCCTATCCTGAAACGTAACTGGTTAGTAGAAGACCAGCTGACCCGACCCTATGGATGGGATCTTTCTTCAACCCTAAGATCACCAATGAAAAGCATCAAGTTGACTATGACCGATCACGATCACCAATTAGGTCGATTCCATTGTAATGCTGACCAATTTGAGACAAATATACATCACGAATGTTAATGGGTTGTTTCCAGCCACTTTCATATTATGATGGACACAACCTTTCCCCTTCAAGTAGTTTGCAGTAGTATCCATGATTCAGTTCTCCCTAGTGGAAGTCAATAGCCTTGTTTCAGATAGAGCCGCGTAGATGATATGCCTTGGGCTAGACCTCCAGAGCAACATGCTCGTAATGAAGTAAACGCTACATCAACGGGAGAAAAAATGACACACGCCGCTAATAATTGCCATCCCAGTAAAACTCCCATATATATCACAATAGTGCAACTCAGCATAGACTCGAGACCAGTGATCAAAATATCTCAACTTGTTAACCTTGGGGAAATGATCATCAGGCTGAGGCTTATGCAGGAGACGAAAAGCACTCGGCACGAGACCCCTTAACGAGAGTAAACGAGCTAATTCTGAATGCGCCAGCATCTCGTACGGTCCCAACAATTCCCCAGCAGTGCCATCACTAGCCTAGGGATGAGCCGGCTCCAGACTAGGCAAGCATGCTAACACCAGGTACCCAGCCGGGTGATCATCAGGTCTATCATTTTTTATCGCCCGAGTTCGGGGCGAGTGCGCGCTAAGTCCGGGAAAGAAGGATAAGCAGGTAGAGCAAATGTAGGCATCCTAGTTGGAGACTAGGTAGACCATCGCAAGGTGGCTGGTAAACTAGGACTGGGGGCGATATTGTGGAATAATTTGGTGCGGCGATCTCATGATGCGTAGGTGTTCGCATTGAGTTGAAGGAGGTATGGGTCTGAAGGACGCTGCTCAATGGTGGTGCTAGTGGGGAGATTTACCTTTCTACGATCTACTGTCATTTCCTTTTCTAAGTTTTGTTTTTATTTTTAGTTGTTTTTACCCTCTCTTCCCGATGTGGACTGACTGGCTAAGGAACAATTCCTATAACGTGGTTTCGAGCCATAGGACAGTGCCTGGGAGGGATCGTTTGACAGGTAACTCCGAAAGCCAGGTAAGGGGCACATGGTGTGACTAGATAGTTTGCCTACTATTGTCTGCAGGGACCTTGAGCATGGTACCTGTAAGATGGTGTGCTCGTTCATGTCATTAACGGTAGGTACCAGGGCGCTGGTACGGGCTACGGAGACTTTCGTCAGGACTACTAATTTTGTCACCAAAATCCATACCTGTCTGATGCGGACGGACAATATATATGCATATCCGTTACGTACATACTTCGGATCCTGCCTAATATGTCCTTACCACGGAGACATCTCACTGATCTCCTTATCAGATAGATCATCAGTGGTCCCCATTTGAGCGGAGGGTGGTTCATGCGCTAGGATCATCAGGTACCAGTGAGCGATCGTCCTTAAGTCAAGAACACCTTGGGTGTTTCAGATATTTTCGGTTCCCCAATTAATTCTTATACTTACGCTATACTTTTTCCGAAAAATTATTATTGATTATTGTTATAGCGGGATAACCGTCAAAAACAGAAATTTAGGCTGGGGATCACTGCTAGGTTGCCTTGTTTTTAGTGTGCGAGGTGCGAGGCTGAAGGAAAAAGCAATATAGGCTCCCAACAAGCCGTGTTGATCTTCTTCCGCGGACCTCAACGCCTAGCCACAGTACTCATGCAGCACTCCTCGAGCATCTGCTTTGCTGGCTTGCTTCCGCGCATGAGTGAATTTCAGCGTGTAGATCTATACCGGTAATTTTCTTTTCAGCCACAACAACACGCACTAAGGACCATGTTGGAATGCAGATCAACCCCGCCATATAGGCAATCAACAGGCCCACAATGGGAGTTCGAAAGCATTGATCGCTTGTTTTACTTCTCGAGGAGCGCCACGACGAGGCTAGTGAGTCAGTTTGGCCTAAGTAATTAACGAATAACTGCTATTGTTAGCCCACCAACGAAACGATGGAACGGGAAGATGGTCCCATCCATGCTCACTTGACCACAATTATCCGCATTAACCGCGTCCATTTCACCTCAATGAGGATTGTTAGTCGCAGGCTGCATGTGTCCCGAAGAAGATCTCAGATGGGTTCTATGGTAGGTAGTGTTTCGAGTCTCGACAGTGTCCATCAATATGTCTCCACCCGGAATGCCAGGCACCGAGTTGTCAATTGGAGGGCTGTCAGTCACAAGGTTCCAAACCCTAATTATCATTTTCAACGCTTCATTCCGACGGAGTGAAATTGTGGGCAGGTTATGCGCAGGATGGTACCTATAGAGAGGCTCTACTATGATTTTGTGATGCACGATAGTTTTTAGAGTAGGGTACAGCACGTCATGTCAGCTGAAAACGACTGCCTCTGACTGGTTGGCTGAGATTCTAGTTGCATTCTGTAAAACTTCGGTGCAGTTCTTCTTACATGAATTAATTAAATCCTTAATCGTAATCGATCTTAATCTCATGATGATCGTCCTATCTACCCTGCACGATCTCCTCTCCACCCGCTTCAACAGACGAAACAAGGCCACCTCTAGTAAACAGGAAAGGACGCGCAAAACCCACGATACCCTCTCGTCTTCCCTTCTGAGAAATGATTGGCAGTCCAATTGCTTTTTCCTTTGACGCTTGGTGATTTCCCGCGGTTTGATTTACATATCAAAGCCGGGATAGTCGCGAGCCTGGAACTTAAAACACGTTCTAGTGCTTAGAGGAGAAAAAGCAAAGAAAGCGGAGATGGGGAAAAACTTAGCGACGAGGGTTGATATTCATTTTGTTAGGATAGCAGATAGCATCCACTTGATGCATGAAATGCCGACTGACCACGAAAAGAATTCGATAATAATAACCTGTTTGGAGCCTTAGTATGAGGATACCCCACCTGGAGTCATGGAAATGGTTGTGGCTATCATTATACGAGATAGAAAATTGATCTGGTTTTTATTTTATTTCAATTTCTCGAATTTCCATTAATCCTTACTGGGTGATTTAATTGAATCCTTCAGTCGCCCAGTCCTCTATATGAACTCGTCTGTCGCCGCCCGTTTTCTGTTGGGAAGCAGTACTAGGACTGAGCAGGTACTGTATACGACCGATCGGACCGTTACAGTACAAGAAGTGTACTTTATATATTTCCAATCACCTTCCCCTCTTTTCAAACTTTGTCGCGCGCGCTCGCTCTCTCCGCCTTTCAACTTCTCCAATTATTATTCCATATCGCTCCTAGCGATCGTACCACCACCTCTGCGACCTCTCCTTTTCTCTCTCCAATTTCCGCCTGTGTTTCCGGATTTTCTACCGGCGAGATTCGCTCTGAATTTCGGTCGGAGTAGAGTTTTCAGCTCGGAATCCTTTCCTCTGTCCAGCCGTCCCGGGAACGCTTCGGCTTTCCGTGCACACGCTTTTCCCCACGGGGTTTTTACTCAACTCGTCCTTGCGCCGCCGCCATCCTTCGCATCTTTTCTTCCGGGCAAGAAAGACAACCCTTTGATCTCTTCCGTGTCCATGGCATATTTCCCCTACTTGTTAATCTCTCCGTGAAACTTCATATCCGCCTCCATCCTGCCCCGGACTCGGGCCGTCATCGCCCGGTCTGATGCCCCGACGTATTCGGTAACTCTCCGTTCTCCGCAGGCCAACGTCCTGTGTGTTTTGGGCAACCGGGAAGTCAAGGAAGCAAGGACGACCGTCAATATTTCAGTACTTCTCGGTTGAACTGACTGAAGGATGACCTTGGCGGTCGGTACAATCACAGGTCTAGACCAAGGGCCAAAAGGCATCCGCAGAGAACGAGAAGCAGAGATCATGGACAACGACACCATCACTGTCAATGGCGCCCCGAAGAAAAGGAAGAGGGTTCGAAAGGTCAACACGGACCGTAAATTCGAATGTACACACGAAGGGTGTGGGAAAAGCTATTCGCGTGCGGAGCATCTATACCGGCATCAGTTGAACCGTAAGTGAATCCCCACACCACAACGGTTATCGAAAGATGACTGATCTCTTTGATGGCTTAGATACTCCCAAGCAAATATATCGATGCGATTTCCCTGATTGCTACCGCTCCTTCGTTCGACAAGACCTCTGCATTCGACACCGTGAACGTCACACCACCCAAGGCTCCCAACTCCAAAAACGCGATCATTTTGCGCAAGCTGCTACCAACCAGCCTCAGAGCCCGCACCATGTACCCCATGTCAGCCAAGCGACGGTCGTCACGCCGCCATCCATACCTACGCAAATGTCAAGCGCTCAGTCCAACGGGGTTGTTCCAATATCTCCTTCGTCATCGTCATCTCCCTCTGTCGGCCTGAATTCCGTATTTAGCTACCAACATCACATACTACCATCGCAGAATGAAAACACTTTCCCCCGGTCAAATAGCTTAAGCACCCATGGGAAAAGTTCTCCTCCAGTACCGAAGAGTTACAGTCCTCCCGAACTACAAAATACGTCGTATGGGACGTTGAGCAACCATCAGCCGACAAATACTCCCATCGGTGAAATCCATCATGACGCACAGTCACATCCTGGTCAGACAACCACCACACAATCCCAAGGTGCTGATGGAGCTTACTCCTCACTGCCGACAGACGCCAACGGGTCGTCTCTGGCTGATACTGTACCATTTGCCTCTCAGGCTGGTATGCAGATGCCCGTGAATGGTTACTCGGGTCTTTCTTTAGCCCCGGCAACAGCCTCTACACCGGCGACTCTTGACCAAACAGCCAACATGGGCGCTTTTGATACAATGTCGGGGATGATAGCTCCCGGCTCGACAGTTGGGGACCCTGGCTTTGATTCGTTGGCCAACTGTGTCTACCCGATCTTTGGAAGCGAATCATACAATAGATCCCCTTTTGCAATGGCGGAAGACTTTACGGCATGGCTTTTTAATGAACCCATTCCCGGATCGTCGTCCATGAGCTACCCTGCAGCGAGTGGTATGGTACCGAATTACATGGACCCTACGCAACTGCAGAATCAATTCTTGTTGGGTGATCCAGCCTATGGGACGTTTCTGAGCGGCGTTATCCCGCCCCATCATCCCATGAGTGTTACCAGCATTCTGGACCCCGGTTCACCCCGCGCCATTATATCGGAGGAAAAGCGGCAGGAACTTCTTCATCTCATGGCGACTCGCTTTAATGAAGCCGCCTACTCGGTAGTAGCCAAACGCAAAGATGCTTTAATGGATGGTGATATGGACGATGACAACCACGTTTTGAGCTTGCGAATGATGCAGACGTACATTGGATCGTACTGGTATCACTTCCACTCTCAGCTGCCCATCCTGCATCGGCCCACCTTTTTCGCCGACCAGGCGCCAAACCTGCTTTTACTGATCGTTATAGCCATCGGTGCATCCACGCTGGACAAGATTCACGGCCCAGAGTTAACCGAAGCGGCATCCGAGCTGGCAGACTTTATTGTGTGGCATCTTAGGTGGGAGCTCTTCATGGACGGTGATTTCCGGCCGCCTGCCAAGCTGTGGGTCTTCCAGGCCCTCCTGCTGCTTGAGGTTTACGAAAAGATGTACTCTACTCGAGCGTTACATGAACGAGCACATATTCACCACGACACCACTCTGACCCTAATGCGTCGGGGCAGCTCTTTGATTGGACGTTCCGCATTCGACTCACCCGCGAGCTTGAGAGACGACCGGCAGGCCCGGTCGGTGTCCTGTTCGACGACAACACAGGATTTCTCTGCGGATGAATCGTGGACGCACTGGATCAAAGCGGAGGCCACCCGGAGAGTGGCATTTGCCGCTTTTGTCCTCGACTCCACTCATGCCACTATGTTCGGCCACTCGGCTAAGATGGTCGCGCATGAGCTTCGGCTACCCCTGCCCTGCGACGAGGCTTTGTGGTCAGCGACCAGCGCTGCTGAAGTGGCGCGTGTGCAGGCTAGTCTCCATGCTAACGGAGTGAAGCCAGTCATGTTTTTGGATGGCCTCAAACGGACACTTAATGGGCAACGGGTACGGACCAATGCCTTCGGGAGAACCATTCTCATGGCGGGTCTTCTCAGCGTCAGTTGGCATATGAACCAGCGAGATCTCCAAGTCAGTTCTTTGGGAGTTCCTCAGGCACTTGGCGGTCGAGACAAATGGCGAGCTGCGCTGCTGCGGGCCTTTGATAATTGGCGACGAGATTTTGACGAAGCGTTGGGACAAGCCGGGACACCACCACCTTTCCCAGGGTACCGGGTTCAGCATCCACTTGATGATGACAACGTCTTCGAATCCCGCGACGTGCTGCACGGCCTTGCTCACATGGCGTCGCACGTCGACATCGTCGACTGTCAAATCCTCGGCGGGGCCACCCGACTCATGGGAAGAGCTATCACTGCCAGAGACTACAATGCTGCACGTGAGAAGATGACCGAGCGATGGGCTACAAAGGCGTCAGCGCGAGACGCGACTTTCTACGCGCTCAAATTTCTCTCCGAGTGTTTGCTGAGCAGCGAGTCGGAGGAAGGGGAGCTTTACTCAGGACGGGATGACTATCTCCTCAACCGGCCATGGGTGATCTACGTTGCAGCGTTGGTTGTCTGGTGCTATGGATACGCGCTGGAAGGCCCGATTCGTTCACCACCGAAGCTGGCCACAGTGGCGGATCAGCGCCGCGACATGCAAGAGTATCTCCGACGGGTGGGAGGAGTACGTTCACCCAACGACCTGGAAGCAATGGAGGGTCGCAACCGGTGCCTGGGGATGTTGATGGTTCTGCGAGATGGATTTGTTAACACACGATGGGAGCTGTTGGCGGAAGCGGCTAATTTGTTGAGCAGTTGTATTGAGAAGTTGAAGGGCCGATAAGCACTGATAGGTCTTTCTGGGTTCTCTTACATCTTCGACTCTTTCCTGTGTCCTTACGGGTTTCAAGGAAGGGGGAGGGGGAGTTGTTCTTTGTTTGGGAGCTGGTTGATATCCTTCTCCTTTTGTGTTATGTACATATACTATTTTTATTTTTGGGTCTGTTCATGGGTTATGATTATGCGGTGATACCAATGGGATAAGCGTTGTCTTCTGCATGCTCTGTATGATTGCTTTGTATGATTCTTGGAGAGTAGCTCTGATTTTGGAAATGAGTCGGTTCAATGACGATGATCGTATCAACAGTCATTATTTAGCAAGAGCACTTAAAGTACTGCATACTACGGGAAGACTCGATGTGGAATGACGTCCCAAATGGGGAAGGGCCTGGTTCCCAATCAGGGAACGGTTACCACAACAACGGACACTCCACTTTCTCCTTTTCTCCATCCCGCCTTTTCGACTCTTATCAACATTCCAGTCCAACCTGTTCCTTGGTAACCTCTGACCTTTGACGTGCTGGTCAACCGTCAATCCTCCATTGCAACCATCCCTGCCTTCATTCCCCCTCGCAGTAATCTACACAGCTCTATACCATTTCCGGAATCTTCCTCGCAATCGCTCCATAACAACAAATCGAAAAGATGGTACGTGGCCCCGTCTGATTGTTGCTCTGCAATCCCGTGGAATAGTGGCAAGAGAAACATGGCCAGCGAGGTGAAGGATGTCCAAGAGCTTGGTGATGGTGGTTGTTTATCTCCTACTGGATCCGGGCGAGATCTCACTCGGTCCCATTAAATCGATTGGATTGAATTGCCGCCCCTCAACCTCATGCGCATTCCCTGGTTCGCCCTCTTCCGACCCATTCCATCAACAATCTTCCCCTCCTCATTCCCTCATTCTCCCCAGTACACCTGCATTTTCCATCTCCCTCGTCTGCCATCCTGTGCTTGAAATCATTTCCTTGGTTGAATATCACATTTGGCATTGAAAATGACCGGCTCACACAATCACCACGACGATCAGGCCTCCACCAACTACAAGGAAGCGTTCTCCCTCTTCGACAAGCGCGGCTCCGGCAAGGTCTCCCTAGAGTCCCTCGGTGACCTCCTGCGCGCATGCGGCCAGAATCCCACCCTCGCTGAGATCGCCGATCTGGAGAAGAGCCTCGGCGGAGACTGTAGGTCTATCCTTGTCTAGTCGCGATCGCTCATAAGGGAAATAATGATCTAACGAGTTTCATTCGCATAGTCGACTTCGATTCTTTCGTGAAGGTTCTCAACCGTCCGGGCGGCTTCCGCGACCCTGGTGAAGCCGAGGAATACTGCCGCGGGTTCCAGGTGTTTGATAAGGATATGACCGGGTTTATTGGGGTTGGTCAGCTTCGATACAGTACGTATTCTGATGGTAGGATGGAGTACAAGATGACCGAGGTGCTAACCGGGGGCAGTTCTGACGAACTTGGGCGAGAAGATGTCGGACGAAGAAGTCGATGAGCTGCTCAAGGCGGTTGATACCAGCTCGGGTGAGATTAACTACACCGGTAGGTTACAGAATTCCCAGGCGCAGTAGTCGGGACTGAACTAATGCGTGCATATTTAGAGCTCGTTCGCACGATCCTGGCCAACTGATGATTGATACACGATACCCTATGTTCTATGATATTATGAGAATCGCTCGAGGGGCGGAGTTGGGCTAAGTTTCAGTTCGTTTGTATTGTATATCGGGTTCATATGATATGGATAGCAATAGCAATGATAGCATAGATATTTGCACAAATTCACACCAGTCCATATACCTTTGATTTAGTGATGCTTGAGATGACGTATAGTAGATAGTGGTACCCTACGTGGGCTCCAAAAGATCACTCCTAGTGTTGAAGGCGACCATGTATATCGAACCAACAGAGCAGGACGAAACCAACCATAATAGCGAGATAAGTCTCAGCCAAAACAGATAAACGACAGACTCCTTTACTTATCGTCGACTACCTTGAACTATATAAAGTGACCCACACGCACATCCAGAAGTACAACTGGCATATTACGGAAAGCTACCCAATCGACAAGGCAGTATTTCATGCCCTGTCATTCTCGCAACGTTAATTTGCTCCATATAGAGAAATATATAAGATACAATTCTTTATAGTACTAGAAATTTTGTTCTCTTAAAGTTAGCCGAGTAACTAACTATTCGTTCGGTTAAATTTCACGGACGAGTGCTCCGCTACATCAATATGCGGATATATATAGTCAAAGTAGAATGGTCCAAAGGAAAAACAAGGTAATTCAAACTGTCAAGTTAAGGATTAAGATACTCTCTGCTATACAAGCTTCACATGAGGGACAGAATAGTACAGTCTTTCTCTCTATTTTTCTCTCCGGAAAACAAGTACAAACACCGATAGTAGTAACGCTATATGCAAAAACATGTATACAAGCCAAGACTACAACACAAACAATGTCACAAGTCTCATTGGCCGCAAATATCCAAGCAAATTATTCCGACCAGCCCTCCTGTGAGCTAAAATTGCAGTGTAGCGCGTTTTGATGCCTAAAGAGTGATAGCTCAGTCATCAAATGATGAATCTAGACAAATTTCTAGGCTCTCGCAGTGTCTAAAAGTGCAGTGTAGTATGCATGGCTGAGCTACTTCACATATTAGTGCCGACAAAAGCCTTTAACTAACTTCTCCCAGTGTCTAAAATTGCAGTGAAGATCTGCGGTCAAACTGCCACCTATCTGATCTCTTCTAGTGGCCTAAAAATACTGTGCATATGCGTTGTCACCTTTAACCATCCGCTCCAGGCCCTCAGAAAATGTAGTACGTGGCTGTAAATTAGTCCAAAACCTTGGCAGTGGTGGGCCTTCATCTATCAATGTGGATGGTGAATCCTGAACACCCTCTGTCATGACCTAAAAATGCTGTGCAAGGCTGGAGACAGATAGAATATAATCACTAGGCAGACTCGCAATGCTCATGCTTGCACCAAGTGCAACGGATCTAGCTGTGTAATAGAAATGTCCTACATCTATTAGGGTACGTATGGAATCCTCAGTATCCTCGTTCAGGGCCGAAAAGTACAGTGTAGATGTTTATTAGCTCTGTCCTAACTTAACCTCGATAAATCTAGAAGCATGAGAGAACTGATCTTTATCTAATAGTGTCTATAGCGGCTTCTGAACATCATCTCCTCGGAACTAGAAATGCAGTGCACGCTAAAAGAGAATGCGTCTCGGTGATATGACGGACTTGACCAGTTAGGATAACCATGAGATGCTGCTCTCCTCCCCAGGGAACTAAAGTGCAGTGAAAATCGAACCAAATGCCTGCCCTAGCAGCATAAATATAGAGCCCTGGGAAACCTCTCCAGAGCACTAAAATTGCAGTACAATCCGCTGGTCTGGGAAGCCATTGCATATTGGCAGCACTGACCTCCACATCCACTATCTGAGTGGATAGGATATCCTAGCTATCCTCCCCAGGGCTCTAAAAATGTAGTACACCGCTGTTTACACTGCAGATGCCCTGTCTCCACAACCATGACCTTTGTCTCTCGACATCCTGATTCTTACTATCCTCTCCGGGAAGCTAAAATTGCAGTGTAGGGACCGTACCCTTGCAACTAACGCGTGGCAGTGCCAAGTTGTATCGATTTGATCTGTAGTGTTAGTAGATTGGTCATTTCTGCAGGAACCTACCGCAGCACTTCTGTACTTGGAGGGGCTCAGGACGCTTGGATTATCTTTCTGGTATAGGCAACCCAGGTCCAAAAGATTGTTGGCCTTAGTCTCGCTCGTATATTGTGAGACGGTGTCGTTTAGATCTGTCAGTCTATTGAGTCGAATTTTGGAGAATTGTGCTTGATGTTGTTCTTCCTGATAATGCTAGGTATTGAGAATAGTTCTCTAGGGTATTTTGGGCAAGTAGCTTGACTGGAGAGGTAGCTTTGAGTATTATGAATCTGTTGTTCCCCGACTGCTGTCTATAATTTTGCGAGACCGATCTAGAGTAGCAGCTGTAGAGATGGTTGCCTTTATAGTAGAATTCCTGTCAGTGCACATGACAGTGTAGATAGCAATACAGGAAATTGGATATTCCTCCTGCACACTCAGAATTATACAACAATTAGAGATATCAAAACGGTATACCAGACGTGCACCGAGCATATCAACAACACTCAAGGGCTTCAAGATGAAGAATATAGGTCTATACAAAGGGCAAACAGTGCCCTCAGTGCCATGAAAACCTTCCGCATGACAATATCCACGACATAATAAACAGCACTCAGACTCCATACGCCCCACACCCACCAGGACAACACCCCCAAGTTCGATATACACATCCATTCATTAACCAATATAATACAACACATAATAATACATACTAAACCTCCGCCCTCCACCCCCTCCATTCATCATCAAACCCCTTCAGCCTCCCCTCATCTCCCATAGCCCCCGTCTCCACCAACGCCCCCGGAAGCAAATAAACGACCTTCTCCTTCCGTTCGCCCTCCTCCCCCTCACCCACCGAAGCAGAAGCAGCAACAGAAGTCATCGGAAAAAGCACCCCATCCAGGAAATACCCCACCACAACCCGGCACCGTCCACACCGCAGAAACAACCTCTTCTCGAAGCCGTCCTCGCGCCGTACGAGCGTCGCCTTGCGATCCGGTACCGTTGTCGAAAGGAGGATGGTGTAGTGTTCTTGTCGATTGGGGTTTGAGTCCTCGGGGGTGGTTGATGTTGGGAGGGGGAGGATGAGGGCTTTGTCTTTGGCGGGGTCTTTGCGGCGCGGGAGGGAGGCGATGTCGCGGGTTGTGGATAGTAGGAGGTGGTTGCAGAAGCGGCAGTGGTGGGTGTACACTGGGAGCCGGTTCTGTATTGTTGGTTGTTCTTGGAGGGATTGGTCTTGAGACGGTGATTGGGGGTCTGGAGTGGACATTTTTTGGG